AACCACCACAGGAAAAAGAAAAGAGAAAATCTAACCTAATGCTCCATTACTCACTCCACTAATGCAGCCTAAATGGGGTGCCGGGTCATATGTGAGCAACACTGCTGTGAATATTGGTTTTCTTTAAAAGTAGTAAGGGCAGTAAACAGGCATGCAGGGAATTACGTAGAATAGATGGCCCTTTGCCTCGTGACAAACGACTCTATTACGAGGTACAGTTTACATAGTCCTACACGGTCTAATAAATTATGTAGCTGTGTGTTAGTTACTATAGCCCACTGCAGGCCACGCTCGTTGAAATCTCGTGTGAACAGTGGGCGTATATATTGCCTGAAAGACTGACAACACAATGATAGAGACATGCAGAGTCTCTATAGTAGACATAGTTGTCTGCATAGAGCTTAGTGCTACGATACTAAACCGGCCTACTATGGCATTCACCCACAGGCACTGTGTCCAACTTCTCCTCTCAAGTATATACACCAGGAGACAAAGGCTAGGTGGACACAGAGCCAATGGCATGGTGGAAGCAGGATGCACGCTGGTGACTATAGCAACACACCGGATAGGGGGATGAGGACTCGGGGAATTGCTAGTGAATGAAAACGGAGCCATCAGTGATGGAATGTTCAAAATGGTCTCGTGGCAACCAACAAGAGGAGACTATTAACATGAGGACATACGAGAGTACAGAGTGTAATGCACACTAATGCAATCGAGGCATGGACTATTACACCAAAGTGGGTTACACGGTTGATTGTCCTAGCAGAGAAAGAAGAGAAAGTGAAGAGGAGAGAGAGATGTACAGGCACCCAAGAGGATAAAAATAGATTAGATACTACTGGAAACCTGATATTAGTATAATATACTGTAGATAGAGGAAAAAGGGAAGAGAGAGAGAGAGAGAGAGAGAGAGAGAGAGAGAGAGAGAGAGAGATAGTGAGGGAAACACAGGTTAATACTGTACAACTGGACACATGTAATTAGGGGAGGAAAAAGGAAGAGAGAGAGAGAGAGAGAGAAGAGAGAGCACAGGTCACCCACAAGTTAATATTAGATACAGCCGGAAACATGAGACCATAGTAGGTAGGACAGAGTAGAGAGGAACTTGAAACTAGTTGACAGAGCTAGATCTCACGTCACCCCACCACACCTCACTGATAACAGCCACTACAACAGGTGTAGTACTATAGCCAACAATACACATTACCACTGACACTACGTATTACAATGACAAGAGATTTTAGTTTCAGGAGAACGGGCAACGGACGGTCTGCTGCAACTAATAGATATCGACTCGCCTTTGAGAGCATGGGAGAAATATTAAAATTGAGGAGGGACAAGATAATTGAAGCTTTTCTAAGGGGGCTAAACTTTGAGAGGTGGAAGGAGGAGAACAACATGGTAACACGTGGCAATGCAAAAACTAACCGTTTGCTTGTATATAGCCAAAATCTGTGACTCATTCCAAGAATTTTACGAAGAGAAGATGTTTACGTGTGAGAATGTGAAAGACTTTTGAGACTTGGAATTGAATCTCCCCAATACCTGTCAGTTTCCTTATTCTAAGGAGGACCTAGCAGTAAACAGCTATGTATTTATCCTCTCCTCCCTTCCCCCATACCCTATATATGAGGACTTTGCATGCACACAAAGCCACTGAAGACTAGAACATGAAACGTGAGATGGGATACCGGCAGCACTACCTGCTGCTAGAGTTACTTACATACACACGGGGCTGGGGTGGCCTGGCTCTTACACAAGGCAGTTTGCTGCGAGCAAGCTGGCAACAAAGTGTGCATGAGAACACAGTTGCTCCGTTTCTTGATTCACTCGCAACAAGTCTGTCACTGCGTTTGTATACTGTGTTTCTGCCAGTAGAAGGCGGCCCTATATATGCATTCAGGCAACTTGTCCCTTCAATTCGAAGGCCGTCGTCCTATTGTGTGAGCAAGTAGTCTCCTGTCAGTTGAAATGAAATGTCTGAAGTTGTATATAGAGCTGTACGTATAAACTGAAGCTGACACAGACCTGTACATGTAGCTGGGGTGAGGTGGTATAACTGAGGAGGAAGGAAATCCTTCAAAGTGAAAGGGAGAAAAAGGAAGTGTATCCAGGAATTCGATTTGAAACCTGATTAAAGAGCTCAGAATGGAAAGTAGAGGAGACCTTACTCACTGGGTTCAACTGCTCTCTACTGCTAGACTGGCACATACACACACGCATGCACGCATGCACACATACACACACGCACAGGAGTGTTGGACTTACAGAGAGATTGTGATGAACACAAGACTCCAGTTTGAGAGACCGATGTCCAGTGCACTGAATATAGCTGCAGCAACGAAGAGCGAGGTGGTGTGTGTATGGGGGGGATTAGGATAAGAGAGTCAGAGGAGGGGTAGGGAGAGGGGGGTTAGAATTTACCCCTATCACATGCAAAGGTATGCACATGTACTTAAAAATAAATAAACACGTGATTTAAAAGGGAATAGACCACAATAAATCCCCAGCCAGTGCCAACAGAGAACCACAGAATGAAAGTGAAAGTCAACTGGCAAGCCAGCCTGTCCGAACCCCACACTCACACTAACTCTTACAAGAGAATACAACTAGCAATAATTATACATACTTCACTATGTATGTTTCGTCACATATAACAAAGCACCCGCAGTTAATATACAATAGCCCATGGATTAGTGGTGTAGGTGGTGTAGCAGGCGGAGTTTTTGAAACTCACCAACTGGCAAAATGTTCTTCAGGTATTCCTTCCACCCCAGAACGAGTGGGGGTTTCCCCGTCACCAGGGACACCAGCTTCCTCACTATCCAGGCTATGATGAACTTTACGATGAGGTGAATCATGGTGATGGACAGCGGGAATGGATAGCCCTGGATTCGTGAGCAAAACGAGAAACGAGGGGGCGTTAAATGGAATACAAGCGCGTACATGGGCCTACCAACTTACCGTGAGTATCCATTTGTTGTAGAAAGTTAAGGTGATAGAGAAGCTATAGTAGAAGGCAACGAGACCAACAGTTTTTAAAGATTGGAACAGAAGACCCATTTCTTCCCCGCTAAAAACGCGCTGGCAAACGATGACGTAATTAATGTTCAATATTTCTTTCGCAAAATAAGATATGACAGAATTTTAGCCACATGTATGCAAGGCATAATAATTATGATAGATCAGTGCAGTCGAAAAACATATAGCTGGGGAGTATCAATGATACAACAATATTAAAGAACAAAAACGGGATTTGAAACAATCCCAAACAAAATGAGGTTGCAGACAAGAAACAACCAGAAAGTCTTGTATTATTACAAGAAACAGCGACTGTGGGGACACAGTGTATAGTGTGTATTCTACACAAGTGGGGGTGTTGGATTTCACAATACAATATCTAATGCAGTAAATCAGTGGAGAATGGTTGCGGCATAATAGACAATCACAACAGACACAACGCGAGACAAAACAAGAACACAGAATTGGCTACGTGATTACCGGGAGAGCAGAGCTAGTGGGAGAATAGGGGTGAGTTTTCACCGAGTTGAATGTCACCAGGAGCGTTGGATAAGTTCCACTAGTTGATCCAGGTCGGCCTGCGGGTGTTGAAGCATGGTGCTCATAATCTGCTCCTCCTGGTTCGGGAGACGGCTCTGAACCTGTCTAAAGAGGGTCCAGTTAATCCCACCACTCACAGACGGTTTCGCCTGCGTTCGCAGAGACCGATTGTCGCAGTAGAGATCAGGGGAGCTCTGGCTGGTCTGGAATTTGTCTGCCAGTGCCACCTTCTCGTGGTGAAGTCTCAGACCCATGTCTCCGTACATGCTGGCTGCACGCGGTTCCACAGCCCTGTGGTGGGGGTATCTGTAGTCTCCGTGCTGGTGGAGCATCGCTGCGTGCTCTTGTAGGTACGCTCCATTCTCTACCGCTGAAGACGGGAGATTTTGGTAGGAGTTGGTCGGTTGTGGTAGGCAACCCCCGTGGGGTACCGTGGAGTAGTCACCGGTGTGGGGATTCCTTGCTCGGGAGTGGTGAGCCATGCGCTGGTGGTGGAGCTGATCGCCTGCCGAGGAAACGTAGTGATGACTCGGAGGATGGTAAGAGTTCTGTGCATGAGGGATGTGATAAGCTGCAGGGTGATGGTGGTACGCTCCGTTTGCCGAGGACCAGTTGTACGATGGATTGTGGGGAGGCCCCTGGAATTGAGCCGATTGTCCCCCGCGAGGGACGAGTCCAGGTTGTGAATCCATGACCCCGTGATTTGGAGGGACGATCGGTCGCACACTGGGCGCAGTTGGAACTAAATCATCAACGCCGTTTGCGATGGGGCTCCTCTGAATTCGATCGGTGACGTTACGCGAATGAATGAGAGAGAGGTTTGCTATGGGGAAGGTTCGAGAGGGATAGGGAGAGACGCCGCCGGCCAAGGGAGTGGAAGGATTGGAGTGTAGCGGAGACGACTGGAGGCCCGATGAGTGGGGAGGAGGAGGAGGGGAGAGAGATCCTCCGTGACCAGCTGGAATACTCAGATATTGAGGTGTTGGCGGCGGTTGAACGAGGTGAGGTTGCGAGTGGGAATAGTGATGGTTCTCTGACGACAGGGGCTGGGAGGGGTAACCAGAGGACGGCTGAGGCTGGGAATAGTGATGGTTCTCTGACGACAGGGGCTGGGAGGGGTAACCAGAGGACGGCTGAGGCTGGGAATAGTGATGGTTCTCTGACGACAGGGGCTGGGAGGGGTAACCAGAGGACGGTTGAGGCTGGGAGTACCCATGTGGCACCAGTTGGGCCGACAGTTGCTGGGCATAGTTGATTTCGTTGTGTGCCGGGCTCGTCCACGGTCTCTGTGGACTGGTAGTTGGTTGTCCCGACGGGCCACAGGGAGAACCTCTCTCAGAGGACGAGTGGCTGCTGGTGCCGTCCTTCTGGATGTCTCCGAGAGCATCTGTGTGCCTCTTCTCACTGGGAGCCGGAGAGGTGGTGGGGCTACGAGAGGTGAGGAGGGAGGTGGGGTCTAGTCGACCTTCTCGCTCCGGGTGAGCGAAACGACACCGCCGACCAAACGTACACCGCTCGCCGTACGGACACACTGCTGGTCCGGTCTGGTCCTGCTGGGCTCCACTCTTTGACGAGGACTTGGCAGGCTCTATTTGGAGTAACTGCGAGAGTCTCGGCCCGTACTTCCCCAGAGGGTCCTCGGGGACCATGAATATGTCGTGTGCGAATGTGAACATGACCAGGCGGTTCTCAATGGTCTTTCTCCATTTCTCGTTCTCCTCGGCGAGATCTCTAAAGTTGTCGTTTGAAACTATCACTCCGTTTGTCTCGGTGGCTAGTCTCACGATGAACCGATCGTCGTAACACACAATCTTCTTGTTCCCGATTCGTCTTGACGGAGTAAACTTCAAGATCCCCTCTCTCTCGAGTTGGTTGAGAATCTCCTGATCTGTGATGGGGTACTCGGCACGCGGAGTCTCTCTCCTCCACTGGGGCACAAACACTGTTATCTCCTTGTGTCCTTGCTGACGAAACCAGTCCACTGCGATTTGGATTCCCCTGCATGAGAACACTCTACCATTGCCGTGTCTGTGGGGGAGAGAGGGAGAGAGAAGAGAGAGAGAGAGGGAGAGAGGAGAGAGAGAGAGAGAGAGAGAGGGAGAGAGGAGAGAGAGAGAGCAGAGAGAGGAGAGAGAAGAGAGAGAGAGGAGGGAAGAGGGGGTGTGAATGGTAAGTGAAGGTGCAACACAGGTCAAAGTAGGCACGGAAAACACGTACAGAAAATGTTTCATGAACAAAAAGAACACGTTGCTAGCCGTCAGCGGACATACCGAGATCGCTAGTCTACGGCAACCTGTGTTTACACTGAGACGCAAGTCGTAGGTGAGATGAAAAGTGAAGGTGAGGGCTGGTTTCACTAATAGAATTGGCAACAGGACCTGCCAACTGGAATAACACACACCACACATACAAACCACTGGCACTGTATTCTACAGTCTTCGTTCCATATGCGTGTGCGCTGTGCATCCTTCCTTGTCCAGTTTGGCAGTCGCCCGTGAGATGACAACGCAGGGCTGCCTAAAACGATACCTTCAAACTGACAACATACTCTGCATTACTAGCCCACAATGTCAACAACGTACTGCACTATAGCTAGCCGTGGCATGCGTTCAAAAGGGAAATTTGCCCACCCCTTGCAATGTACACAGACAAAGTAGAAATGTCCCAGGAGACTTGAATCCTCTAGTGTTCCAACATAATTATCAACCACTGCATACCTGAGCCACTATATCATTACCACATAATTAAGACAGGCTGCACTGGGAATTGTTTGTGTAGGCAAATGCGAGAACTCATACCAAGAACAAGTACATGACGCAATACCTTATACAAAATTATGCAAAACAGCGCTCAGCATTGCAGGATCCAACCTGCATTAAAGAGCTCCTAACACTGCCTTGGGAGTGTCAGAGTGGCTACTTTAGACAGCTTTGCCTTGTGCCAAGTCTATTCATGGAAAGTTCTTTGGACTTTCACCTGGTCAGCAATGACAGGGGCTATTCATAGTGAAAACATGGCTGAACAAGAAAACATGGCTGGACATGGTGGAGGGAGTGATGTAGGGATGAGATAACAGGCATTCCCAGCACACACTCTGTTGCATCGTCACCCTGTGAGCAAACCAGGCAGCTGGAACCTCTCTCTCTCAACAGGACCCCACTCAAATGTGTCCATTCATTCGTAGCTGTATACTACAGGCTGTTGAACGCTATACATTTCGGCGAAAGAAAACGTCCCCATAATAGTCAATACTCATTTGTCATGTTTCCCCTATCACAAAATTACCAACGTTTAATTACAGAGAGACTAATTAGGTGGAAGGCAAGGGAAGAGGGGATCTATCTTCAATAGTAACTGGGCGGTGTGCCAGTATTATGAAATGAAAATTAGCGACTGTCCCATAATTAGATCAGCAGATTGCATAGCAATACTCTGAATAGAGAGAACAATAATATGTGTATCAGTGGTTTCAAGTCACTGGGCAGAGGAAGTTCCAATACCACGACATCATACAGGCAAGGGCATGAGGTAATTTACAGTTCCCATAAGGAGCCATTGGTTGGGCGGTGTATGCTGTATAATTGTGTGCACAATGATGTTGGGTGAAATGACATACAGCATGATCTCTAAGACATTGGCGGGCCCTGCTTCTTACAACAGTCACTTGATGTAACTCTCATTCTCTCCTTATCTCTCGCCCCACTCTGTTTAGATATACTCTCTGCCTGGAGAGAGGGCCAAAAGCAAGACGCAAGTTCATCACATCAGGACGATGATGGGCAACTAGTGAAAATTGGCAGAATCTGGCAAGACCTAGACAGGAAGGTATACACTGCAGAGGATGTCTACCTTGTTCAACAGGTTTCTATCCTTGCCTATGGCGCCTACACCTCACTCACCCACCCCTCCAAGGAGTGGCTCAAGAGTATTTATAGCTGGCCCCAGAGCCAGCTGGCTATCTGATCAATGAGAAACAGAAAGTACTACTGCATCAGTGGAGCCACTCAGTCTATGAGTAGACCAGCCAAATTCACTCCAACCCACTCACTACCAGGCAAGGCAGGCAGCCACACACACACACACATTCTACTCCCTTTGCTATGGGCACAATACTCTAAGGCATGTTAATTTGTGTTCTAGTTTGGTAAGGTTGGAAGTCATGGAAAACCTTCTCTGATCAACTTTAATGCATGTATGCACTTTAGCACCTACTACTGTAACTGTCTATTACAGGAACATTGGCACCTACTACAATCGTCAGTATCAACTGATCGGTTTACTGGTCAGGTCAACTTAGCAACTAATGCTTGTGTTCAGTGGAGGTCTGGTTTGTTTGTAAGCCACTGACAATGGGCCCATAACCGTAACACAAACCCAGTAGACATGCTTATCAATGGAAAAAACACACAATGTCTAGTGAAAAGAGACCACTCGTGATGCCCACATATACTGTGGCTACAGTGTATAGCATTGGAGAAGTATGAACCGCCTACCTTGTGTTGGGTAATTCCCAAGGATCTCTATAAGAATCAACAGTGTCCAGTCAGCATTGAACCCAGGCCAACTGTTGTACTGTAGCCATATGGCATTCTTTCAAGCCTTGTATGAGCTAGTTATGGCAAGGTGCAATGCTATGGGTAGGTATGTATGTACATACAGACAAAGTGAAAAGATTCGACACTTTGAACTTCGTTGAAACTGTGTCTGTGTGACGATCAACATTGACACGCTACTTTACACACACCTCACTAGGAGACCAACAGATAGCAAAGAGAGTGAGAGCGAGAGAAAGAATTCTGAAAAAAACCCTCACCTCATTGCAACGTTACTTCCATCGATGACAACCGGCCGTAGGGCAATGTTGGAATTCAACACAGGCTCTCCGTCAGTGGTGTAGTTTCTTGACGAACTCAGAATTGCCACCGGTCGGGGCAACGTAACGTGGAGCGAATTCAGCCTCTTTAGAATGTCGTCCGTGTCGGCCCAGGGGCCCATCGAGTCGACCACCGTCTCGATTCTCTCCCGGGGGAAATTGAGGCGAAGGAAGTAATGGATGGTTTGTTCACGGTGCGAGCTGTCGACTCCGCGAGACACCACGTCGCCGTCCTTCTGCTGCTCAATCTCGTATGCGATTCGCTGAACAATCTTCTCCCTCTCGGTCCCTGGTAGTTGCAGGTGTCTCGTTGAAGGGGGTGCGACGGTAGGGGTGGGAATGTTGGGAAACTGGTGAGGAGTGACCCTTTCTCTCAGGTCAGCCTCAGTGGAGGGGGGAGGAGGGGAGGGGGAGAAGGTCCCCGCGGTGCTCGTAGGGGTGGGTCTAGATTGGTCAGGAGTGACGACGAGAAGGGAGGAGGAAGAGGAGGGTTGGGGTTGGGGCTGGGGCAGATCCGGGGGAGCCATGACTGATTCTATTCTTTTGCACAGTTCCCACGACTGAAAGTTCGGTGGTGCCTTGAATGGAGATGCAGCTGGGGGAAGGACCAGGGAGGATGGCGGTACAGAACTCTGTTTCGAGGTCGTCCCTCAGTCTACTGGTCTCTGAGAGCAGCTGCTGCACCGACTGCTGGTCCGTGGGACACTCCTTGACAACTGCTGGCACACACAAAGAGAGTATGTAGTCCTGTGTGCAGAGGGAGAAAAGAGAGAGAGAGAGGTATTATTGACTGGTGGTAAATGGCAACTGAAACGTAGCAGGAATGAAGTGTTGTTGCTTTTTTGGAAACAGCTTAGCTCAGTTGGGAAAGTGGAGGTGTGCACTTTTGGGTTGCAGTTTCCACCATTAGAATAATGGTTCCCGCTAGCTCAGTTATTCCCCGTATCTCTACAGCATGCTCGGGAGTAACAGCAGCCGCACATGCATGTACAGGTCACGCACACTAAGCGACAAAGGACATGCATTCACCGCACACCGCCAAAAGGTATTGTACAAGTATAATAATAATTATACCTTCGCCTTTCCCGTCGTCTCGCTGGAAGCTCCTCTGAGGTTCACCCAACAACCGGCGTCCCTGTCTCCCTCGTGCTCCTGCTGTGAGCCAGAGGGCACAATCACTGGCGCCAGGGCCACCTCCACTGCGAAAAGTCGCTCCAAGCGCCTCGCGACTGCTGTTTCTCCCAGTCTCTGGGCCTGTCTGCTGTCGTGTATCAATAATCTCGCCTCACTGCGTCCAGACATCCAAACGGCAGCCAGCTGCAGCTAGGAACCACCTCTGCACATTGGCCACAACAGCGACGGCAGGGCCAGTGCCGGCAAAACCAATACTTGAGCTCTCTTTCTACTAGTCTGTGGCTATAATACTGCAGCATCTGTGGCTTGTCTGTCCACAGACGGTCAACCCTAGCCCATTCCACTGGCACTGACTAGCGCACGACAGTTTTTCCATTCAGCAAAAGACACACAGTCCGCCGCTCTTTATTAGTTATTGAAAACGGAAATTGTGAGACGATGACGTTTCCTAATGCGTCTCGCGCTAATTAATTAGACCGCCGCGCGCACATTATTATGTAAAAACAACTCGTGGGCGTGTCTCGATCACAGCAAAACCGACTCGAGAGAGACTAGAGCGGCGCCATGCCCGTGACTAACGCCGAGATCTTGAACCAGATCCATCTGTCGGGAGAGGCGCCCTGCTCCCTTTTCCAACCGCACCCGATGAAAGCAAACTTTTGCGTCGGCTGCAGCAAGTTAGTCAACAAACACGAGGCAGCGAGCATTCCAGACGACGACTGTCTTCTCAGGGTGAATCAGAGCTGTATTTTTTCACATCACACAAATAACACGGTAGAGTAATAAAAGTAGCACGTAGAGAAGCAAAGAATCGCTGGGAAATGGAGTGCACAGTCAGCACTAGTTCTTAGCTCCATTTTTTCACTTTTTCACTTTTTCTTGCAAACAAGATACAGAGAGAGCCAGACTAGAAAGTAGTGTCATGCAGCTCCAGAACGAGGTCAAGCAGGACTGAGTTTAGTAGTTGGTGACTGGAGCAATGCTTGGATTAGGTGTGATTGGTGCCAGTCAGCTGATGCACGGTGGTTGGGTGTCAGTTTTTCACAAGATTCTCCCCCAAAGTTTTAAATAATGACAATTGCATGGAAACTGCACTCTCCCAAACCATCATAAAATAACCCCACTGGCACTCTGTACTCTCTCATACACCAGTAATTACTCCTCCGGCTTTTAACTGCCTGCACATGCACTCAGTAGGTTTAGCAATGAAGTGTGGTCAAAGAACCGACTAGTTTCGCAAGTTTGGGAGCTTATTTATACCTTTTAGAGACACCTCGATGGCTCATATACCACGCATTGACTTTTCGCTTCTTACTTCATAATATAAGAGGTATAAAGCTTATGTATGACGATGTGTTTATAGGCATTATTGTGTGCAGGCAATTGAGTTCAGTCAGAGCAAGGAGAAGGTTCCGAGTTGTATAGAAGAGAGGAGGGAGGGGAGAGGAGGGCTGTGGCATGGCGGATTCAAAGCAGTCATGAACCACGACTTCTTGCGAGCAGAAGGCATTACTCACGTTGTCAACACGGCAAAGGGCCTGGAGATGTTTGGACGAAAGTACACTGTAAGTTTGAAGCTAAATTCTCTTCCCCAGAGTTTAGAGCACGTCTGGGGTGACTTGTCTGAGCAAACAGTGCCTTCTTTGGGGCCAGGGGAGGGCTTTCACCAACAAACAAGTCCGGTTATTCTGCAAGAGACACTCGCTCGCCGTGAAGATAAACTGGTTTAGTGGTGGAGCGTGTGTGTTTTCAATTCCCTTATGAAGACTGTCTCGTCTGCTGTGTATGTAGAGGTTCTTGGTGGGGGACCTGACTTTGATATCATAGCTAGAAGATACACAAGCATAAACTACCTCTAGCTATGGTCAAAGGGAGTTGCTGATGTTGGCAGGTAGCACAACAAACTGCGAGGTGACAGTGCGTGAGAACTGGACATAATATTGGGACACTTTTTTCTGAAAAACATTAAAACTAAATCTGAAGTCACGGAAAACAAATATAGTGCCAGGGAACTGCCCTAGGTTTGAGAACAATTCCAGTTTGGAGCGTAGCTTTCACTCGAAAGCAATTGACACGCTAAGAGCAATAAATTTTGAGAGAAAGCTATTTCATTATAGCTCTCCCATGCTCATCAAAAGTGCTCAGAATTTGTCTACTTGCAATAATAACTTTTCAGTATGCAGCATCCATTGGCTGCATAGCGGCTACATAATAGGCAGCCACGTGCCCTGAATTTTTGCTCGTTTTCTGTATTCATCGGTCTTTTAAGCATGCAGGTGGTACCTCATGTATATAATTATACTGAGCATGCATAATTATTAGAGCTCATTAATTAAGCATTGCTCAAATATTTTGTCACTTCTATGACTGTGTAATTACATTTTCTGGTTCAGTGTGATCACATATGCCTCCAGGAAGCTGTAGAGAAGGCCAAGAGTGAGCTGAACGTGACGTTCCTCGACCTCGACTGGATCGATGCTACCTCATTCGAGATCTCCGACGATAGTTTGGACGAATGCTGTCGTTTCATTCATAAAGCACGAACCAGTGGAAGCTCAGTGCTAGTCCACTGTGCCCAGGTCAATAAACTCTCTCTCTCTCTCTCTCTCTCTCTCTCTCAAAATGATTTCTTGCTGACACAGGGAAAGTCTAGGTCAGCGACTGCAGTAGTAGCTCACTTGATGGCAAGCTACAGATGGGCCTACAGCGAGGCTCTGGCTGCTGTGCAGGCCAGGAGGAAGATGGCGGAGCCAAACCCAACCTTTCAGCAGAGACTCAGAACGTTTGAGAAGTCTCCTACCCTCTCCACCCTCAGAGCTGCGTTGTCATGATTTGCGCATGCGCGAAAACCACGTGTTAATAATTCAACTGCAGAACGCACTCGGCACGCTGTCGTTTTTGGCTGACTTGTGTTACTGGTGTGCAGAGAGACATGGCCTCTGGTCCTCCGCCCGATTTCCCCGGAGGCGGGCGTCTCTGGCGTTACGTCCGGGGCGCCCCCAAGGCGGAGCTCCATCTGCACATCGAGGGTACACTAGAACCAGAGCTGATGTTCGAGATAGCGGCCAGAAACGGCGTGGCCGTGGAGGGGACGGTGGAATCCCACCGCATCAGGAGACAGAGCTTCAAGGTATTCTAGCTATGCCACAAACGATCTTCGTCCTCTCTCTCCATCTTTCCCTTGTCCCTACTTCCGCTGCTCTCCCTCCCCTCTGCAGGATTTACAAGACTTTCTAGACCTGTACTATGCTGCCTGCGACGTCCTCAAGACGGAGGAGGACTTCAGGGACCTGATGTATGCCTACCTGCAGAGGGCCGCAGTGGACAACGTGTATGCGGCGGAGGTTTTCTTTGATCCTCAGACCCACACCGAGCGAGGGGTCCCGTTCGACGTCGTGATATCGGGGCTCCACCGTGGGATTGTGGAAGGACATCGCAACTTGGAGATCCGTGCCAACCTCATCATGTGTTTCCTGCGTCACCTCTCGGAGGAGTCGGCCCTGTCCACGCTGGAACAGGCACTGCCTCACCTCGACAAGATCGTTGGCATCGGACTGGACAGCGGGGAGTTGGGCAACCCTCCGAGCAAGTTTGAGCGGTTGTTTGAGAGGGCGGCGGGAATGGGGTTGAAAACGGTTGCCCACGCAGGGGAGGAGGCGGGGCCTGAGTACATCCTAGAGGCACTGGAACTATTGAAGGTTCGCCGGATCGATCACGGCGTTCAGTGCCTCAAGGATTCCAGTCTGGTGGAGAGGTTGGCGAAGGAGGGCGTACCGCTCACTACCTGCCCTCTATCCAACATGAAGTTGCAGGTGAACTCACGCTACTTTGGCGGGAGGAACGTGACTGGCCAGCTGCTCGAGGCGGGGCTGAGAGTCACGATCAATTCCGATGACCCCGCCTACTTTGGTGGGTATATAAACGACAATTTCGTCAGAGCTGTCTCCGACTGCAACCTGACAGAGAGAGACGTCTACAAAATGTGTCGCAATTCCTTCACCTCTTCGTTTCTCTCGGATGTCGACAAGGCTTTCTGTATCTCCCAGCTGGACTACCACACCATCGTATCGGGGTACGCGGCCCCACCGAGGAATATTTCAATCTTTGGTTCTCGTTCCCCGGAGCCTGGGTCACCCGAGTACGAAGAAGCGAGAGCCATCGCTAAGCTCCTGGCGTCTCGTGGGTTCACAGTGTTCACGGGAGGTTACAGTGGAATCATGATGGCCGGGGCCCACGGAGCCAGAGAGGGGCTGGACGAGAGACGAAACTCTGGAGGCGAGAGTGAGGCTCAGGAAGTCTGCGGTGTGCTAGTTCCCAGCCTGTTTGCCTTCAGAGAACCTCTCGGAAATAGCTACACCACCAGACCAATAGTGGCTCGCTCCCTCACCAATCGAATCAACCACTTCTGCATGAACTCCGAGTATTTCCTGGCCTGCAGAGGCACCATTGGCACCATCACCGAACTACTGTACGTGTGGAAGTACGCAACCATTAGAAATACTATCGGAGTCTCTCTCCCAAAGATCCTCGTCCTGAGGTCAAACTTCGAGAAACCGCTGGAGGCATTTGCAGACGCCATGAAAATTTTTCCGGAGGACCGAGGGCTAATTCAGTACGTTGACTCGGGTGAGGAGATTTTGCAAGTTTTCGAAGAGGATTTGAAGAGGCGCACTGTCGCTGCGACAATCACCCTCCCTCCTCCTTTCTCCACATCCAACTAGTATCGCGTGGTGTTTAATATCCATGGCGAGCGAGCAAGCCAACCTAGTCGTTCAATTTGGCGTGGATTTTTTCACGTCGACCTTTTCGTCTGTTCAACGTGCGCAGGCAATGCATACACGAAAACTTGCCAACTCTAATTGCCAAAATGAACGTCAAATTTAGATGTAAAATCACCCCTATTCATACGGACTACACAAAACACGTTGCTACACAAAATCAACACTGGCGTCTATACGAATACAAAGTCATTCTCTGAGCCTGTTTCTGTGCTGGTGGCACCATCTGGTGGTGGGAGATGTGAGGGGGTTAGGTGGAGAGGGGAGGGTATGGAGGGTGGGGAAGATGAGAGGGGTGGGGAGGAGGGAATGCAGGGTGAGGGGGACACTGGAGGCGAAGAGGTGGGGTGGGTGGGGTTAGAGGAAGGTATAGTAGTTGTCACAGTGATAAGAGGAGGATCTTGATTGTCTGTTTGTAAAGAACCTGCAGACCTGGGCCTGTGTCAGGCATGATGAACATCCTAACAAGAGTAAGAGAGCTTATCCGGCATAATCACCTCTCAATTGGGTCAACAGCCTCATGAGTATTGGTTGTGTGAGTGTTTTGTTGGTCGGCTTTGTCTCCATGACTACCATCTGGAAGAAACAAATCCACCTTTCAAATGTGTTGAAAGTGTAAAACAGTGGGTTTCATGAAATTCAAGTGTTGGAGTGGACAAGTATTGCCTGGAAAATTTTTACTAAAACTGCAAATCTCCAATAGGAGCTACAGGTGGACCTGATGGTGGGGGAGAGAGTTCACCACTCGCTGATGACGGCTGCGACCTCCGCAGCTCAGTGCTGGTGACCCCTGACCCCAGCTCAGTGCTGGTGACCCCTGACCCCAGCTCAGTACTGGTGACCCCTGACCGCAGCTCAGTGCTGGTGACCCCTGACCGCAGCTCAGTGCTGGTGACCCCTGACCCCAGCTCAGTGCTGGTGACCCCTGACCGCAGCTCAGTACTGGTGACCCCTGACCGCAGCTCAGTGCTGGTGACCCCTGACCCCAGCTCAGTATTGGTGACCCCTGACCGCGGCTCAGTGCTGGTGACCCCTGACCCCAGCTCAGTACTGGTGACCCCTGACCCTAGCTCAGTACTGGTGACCCCTGACCCCAGCTCAGTACTGGTGACCCCTGACCCCAGCTCAGTATTGGTGACCCCTGACCGCAGCTCAGTGCTGGTGACCCCTGACCCCAGCTCGGTCCAGTCGACAGCTCTCCCCACGCCAGCGGAGGAGGAGGAGGAGAGGGTGTGGCGACGATACGACCCAACATCGATCACGCCACTTGCCGCATTGACTATGTGCAGTTGGACATCCTCGTCCTGTGTGAGCGATGGGAGGAAACTCATGAATATTCATAAGGTATAATTATATCAAAGCGAGTGGAAAACTCAAGCCCTCAAGCGTGCGTTAAAAAAAACTGTGACCTCTGCAACATGAGACGCTCAGGAGGCAAGGGTTCAAAGTCAACAACACACATATATACACACAAACACCTTGTGTTGTTACTGATGGTGGGTGGAAGGTTGCGTACATTTGTGAGCTGAATCGGTGTCTGATTGCAGTAGTTGAGTGCAGCGTGTTGAGCTCCGTAGAGGAGGAGGTTGTGGACTATCAATGGACGATTCCATCTACAGTATTACAGTAGTAGTGGAATAGAGAAGAAGAGTCTATTGGAATAGCTACCGTCGTATCACACACAAAAAATCCTTTTTGCAACTGCGAGAATGCTTTCAGTTTAGCAAACTGCGTTCACAAGCGATTAAAAACAAAATACAGTGTAACCTCTAAACACAAGGACTGCAATATTGTCGTCATGCAATAGGCTTTCTTTGCCAGGAGAAAACTGAATTAAATCATAAGTGAGGTACGATGATTGGAAGGTGATCACGTTATAGATTGTGTATTTCATATTGTGAGAGCGGGAGGGAGGAGAAAGGGAGGGGTTATTACTCACTTGGCAGCCGAGTGGAGGGGGGTGTCCCCACGATTATTGGCCACGTCGACATCAGCGCCATGCTGCAGTGTGTGCACACAACGTACAGTGAAAAGGACACTCCAAGACACCTCTCTACAAACGACACTGTCCTGACCCATACTTAGTCACCTCAGAAAGGGATGCCACTGAATAAATACTAATTCATTAGTCACCTCCGAAAGGGCCACCACTGAATAAATACTAATTCATTAGTCACCTCCGAAAGGGATGCCACTGAATAAACGACACCTTCAATGTCCCCCAGTTGTCCCTTATTCAGAGGTTTTGCTGTAGTGTACACACGCAGGACAAGAAGTAAACACCAAGGATTGAATTACACATCGGTAATCCTATGACTTGGAGGTGACTCAACGATCAACACATTGCACCAATGAGAATGTGTAACCTTACCTCGGGTAATACACCTGCTAGAAAGTGCAATAATAATAATGATCCCCATAGCAAGGATGGTGCTGTACACATGATGAGGGTATTTAGTCACACTAGAATGACAGTTGTTGGATAAATTTCGGGTCTAACTTTTGATCATTTTAAAGAATTCTGTGGCGTACTATGAGTAGTAGGGTGGTTGATTCCATGTGGCCATTCTGACTGGCAAAGTGAAGCGGAGTGTGTCCCTGTGAGTCCCGAGGATTAACATCCGCTCCACTCTCTATCAGCAGTAAAACCACCTGCGGGGAAAGTAAAGGTGTCCATAGTAGTGAGGTGTCCTTATGTATTTCAAGGGTTAAACTGCATACAAGACCTGTTCTTGGGTCTTGGGGAAAGAAAGGAGTCCATAGTAGTGAGGTGTCCTCGTTAAATGTACATAGGAACTGTTCTTGGGGAAAGAAAAAAGGTGTCCATATTAGTGAGGTGTCCTTATTTCACTGTTCTTGGGGAAAGTATATTAGTGGGGTGTCCTCTTCACTTCAGAGACTGTCCTTAGAGAGGGGTTCTACTGACGTACACGATGTCTTGGTAGACTCACGTCCTTGTGGTTGTACTGGCAGGCCAGGTGGAGAGGGGTCAGGAGGTCAGCTGTCTTGCAGTTCATGGTGGCGCCGTGGGAGACGAGGAGGACCATGATCCTCCGTCGACCCAGCTGGGCCGCCCTGTGTACCGGAGTCACTCCAGAGCCATCGCTAGTGTTCACCGTCAGGTTGCTTCCCAACGCCGTTGTCTGGAGATGGTAGATGCTGTTACCGCTATTTATTTATTGCTATTTGCGAGCCACGGTCGAATACTGTGTGGTTAAATCTTAATCTATGTGAACGTGCGACGACAGTAAAATCCACAGAGCGCTGTTCTACCATTAATGATGATCAACAATAATTTTTTCACACTCTCGTGATAGTCTTAAAAAGGGAGTAATACTGCTCTGTGTAGAGCTAAAATTGAACAAGTCCCATTGTACGATTTGAAGGGTTCAGCTATTCCTTCCCCCTATGTATAAAAACCCTGATGCTGGTCCCCCACTGAGCAAATGGCCGAATAACTCTCTCTCTCACTCGGTCTCTACCTTCCTGAGTCTAGTGCACTCCTCACAGACACAGAGAGGATGACAGAGCTGCCCAGAGTGGCCGTCCACCTCCTCCTCCTCCGACCAGCCAAACAGGTAGCGAACCTGGCGCAGGGTGGGGGCAGGGAAGACAGTCAGCACATGTATGCAGTGCACACGTCCCTAGCCTTCACAGGCAACTGAACAAGTTACTACCATAAGCCCCGGGACACTCTGTTAAAGCTGGTTCACAATGGCATCAGGATCAGGTGTCTTAGTGTGACGCAGAATGCAATATACAAGAGCTTGTGTCAAACTGTGAATGGGTGGTGTGGCTGCTCAATTAATACTGAATTAGGCACAAGGAAAGCTGGCTGTATAGTTAGAGAGACAGTGGTTGAATGGCAGACGTACAAAGTTAGCGTCATCATCGCTTATTGCTCGGAATAACTTCTTCAGCTGTGGATGAGATGGAAGAAATCACATGATGTCATGTGCTGGTCATGTGACTCTCACATGTCTCTCGGTCGTGTCTGACAGCGAGTCGGCCTTTCTCCGCGGCTGTATTCTCTTCATCTTCATACTCACTGACTGGAGTCAGAGATAGGATAGAAAGAAGGAAGACAGAATGGGAGGTAGGAACGGAGGAGAACGGTGGTGGTTGCAACAGGTAAATCTAGCGTTCTACTCACCCTCACTAATTCCCCATCTGACTTTCGTCTGGCTTGAAACAGTAGGTCCTGGACCTGCACACACACACCCACAGTATCAGAGTCACAACAGAGAAAAGAAAGGGAAGGGGACTCACCTTCCTGCTCTGAGCACACTGAGCCGGTGTTTCAGTTCGACTGTTTTGGATCGTGGTGGAGGCCTTGTGCTCCAGCAGAAGAGAGACAATGTTGGCTGGGGACAACCAGGGAGGAGAGAGAGAAAGGGAGCATCAATGACACGCACAGGGCTGGAACCAGACAAAGCATTCACCAAACAGGTGGAATTTCACCATCCTCTGCTCTTCTGCTTCTTTCACTCCACTTTTCAACTGCCTATATTGCACTCTGCTTACGTATATGCATAGCCTAACCCCCACCTTATATACCAGGTCTAGCATGCTCGCCAGCTGTTGTGACACGCAATGCATAGAGCAGTGCTCAAACCCGAGGCTCTTCATTAGGCATACATGCGTACATCAGCCCATTACTTGGGGACTTGTGGGTGTGGGTGTTGAAAGATGTTGGGGCTGTGCGAGTGAGCAGGCCTCTGTCTGTCGGACTACAGCCATTCTCAAAGAAGGGAACAAGAAGGCGTGTCTGCCTCACACGAGGGAGGTCCTGTAACCATATGGCTGCCATTGGGTCTGAGTAGACCGCTCCATTAATCCCCCCACAGGTCGTCAAATCAGGAGCAAGAAGTAATCAATCTTAGGTATCCCACTGTAGAAAACCATCTCTGCCATCACTGCCTACATTACACTTCCCTTAATAAGATCCCCTCAATAAGGTCACCTCCATTAGTATTGGTGCTGTCTTACCGTAGCCCCATCTGGCGGCATTATGGAGCGGAGTGTCTCCCTGTCCATTGGCAGCATTGATGTCACAGTGGTCCTTGTGGAAGATGAGCGCCTTTACACACTGTGGTTGAAGATATTATAATTATTGAGAGAGAGAGAGAGAGAGGGAGAGAGAGAGAGAGAGAGAGAGAGAGAGAGGGAGAGAGAGAGAGGGAGAGAGAGAGAGAGAGAGAGAGGGAGAGAGAGAGAGGAGAGAGAGAGAGAGAGAGAGAGAGAGAGAGAGGGGTATAAATGGAGGAAGGACGGGAAACGAGAAAGGAGGAAGGACAAGGGAACGGAAAAAAGAAAAAGGAATTAGTGAAAAGTAGTGAGCAGATGGTGAAAAACCTCTTTGTGTCCGTTGGAGCAGGCGAAATGGAGACAGGTGTTGCCGCGGATGTCCGCTGCGTTGACAGGTGAATCCTCTCCCAGCAAGAGAAGCTGTGCATGTGTGTTTGTGTGTGCAACAAAGCCGTCATAGTGTCGATCACTACTCCATTGCGGGCTATCATCAGACACAGAAATGCAATTGTCTGCATATCATGAGGTTAAAGTTTGTTTTAATTAAGATGTACTCACATATTGGGTTTCATGTACATCATAACATCATGAGGTGTTAGGTTTAAAGAGAACCTCAAATGACGAATATGAAGATCACCACATCATGAGGTGTTAGAATCTCAAATGAGAAGATCACCACATCAAAAATGCATGTACAATGTGGCAGAGTTAGGGTTAAAAGGAGAACAGAGTTTACAATTTTTCTGTTCCCATTTCAGAATAGTAAGAGTCTAGAATCTTGACGCTCTTTAGTTCAACTTTTTCTTTCTTCTCGCTCTCGCTCTGCTCCCTCCACGCCTTGCTCCCACCATTGGCCGATGAGCTGGATCCTCTAACAGTGGATCCACTGGTGCTAGATGCTCTGTAGTCGAGTCTCGAGAAAAACAAGAGATACAGGGCTCCAACCTTCCTCGTGAACATGAACGCCAGAAACAGCACGAAGCCCTGAACAGAGTTGAACACGATGAAAGGGTACCAGGCCCAGTCTCGTGCAGCCACTATAGCCAGGAATCCAAATACCCACGTCGCTCCCGAGGAAAAGAACATGGCACAGTAGACCCTCACGTAGGTATAGGGAGCCGAGTGACTGATGCTCATCTGGTTACCAAATGCCCGGAGGAGAATGACGGATACGACGGAGAGACTCGTAAGATTGATGAGGAGACAGAGAGCTACTGGGACGACAAAGGCTACGATGGCAGAGAGCATGTGGTTAATCCAGCACAGACTGTCCGTACCATCCACCTGTCTGCCATACAGAACAAGGTGGGAGGTAGCCGAGGAATAGTTGAGTGCCAGGGACACCCCCACAATTACCAGAGGAAACCCCCAACCAACGAGGCAATGCAGGAGAAATGTCCGTCGGTTTGCCTTGGTAGAAGGGGTGACCCTTAATCTGACTCCCCTAATTAGCGTCCGGAGTACCTCGAGACTCATAACCGTCATCCAACAAAACTGAGCGAGAAAGAAGAGATGGAGGAGGATTCCTACTGCCTCGCAAAGAGACTGGCTCCGTGCGGCTGAGGCAACGGGTCCACCCACCAAGATGAGGAAATTTGTGACCAGGATGGTGAGTGCAATGTTGGCCAGGATTGCAGTTGTTAGAGTCCTGAGGTCCTTGAAGAGGGCGAGACTCAGTAGAATGATTGCCACACCTATCAGGGACAAGGAGCACCCAATGTACGTCAGGACAAAGTAGGCAGTGGGGTAGCTGTAGAAGGTGAGAGTTTCGTTCACCGTTTTCGTCCCATTTGTGCTGAAATTGACACAAATTACAGGGTAGCCGTCCGTTAATTCAAGCACATTGTACACAGTATCGCTGTAGATGACAGAAGAGTTGTCTAAGAAAGTGAAATTGTCATCCTCTGTCAACTGAATGAGTGCTCCCGGGCAGGATAAATTGCTCGGTGTTGAGGGAAATTTGCAACCTCCTGTGTTGCTCTGAAATACTTCTGAGCACACGACAGGTCTGCAGTCCATGATAGCAGGGTCATACACCTCAGCCTCGCCGCACGTGACGTCAAGCATGATGGAACTGAGAGATGTTGTCACTTGAACACCGTCGTTTCTAACGTCCAGCACTACACTGAAAGGCATTGCTGGTGGTAGGGTAATAGACGGGAACATGAGGTCGGTTCTATTCGACGGAGGTCTCCGCTGGTCTCCCAACTGCCGCTGTGCTGCAGCCGCACAGAACGATACATTTGGATATGGACTTAGAGGTTTCTCGGCACCGGGAAATGTCTCCCCTGGGAGAGTCGCACATGACGTGATGCTCTCCCCATTACACAGGGCACAGCGCTCATTTCGGTACACCGTTCCTCCCACTTTAGCCCAAACTGGGTTGAACGGCATGCTTCTGCACATCTCTAGAGCAAGTTGGTGCTCTTCATGTGTGAGGGACAGGTCTTCCTGACTGAGGCAAGTGCTCACGTGAGGGTAGCAGGCTCTAGTTTTGGAGCCCAAATCAAGGTCCAGCGGTGGCTCGTATCCGCAGATTATGCATTCTCTGTCGATGATTTCCAGGGTCAGTTCGAAGATAACGTAGCCAAGAGCAGCTTGCACCAGCTCTGAACTCAGCCACTCCGTGCAGCCCAGCCCGTAGCGCCAACGGACGGCGCTGCTCACTCCGTTACACACGGCGCAGTACTCGTTCTTGTAGACGAGCCCCGTAGCGCTGTCGGAGACGGGCGGAAGGAAGGGTTCGCCGGTCGTACAGTTTGCGTCAATCTCAGCGGCGGCCTCGCTGAAAGCTAGCCAGTCTTCGGGGCAGACAGAGATCATCCAATATGCCTCTCGTGGTCCGACGCTGACGGGTTCGTATTCGTCGAGAAAGACGTTTTCCGTTCTCCGACACTCGAGGTTCTGCAGAGTAGGTCTGTCTTCGACGCAGGACGATGCTCCGTCTTCGCAGCAGTCGCTATATATCGTGCAGTTAGCGTCGCAGCGACACCGCCTGCTCGTAGACAGCTCCCCGGAGGCCGAAGCGGGGCACTCCGGACCGCATGTGTCGCACTGGACTGCAGCAGATGCACTGATTCCACAGAAACAGACGAAGAGGACCCACAATATCACTGCACTGCTCTCCATTTTACTAGGGTGCCAGTTCAGCATTACCTAAGTGCACTATATATAAACTGTGATGGAATTGAATTAGCTGACAAGAAAGCCCTAACATGGGCAGGGAAGCCGACACATTAGCATTCTATGATCAGTATCTTTGCTGTTCCTTTTATTTTATTTTATAGCTTCTCCATTGCCAACTGGAATAAAATATCGGCAAAAAAACATCCTGCAGTTGAGGTTACGAAAGAGACGCGACGATCGCATGCGAGATTGCGCGAGTGTGTAGCCGCGTGTTTGCGCATGCGCATGCGACTTGCTGCCGCGCGGCGTCCGGTGTATTTAACGGCACACGGGAAAAAGAGCGACACCTCACCTCCATCGTGCAGTATCGAGTCACACAAGAGACCCACACAAATGGAGAGAAGAAAGAGACTACTTACGTCGCTCGGAGCTGCGCTTTGGTTGCTCATATTACTAGTTAGCGCGGACGTCGCGGATTGTCAAGATGACTTGGGCTTGGGCTACTACTCACCCAACGCAGAATACGACAACTGTCGGACGTGCCCTGACCAAGGACTGGTCATTGGAGAGGAAGAATTGCTGTGTCGCTGCGACTCTAACTGCACGCTCTACGGAGATTGCTGCAATTCGCACGTTCAGTCGTTGAATGGCGGTGACGACGACGTCGCGGACCAGTTGAACGGCTTGCTAGAATGTCGCAGCGTCTACCTGGACGAGCGGACCCAGCCAGGCTGGGAGGAATCGTTCTGGATGGTGTCGGAATGTCCCGCCGACTGGCTTGCCGGGAGAGACGACCAGCTACTTCTGGACATCCTCAACAACTGCTCGAGAGGCAGCGACGATCTACCGCCTGTCACCGACCTGCAGACGGGGCTGGTGTACAAGAACGAGTACTGTGCCGTGTGCCACCAGGTCGGGAGCTTCAGACAGTGGGGCTACACCTTTGAATGCAACCAACAGCTCCGTCTACTGACCGAGCAGCCAGACTTCCAGATCACACTGGACGTTGTACAACAGTGGTGTCTCGTATGCCGATTCCGAGACCCTCACGAAACAAACCCAACTGTTCCAGCAGCCAGGGCGTGCGTCCATCCCTCTCTGGTAGAAGATTCTTGTCTCGAGCGAGAGCGTCTTGAGGCAATGACTGATGTTCAAATCTCAGAGCAGGTCTATCAACAAGAGCTGGTGAGCCAGTGCAAGAGTGGACACCTTAGCCCCGTTGTGGCAAAAAGCTCTTCCAAACCTTTCCGTAACCAGTACTGTGCACTGTGCAATGGGATCAGAGTTAGAACGCTGGCATGTGTCAGTCCATACACGTTCAGAGATGAAACCAACCACTGCGAGTTAGAAGCTGCAACAATGGCGCCAACCATAGAACCCCCTGAACAAACAGAACCCCCTACGACTACACCCACCACCCAAACCCCTACCACTACACCCACTACCCAACTGCCCACGAAACCACCTCCTACCAACCAACCCGGGAAAATCAACATCACCGGCGAATTTTTCAATATCGAACTTCCTTTGGTTTTGGCACGGCCTCCTCCACAAGGTTTAATTATTGAAAAACCAGAGATTATACCGCCACCATTCACAGTGTTTGTGGACCCAGACAGAAACTCCCAGACCATTACTGTGGGTCAGACGACAGTCAGCGTCACCACCACATGCGAAGACGGAGAGGTATTTGATCACATCAACCGGAAATGTCGCAAAACGGCCTGCCCGGAAGTGGCCCGAGGGGAGCCCTGCATACTACCAGCACAGCTCGATGAGAGCATCGCTATCAATGGTACAAACGGTACTCTGAACAACAACAACTCTCTTTCTTGCGACGAAGAAGATGAATCTCCCATTCCACTTGACGATTCGGAGTTTATTCTGCTCGACAACGAAACTTTAGAGTTTGGGGGAGAGATTTTTGAAATCATCGGCTACAGCAACGGCTCGGCAGTCATCTGCACAAACTTCTCGCAGAACGGAACGTTCGAGGTGAACGTGACGGTTCTCTCCTACTCCTATCCAGTAGGTCTCACCGTCCTGACCTACGTGGGTTGCTCGCTCTCCGTGATTGGCTGTGCGGTAGTTCTGTTGACTTACTCTCTATTCAAAGAGCTGCGGACACTGCCAGGGAAGATTCTGATGAACCTCTCTGCCGCCATACTGGCCACCTCTCTCTTTCTCGTGGCTGTGATCCGACTGTTTGCCCTGTCGGGGAAAGAGGAGCTCTGTCACACAACCGCCATCTTCCTCCACTGGTTCGTCCTCTCCGAGTTCTCCTGGATGACCATCATGAGCGTCGAGCTAGCACGGACACTGGTTCGAGCGTCACGCCTGAGACCGACTGAGAGTGATAAGGTGAAACGGAAGATATTCCTCATCTACTTGCTGATTGGATGGGGCATCCCTACCATTGTGGCAGGGCTGAGTGTGGTTCTCAACTACACCACAGACTACATCCAATACGGGGAAGACGGATTCTGCTGGATCGGTGACCGAAACTCTTTCTTTGCCGTTTTCCTGACTCCGGTGGTTCTCTCACTGCTACTGAATGCCGCAGCGTTCTTTGTGACCAGCTACCTGCTACTCAAGGCACAGCGAGGCGAGGCCAAGCTCCAGAAACAACACAGCACCTCTTACTTCCGCATCCACCTGAGCGTCTTTTCCGTGACTGGACTCACGTGGGTGTTTGGGTTTGTCGCGATCCTCGCCAGGAATGACTGGGCCTGGTACATCTTCCTCATTCTCACCTCCACTCAGGGGTTCACCATCTGCGCCGCTTTCCTCTTCACTAAAAAGGTATTCTCCCTCTACAAGGAGCGGTGCTGGTCCAGAATCTCCAGCAGGTTCAGCCTCAAGAGCACGCTCAAGCAGAGCACGCAGGACACTTCGCTAGCCGTACGCTACGTCAAGAAGGGCGAGAACACCAGTTCAGTGTCTGCCGTGTCTATGAAAGAGACGGAAATCGGTCCAGCTGTCGAGCCTTCGGAGACAAACGGGCAAGCAAAACAAGAACCAGTCAGATACGCAAGGGACGTGAAGAAGCAAGAAGAAGAAATCGCAAAAGACACTGAGCAAATTAGTGTAACCTCAGAGAGAGAACAGATTAACCAAGAACCAGTCAGATATGCAAGGGACGTGAAGAAGCAAGAAGAAGAAATCGCAAAAGACACTGGGCAAATTAGTGTAACCTCAGAGAGAGAACAGATTAACCAAGAACCAGTCAGATACGCAAGGAACGTGAAGAAGCAAGAAGAAGAAATCGCAAAAGACACTGAGCAAATTAGTGTAACCTCAGAGAGAGAACAGACTAACCAAGATCCAGTCAGGTACGCCAAGAAACAAGACGAAGAACGTAAAACAGAATAACTTTGCTTTATATTGCACCATCATCTCTTACACTATGCGGCATGCTTCATTAGCACCTTACATTCTGGCACCCAACACAAAAATCTGTCTGTATACTTTGCTGTATTTATTTATTCCTTACCACTGTCTTTTGATGTCCTTTCTGGCAAGCCAAATGTAGGGGAGTGGCACCGTGGTGGTCTGTGGCTGTCACCAGAGCCCCATTCTCCACCAGCAGACTCACCAGCTCAGTACTACCTGTGGTTATATGCAGTAAAGGACCTTCTGAATAAAGGACACAAGTATAAGGGACACGCTCCACTAGTTAACTACGGGACACCTCTGCTGAAAACGAGCACTTTCAATGTCCCCAGAGGTTTCACTGTATGCCCATACCACCAACCCCCCCCCCCCCAATCCCAGTCGCCAAACACGTGTGAGGTGTGACCTACAATTCTTGCGGCAATGTGTAGGGCAGTGCGACCGTCCACATCTCGAGAGAAAACAGTGACTCTGTGTGAGTCGTCCATCTGCCTGTAGTGGGTGGGGTGGGGAGGAAGTGGCTTCATGTTGGGGTTTCCTCTGGTAGGATTACTCAGGCAATTTCCTCTAGTTGGATACTCAGACAACAACATGGTACTACACTCTACTCCATGTGTATGATCATATATGGATCATATATGATCGTATGACGTCTGAACTAAGCCGCACCGTCCCACATTAGGAGAGGCTGTCATGTGTTGTTCAAACCTGTCTTCAAGGGCTGTGCAGTGTTGGCAGTTGCACAGCGGGTGACAGAGCTGGTCCTTGGCCGCCCGAGCCTCTTCCTCGGACTGTTTGAGTAGAGTGGACACTCTCTCCACGTCTCCCTCCGACACTGCCTACACACACACACACAGTGAGTGGAATGAGTGCCTACTGCTTTGGACTTCATAATATTGAGTATACACACACACACACACACACATTAGGGTAACCTTTACCCTGAAGTATATTTGGTCTGGGTTGAAGAGTAGGAAAATCCCTTTTAATGTGCAGCACTTACCTCTCGAAATATTGAAATAGTGGTTGGTGTTTTGTAGGACGGAGAAGGTATCTACGAAGGCATGGTCCCAGAGAGGTGTCTATTTGGGGGATCTACCATATATAGACACAGTAGTAGGTGTAGTGACCTTGAAGAAGTGAGACACTGGAGAGTCCTTCTCGGTAGCCATGTTACTGCTGGGGTAGTGTCTGGGAACGGCAGTGAACATCGCACTCCAATCCGTACTTGCCAGCTACGTAAAGTGAGTAAGGACTACATATGTATGCATTAGGCAACCATTGACACCTTCAGAGTTAATTTGGTAGTTACAGGGCATGCATATCCCCTATTTGATGAGGTTTATGGCATAGATACGTAGTACAGTGGGGAATATATGATCTCTGCTTATAGTTCTTACCGGCTCTACCGAATGCCCTGGAGGCGTAGTATAAAGCCCTAGTGTATGCCACGTCTTGTGGGTATTAACTACTATGGCGATACTCTATACTATAATGTCAGTGTGAGAGTAGAACGTATATAGGACACGTTGGGTGGGGTAGGGGTGGGGTAGTCCCATACCTGTGATGATTCAGCACTGATATACTCAACAGCAGCCTCAAAGGACGTCACATTATACCTGTAGCAGGGGAAACACGCAAGGTGAAAGTACACGGTCACAAGCATCCGTTTGGTGTGTGAGGCATGTGGTGAGTAGTTTCAGTGAGTAGGTGCAAACACACGTACGCAAATTCCTCGACTCCGATTCTGGAGAAATGAAAGTTGTTGATGTAGGCCATGTTTCCGTGCCAGTTTGGAATGTCAGAAATGATGACGAGGTAGACTAGAATGGGGAGGAGCTCGTCGGCCGTCAGAGCTGAGGGAGTAATTGCAACACACACACACACTCCCACAAACAAAGTTGAAGCCAAAGGCAGTGCAAAAGGCAGTAATGTGCTAATGTATAGCGGGTGAAAATTGAGTGATAGAATGCTTCAACCAATGTTCTTGTTTCCCCATTTTGTATGTGCATGATGTATCCTAGGTGGACTCCATGTGAACTTTCAGGGCAATCCATGAAGAACCAAAGGAACTGCTTTTGCAACCCACCATCGAAGTGGCCTTCCAGAGGCATCTTTGTGAAGACAGACACACACTGCTTGAGGCAGTTCATCTTCTCCAGAGGGCTGGGCAGCTAGGAGGGAGGGAGGGGAAGAAGGAAGATGGGACAGAGGAATAGAGAAAGGAAGGGTGTGACATCACAGGAAGTTACACAGGAAATGGCACCTATTTTATCAAAACCATCAAAACAGTGATTAAGGAAGTGTTTCCCTGGAAACCCATGTATATACTTGTGACTCCACTACCTGGTTTAGTTGACAGAGGACTTTCTTGGCCTGTGGTAGAGAGAGCCTGCAGAGCAAGGAAGCCCACCATCACTCATGCCAGACATGTGTCACTAGCTCTCCCATACCTAAACTGTGCCTTGATGCCCAGATGTTCGGGAGGAATATCTGTCAGGTTCCTCGATATCTTATTGAGTGTGCTGTCCTATGTATGTACAAGGAGGTACAACATATTCATTTTATACCCCCACACAATGGCACTATGAATGCCTATGAATGCTTTCATACCCGGTGTGCCACAAGGAAGCAAATCTCTTTGAAAATCTTCTTGTGGAGTCCTGCCATTACGTAAGTCTGGAGAGGGTGAGAGTATAACAGATATTGACCTACACACAAAGAGTGGGTGTGTATATACATGAACGCACCTCCACCGCTAGTTTGCAGAAATTTCTCTGAGACATGGACTGGTATCTTCTCTGGAGGGGATTGAGACAACACAGACAGTAAACATCGCAGGTGTATATGTAGCTCCACAACAAAGTGTGTTTCCGTAAAAACACTCCAGGATTCCTCGTCACGTATAAACAGATCCAGGTGGCAAAGAAGCTCAATGGAAACACACTATAAAGTCAGGGTTTAGTACCATAGAGCTGTACTATAACGGTGTATGATGGTTCCTTGTGGCTGTTCAATAAGTAATGAACACGACGATTGTGGTATAGAGTGTCAACATGTAGGTGGTATATTATCTAAGAAGCCCAGGGGACCCAATGGCCGACAAAGGCACAGACAATATATCTACACGACGACTGATGCTGTGTCAGTGTTCACGTGGTGTAAGTTTATCTATCTAGGAGAAGCCCAGGGACACCACACGCTGGCTGACAAACAAGGATTGCAAACCTAACTTCCCCCTCTATCTCCTTCCGCCGCACACAAATCGTGTTATGAATAAGGATTACAGTTTCAGCGTGGCATGCTCTAAGTCAGGGTTCTCCCTCTTGCCACAAAGAGTAACCAACGAAACTTACAATCTTCAGCACTTCTTGGATAGCTCTCGTGTACACAGCTGACGCAGCATCCTGCGAGGAAAAAGGAAACTACTACTCACAAGAGTACTCATTCAGTTCGTGAACCTGCACACCAATGGCCTTGCTACTACATATTATACCCTACGGTACTATGCGGCCCAGTGGCTCTCTCAATACAGTGAACTTGAATTTGGAGGGATCAACGAAATGCTGACCATGCTAGTCCTGAGGGAGCCTCCTCGCTCCATTTTAAAGAATCCCAACAGACTGTCCACAGACTTCTTCACCCTGTCATTGACTGGAGAGATAAAAAAACAGGGGAGAAAGGAGTGGAGCAATTAGAGAAGTTGATAAGAAAAAAGAGAAATAAATCGCATTCAAAAACTCAAAAGCAGTCAGAGTACTAGAGCCTTAGACTACACACCCAGAGGATTGGGTAGAGGAGCCATCTCAAAAAATTTTGTGGCTTTGTTGAAAAAAATTGTAGCTGTGCCATAAAAAAAATACCTGGGTCTCTCCAGAGGTAGTTGCAGCAGTCCTCGAGACTCTCCATTCTGACGACGGCTCCTGCGTCGTCGGTGAGCGTGCCCTCCAGTGGCTGCTCCAGACAGAAGACCTGGTAGCTCTCGTCTCTACTGTTGTAGAAACACTCCTCAAAGAGAATTCGAACCTCCAGTGAGAGAAAGAAATAGAGTGGGATTAGAGGGGCAATTAATGAGGAGAAAATGGGTGTTGGGAATGCAAAGAGAAGGGGCAAAGAGCGTGGGGGAGGGGGAGGGGAGAGATTAGCAGTTAATGAGAGAGATTTGATGCATACTGTCCTGGGTGTAGTTGACCTGTTTGCCTTGCCTTGCCTTTCTATATACCTTGATACCAAGTTGTTGAGACATTATAGTGTTGGCAAGAGTCCAATACTAATGGTAAGCCCCCTCATCCCATCTCCCTATAGCTTTGTGCCAGTTTCACTCACTGATCTCTGTTCCTTGTAGCCTTGTTCGGTCGTCATTATATCCCCTGAAATAGCACACACCTGGTGAGCAAACAGACGATATCACAGCGTCTGTGTCAAGAGCACTACAACAAAGAGTGTGGACACAGGCTGTGTTTATGGAGCACCATTCATGTTGAGAATGCTGTTAGGCCTACATCAAGTGGGGGTAGCCCACTATATACCCACTAAGAGAGCTATACATTGGGATTTTTATCAAACCAACACCAGAAGCTCCTTGAAATGCAGTGAAATGAGACGATAAATACTGTGAGGAAGTTTGAGAGCAATTGAGGTGGATTTTTGAATGGACCGAGAGAGAGATGAAGGTCAGACCTTCCCGTTGCAGGAGACCAGAGTGGCGGGGGAGTCTCCTGCCATCTGTCGGAATATGTGGTTCTCAAAGTCATTCTTGTTGAGTTTCAGTCTCGGGACCGTGTCTGCTCGAGGCACAAATATCTGGGTACAGTGAGAGAGATACATACGCTAATCGGTGTACCGAACTTCTACAAGCATTGGCCAAACGCCCCGCCCCCCTTTCCCAACACCGTCATGCTCACCGAGCGCTCGCTGGCAACAGTTTGAACTGTGGCACGTATTTATACTCACCATCCATTTCTTCTCGGCCGCTTCCGAGAACATGATGTTGTACTTGGTCACCAGAGTGTTGAAGAACGGGTTCTCGTGAAGGTCTTCGTCGTATCTCGCCATTTTTTCCTGCCTCTTTTCAGGTTCGCATACTTCATTCCAGTTCCACAAGGGCCAGTGCGCATGCGTGTAGCGTTGGGCGAATGCGCATGCGTATAAAAACAGGGACGATGAAGAAGTCACTTTTTCGGTCTTGGAGGAAACTCTCGGGAATGGAGATGGCTTCTAACGTTTTTCTCTTCCCGGGACAAGGTAGCCAGTACGTGGGGATGACTCAGAAGTTGTCAGGACCCTCTGCCGCCGAGAGCCAAGTCTTCAGAACGGCCAAATGTACGCTGGACTACGACCTTCTCGCTCTGTGCGTGTCGGGACCGAAGAGCCGCCTGGACCAGACGGTGTTCTGTCAGCCAGCCGTCATGGCTGCCTCTCTGGCGGCTGCAGAGACCGTCACTAGAGGAGCGCCCGTAAGTGGGCGGGGCTATAATGCACAGCGTGTGTGTTTGAATTTCCCGCCAAATGCGCGCGTCGCCCATTTTTCTGCAGGTGTCGGAGAGCTGTGTGGCAACTGCAGGATTTAGCGTGGGGGAAATCACTGCTCTGATGTTTGCAGAGGCCCTCAGCATTGAAGCAGGTATGCAACATGAACATTGGCTTGCCATACTATAAATGACTTTTCATTATGCACCAATCTCTAATCACCATACCTTCAGTACACTCCTAGCAACCGCTGCGCTTTTTGAAGTGGTCCATTGGGAGTTGTGTGGCTTATAGGCACATCTGTGAGTGTGCCTCTCCCTTCTCCCCACCCCTTGGCCTCTGGCCTCTCTCAAGTGGGGGAGATGGGAGACCACTTAGGCTCTTACACTACTTTCATTTCAGAGAGAGCTACACCCATTTTAATTTTCCCACCACCTTTTCAGCGGGTGTGTATTGAGATATGCCCGGATGGGTGAAATCACCTTGATAATGTGTATGCGCAGATGTGTTTTTTCTGGTTAGGACTCAGACTCATCCACGCCAGGGCAACCGCAATGCAGGAGGCTTGTGAGCAGCGAGAAGGAACGATGCTCACTGTTCTCGGACTGCAAGAGGTTGTACTGCAGCAAATGTGTAACGATGCTCGAACCACGACCGGTGGAGAGGTGTGCATTGCTAACTACATCTTCCCAAAGGGGTATGTGATATCAGGAGACGCGAGAACTGTTGAGGCGGTGGGCATGCGGGCACGGGAGAGTGGAGCAACGTCAAAAGAAGTCTCTGTCTCTGGAGCGTTTCATTCGCCGCTCATGCAACCAGCCGTGGAAAAGATCCGTTCAGTGCTAGACACCCTACATATCAATTTTCCCCCGGATCCCAGTCTATTCAAATGTCACGGGGAAACCTTACACAAGTGTGGACGAAATCCAGGAGTGCCTTGCCCAGCAGGTGACCAGACCGGTTTTGTGGGAGTCAACGATCCACAACATGGCCTCAGACTACTTCAAAGCTAGGTTCTGTGAAGTCGGGCCTGGGAAACAGCTGAAGGCAATGCTTCGTAGGATCAACAGAGAAGCTTACAAACAGTTCCTCAGTATTGAGGCCTAGTCGACCACGGGAGTTTGCACACCTTTGCCATTGCTGATAACTCTTGTGTAAACCAACACTCTACAAAGAACTGGAATTCAAGGATCGTTTAACACCCTTGGCTGGTTGCAAGGACTAACAATAGCTTTGTTTTTTTTCTGTTGCATTACTCGCTTACTCACTCATGTTTCTTTTTGTCGGTGTGTTCTTTTCAACTCTTTGTGTAAAAAAAACATTCAGTGCAAGAGACAAAAGACACCTGTACAGTTTGTAAATGCTTACAGCACTTAAAAAAAGGAAGATTTAGAGTGTTTGAAAGCGTGCTATGATACAGGTGGAACAAAAATACAAATCCTGAACGGGTATTGTATGGGGTGAAAATGTAAAGCTAGACAAGAAAAGGTAAGTAACTGGGTGGTCGTTAGATGCAGGTTAAGAGGTAAAACTGCGTTGTACACGTAGAGGAGTTCAAAATAGCTGGATGCGGGAATTGCCAAAGTCGACCACAGCGATTCTCCCATCAGGCAGCACGCAGACGCTCGTGGGCCTATCAAACTGCCCGGGTGCAGTTCCAGATGAGCCAAACTTTGCAATGAAGTGTCCCATGGGGTGCATGATGACGATGCGGTTGTTTCTCGTGTCGGTGATGACAAAATTTCCCATGTGGTCAACGGCGACGCCCTGTGGCCGCATGAACTGTCCATTTCCAGACCCCTGACTACCGAGAATACGAGCTGTAGTCCCATCGGGGTGAATTACGAGAATGTGGTGAACATTGAAGTCAGAAACAATGATGTGTCCGTCGTCGTTGAACGCTATGCCGCGTGGTGAGTCGAAGTGACCACAAAGGTACCCCTTGTACCCAAATTTGCCGAGGAGAATGCCGTTGTGGCTGAAGATGAGAAGTCGGTGATTTCCCGTGTCCGTGATAGCGATTCGGCCGTCCATGTGGTTGACGGCGACATCGTAAGGGTAGATCATCTGTCCGTCGTTCCCTCCCTTGGAACCAAACATGAAGAGAAAGGTTCCGTCGATCTTGAGGACCTGGATCCTGTGGTTGTCTTTGTCCGCTACAACAACGTGACCCTCTCTAGTAACGGCGACACCGGCTGGTCGGTTGAATTGTCCAGGACGATTCCCCTCCGAACCAAACTTGTACTTTAGCTGCCCGTTGCTGTCAAACACTTGAATACGGTGGTTGCTGCGATCACCGACGATGATGTTCCCCTGTTGGTCGCAGCAGATCCCCCACGGTCGACAGAACTGCCCGTTTCCCGATCCCTCGCTGCCCCAGCACTGACTCACCACTCCAAACCTCCCATACTCCCTCCCTCCGTCCACCAGGAGAGTGAACGGACTCCCCGAAATGTGCTGGCCACGAATTGCCACCACCAGCTGGTGCTCCCCCTTCATGTGCGGACGAAAATTGATCGAGTACGAACCGTCTTGGTTGTCACGAATATCCAATGGAAGAAGGCCTCCCCCACTTGAAGCGGCTTTCAGCTGGACGAAGAGACGCTCCCCACCGTGGACACACTGTTCTCCGAGTCTGTCTTTGGTGCAGAGTATGACGGTGCACAGTCGGTTGACCCTAGGGTGGTAGAGCCCTTCTCCCATCGCTGTGCAAAGCGGTGGATAGGGAGCAGTGGTGAGCTTACACAGGCTCCCTAGTGCCTTTCGGGCTTCAGCTGCGTTGGATTTAAGCATGAAGCTGTCGTCCTCCGTGGGATTTCGACTGAGGCCAAAAACGCGAGAGTTTTGCAACTTTTCCGTCAACTTCACGTGCGAGACGAGCATCTCTCCCCGGTTTTCCTCGCACAGTGCGTTTTCAGCAGCCGAATTCAGAAGTTTCAGCGACAACAGAGTTTCCTGGATGTCTTCTCTCTCTGTGGAAAGTGACTCGAGACGAAGTTCGGCGATCCTGTTTACCTGAGCTACGACTTCCTTCTCTTGCTGAGCGAGGGCTTCATGGTGTGCTTGGAACACTTTCTCAACTTCAGTAATGGCTTCGTTTTTCTTTGTCGCTACACTCTCGGCCATTTTCTCAGACGCTTTGAGAGAGAGGTCGAGCATGTTGACCTCCACTTGCGATTTCCCAAGAACTGCTTCGATGTTGGGCCTAAAGCGACCGTAAGCTTCCTTGAGTGCCGTGCAATTGTGATGAGGGTGTTGGTCTATGACGCAGCTCGTGCAGACTACTTTTACACACGAGTTGCAAAAGAAGGAGAGTTTCTCGTCGGAGTGAGTGCTGCAACTGGCGAGTTGGACGTCATCGAAGCCTTCCAGGTCGACTGGGGATCGCGCCGAGGCAGTGTTTGGTGGGCTCGTTCTGCGACTCCCAGCACACGAATTAGTCGGAGAGTCAACGATGCGGTGGTCCTTGCAGAGCAGGTCCTGCTGGTGGATGGCGATGCAGGCCTCGCAGAGGAAGTCCTGGCACTCGATGCAGAAGGCCACGTAGTCACTGTGGCACACTGCACACACATTGGCCTTTGGCTGCAGGGCAGGGAGGCCGGTCAGGTAAGACGGAATCACAGCGGTTGTTGCTGGCATGCTTGGCGGCATGGTCGTCGACTGAGGGAGAGCTGAGCAGACGGGCTGGAGACCGCCAAACGGATGCAGCGATTCGATCTCGCACTTGAAGTGAGGAGGCAAGGGGGGTTGCTCCAGCGGTGACGCCAGGCCTGCTAGCGGTGGCGGCGGCAGTATGTGCTCCTCTACTTCACTGTCGCGATCGCGCAGAACGTCGTTGACGACGTTGAGCATGTTGGTCATCATGAACCGCTCGCAAGAGCTGGAGGAAGACGCCTGCAGGTGTTCCGCCTGGAACGGCTGCAGCGGCGGGCCCAGGTGGTGGTGCAACGAAGATAAGGCGCCAGGGGAGCGCTCCGTGAGCTGGAGACGTGGAGCAGACGCTCCGCGCGACTGCTGATGGAGAGACTGAGCTACGTTGTGGTGCGGGTAGCATGAGGGACATGCAGGGAAGACTGCGGCGTTGTAGGGGACAAAACAACGCGGGCAATAGCTCAGCGTCGCCGGGCGAGGCCGCACCATCGAGCCGTTCACCGACGGTGGAGCAAGACCGACGATCCTCGTTCCGTTGGCCTGGCCCGGCGGACCGATGGGAGGTGGTATGCCGCCAGGCCCTTGCTGCCCGCTTTGCGGCTTGACGAAGTCGGTTCTGTATGTCGTTCCTGCGGGGAACGGGAAGCGAGAGAGCCTCTGCTCGGCTGGAATAAAGTCCACGTAAGCCATGACGGAAACCAACAGAGGTAAGAAAGAGGGACAAATGACCCAGGCAGTTATATAGCTCCTTTAGCTACCGATCATGGGCCGGGCGGCCTGTGTGGAGAGACAGAAGGTGACGGATCGCTGTAGATTGCGGTCGGACTCTCGTTTGTTGACTGTTATTGCTGTAAAATCGGCTCGTTTTTTCGTAGTCGGCTCGCTAGGCGAGTCGCGGTCGATGCGACGGGCAATACTGTTCTTCCTACTGAATCCAAACCGCTAACACGACTTTAGAAGTCGGCAGTACGTTTATAGAATCGATCTTCTGACTGTCTTTACCCTCTCGTCAGTGGAGCCGCGTCTTACGTTCACAGGGACAGCATCGGGGCTCTCCGTAGCCGTCCTAAGAGAGCGGGTAGAAAAACCCGCCGCCTTTTCACACTAGTCTGGAGCATGTTACGTTTCGACACCTCTCAGTGGTCGAGTGATTGGCCTCCTAATGAAGAGTCGTACCCTCAGCGACTCAGCGTGGCCGCGCTATAAACCGCGACCTTAGCGACCCGAGAGGACGGCAACGCCGCAAAGCACGTGTTTCGGAGCCCCAAAACAAAGTTAATTGGACCATGAATACATTTTAGTGTACTCCAGAGCGTACTCACATTGATAGAATTACAACTGACACATGAAATCATAAAACGACACCAAAGCTACGCGGTAAACAACTATGATCAAAGGAACAGTCTAAAGGGTATATATAATTAGAGTTCTGGTTGCTGCTGAGGTAAAAGGGATGTGAAGAGTGTTGTGACAAAGGTGAACGCAACAGTCAGTATTCCAGGTCTGGGTAGGGTGGGCGGGGCAGGAGGGGCAGAGTCAGAACTCACACCAGTCCCATCAGGCGTGTCATCACCCTGATCCTGGAGCAAAGATGAGGGGTTAAGACAATACAGCTAGATGTCCAGTGACCTACCAATGCATGCAAGCTAAGGCGCATAAAAAGGTCTCAGAAAGGTGTGATAAAATATGAGTTTTTCTGGCCAATGGGGCACACACTCATGTGGTTGGGTCAAGTGTTAGCATATAGCTAGGCTGGGAACATAGTGTTGAGTGGCCTCAGTGGTTTGCACTAAGGGCCTGGAATGGAAACAACAAGACACCCAAGAGTTGGTTGGGGGCTTGGCAGGTAAAAGATTTCACACTCTTGGGATCAACAGAGAGAGACACTGGGTCAGTCTCAATTTCAGCTTCATTATCACCTACTGTACACACACAGTCAGAAAGCGTGTATAGGAGGAGGATGCAGCCTTGGAGCATGGGAGCACATGCTTGGGTGGGCCACAATAACCCCACACTTACTCTCCCTCCACACAAAAGGCCACTGGAATTGTAGTTACACTCAACTGCCAGGCAACTATCTCTCCAGATCTCACTAATTGCCCCACTCACTCCTTGAGGTGTCTCTCCCGCCCCTGTCAGGGTCCGCTCTCCTTCTCCCTCCCTCTCCCCTGCCAGGGTCCGCTCTCCTTCTCCCTCCCTCTCCCCCTCCTCCTCTGCCTCTTGTCTTGCTCTGTGGCGATCCAAGGGATCAGGAAGATCATCAGGTCCTCTTGGTGCACCTGCAGCTGTAGGCCAGGCGGCGGCAGAGAGCAGCTGTGACGCTAGAGCTCACTCTTTGCACAATAACACACCGTGTTAAAACTTAGTGGAGCTGAAAAGTGTAACAGTTTGAGTAAGGAGGGTGGCAAGAGGCTAGGGTTGCTACACGCCACATCAGACTCATGTTGTTTACAAAACTGTCTGGTAACCCCTGGTTACCCTTGGCCCACCTACACGCTGCACAAACATTAATACGATCCATCTAAGTGTTTCATACGCACCGACACGATTGTCTTACCATTCCTTGGTCTCCGCTGCAACGAGAAAAAGCCAGCCTGGTTCCTGCATGAATATTGAGGGAGAAAGCATTTTTATGCCACATGATATAACGAGCAAAACACTCTGTGCTTCCCCCAATACAAGGCTATTTTACATAATACAAACAGAACGTTAAGTTGATTCCCCAGGCCTATTTTAAACAACTTTCGTGACAAAAAGCTATTCGCGCAATATAAGCGCATACTATGCACATGTAAAAAATTTTTCTGAGCAAATAGAAGCACAGTATTATGGGACTCAAAGGCTCATCAGAAGATGATCAACATAGCATACATTGTACTAGTAGGCTCACAGGAACATGAAGAGGACTCCAGCGATGAAGAGGATGATTCTCCCAAAAGAACTGGTGAAGTAGGCGATTGAGACAAGCACAGTGGCCATGAGGAGCATGTAGCTGTAGTCCACCATGTCTCTCCTGGCCGGGAGCTGAGGCCCAGCCAACATCATACCACCTGCAGCTGTGGAGGGACACACAGACTGTGGCTAACAGGCAGTGGGGTGAAAAGAGGGTGGGTGAAGGGACGGTGCAAACTGACACAACATTTGGACATTCAGTGAGTGGCTGGTAACATTTTCATTGGAGGTGGGTAGTTCTAGCAGAAAAGCCCAAATACAGAGACAGAGGTAGACACTTAGCCCTGAATGCTAGTAGAAAAGAAAGCACATTTGACAGTTGGAACTTACACCAAACATTGGTTTGGCAAACCCTCCACCAGACAATGCAACTCTCTAGACACACTGATGACACAACACAGGACAAAGAACTGCCAGCTAGCTCATATACACCCTTCCACATCATAGACTGTAACTTGGGATATAGATCCATGAGTTATGTAACTTGATGCACCAGTGCTACACCAGAAGTGTGTTCAACAGAGCTATGTATGTATGTACTAAGCAAGGAGACTGTACTTGAATCCATCTTTTTACACAGCTATACAAAATATTATACTGAATTACATGCCAAGGAATGGTATGAGGTATAAAGTTGGCACACAGCAGCTTTCACGTTCTTCATGTTTCCCAGAAGTTGTAGGCAAATATGAAGAGAGTGTGTGTGTGTTAGCAAACCTCCTGCGTTCATGGGCAGATCGTCCTGCTCCAAGTCAGGGTTCTCCGGCTGCTCTGGAATATTAGGAAGGTCTATTTCCTCCCCTTCTCCTCCTCCGCCCACCTCGCCTCCCGCCCCGCCCACCGCACCCGGCCTGCAGGGAAGATTGTACCACCAACCTTGTTACTGTCTGAGAGCAACCAGTGAGTTTCGGCTCATAAACTGATGCCAATATTTGCTTGAGCTTTTGCTTGCCCCAACAAAACCAAGCTTAGTGGAAGTAAACCGGCATGCCCGAGGACCCACGTTTGTGCAGGGAGTGAACACCACGTGATCTAGAGAGTCGTAACATACACTCACACAGTGCTAATAGACAAAGCATTGCAGAGAGAGCTTCAACAGCAGGCAATGGTGGTGGCAGGATGCATGTGGCAGAGGCTAACTGCACAAAGGGTCCTCTAATCCCATAACAGACTGACCAGCAGCCATGTTCCCAAGCTCACCAGGAGCCACACTCCAGCCACACACAGTATACCATACCACACAAAAGAGACGTAACTAATGGAGCAGGTGTGATATTCAAGGATATTCACTGTTGTCATCTTCAAAGAGTCTTCAAGCTTTGGCATGCAATTAAAACACCATTGAATCAACAGACCTTCCATAGTAGGCTTGGTACCACTGTTGTAGCTGGTGGGCGGGGCCAAATCCAGCAGCATAGGGCGGAGCCATGTGAGGCATGTAGAAAGGAGGGTAAGGGTAGGCTCCGCCCACAGGAAATGCCAGAGGGGCGGGACCTCCAGGAAACCTGTAGCACCGGGAGGAAGTGAGTTGCCAATCAATTGCAGGAAGTTAATAAAATGACACAGATGAACACTCAGCTGACTAAAGTGACCTCACTTCAAACAGCAGAGGAGGAGTCTGGGCATGCAACCTGCAGCAGTGTTGACACAATGTAACATACCATTGCATGTGTTGTGGGTGTGGTCTGTAGCGGAGCCCGGGATGAGGGGTGTGGCCTGGGGGAGCTGCTGCAACTGACTGAGGCTGTAGAGGAGGGAAACAGGGGGCAATTGTAGATTATATGTACCATGGCCAGTGTCTCAGTCACTGAGAATAGTAGTCTCTGCCCAGACTCCACCCTCAATCAAATGGTCTGGTGATTATTAAGGTTGTGCTGACTCAACAGTCTTACTTTGGAGACACCGAATCAGATTGCAGCATTCGCCATTTGCTGAATACGTGCATATGTATACACTAACAGATCAACATATCTACAAACAAAACCAAACTGTTTTGCACATGCCGCCAGAGTCTCGGTAGTCAACAAACTTATTTTCTTGAGGGTGGCGCTGGGCACAAGACTAACAGAACAGTATAAGCTCACCTGTCTTCCTTGACCTGTGGATGTGTCTGGTGACAGGGTAGGAGCTGTTACCTGCTCACCTCTCTCCCCTTCCTCCCTCCTCTCCCCCTCTCTCTGGTTGGAATCATTCACTGACGATGCTCGTGGAACAGAATGGGGCACACCAGTCTACACAAGACAAGGAGAAGAATGAGACAGTAACACAGTGGAACTCCTCTAATTGGACACCAATGGAACAGTAATTGGACACGTTAGCGAGGTGTCCTGATTCCAGGAGTTTGTACACAAGAAACTACATTCTTGGGGAACACTTGATGCCGTTACACTGTACTCGACAGCACACTCAGAATGAAGCAGAGGTGATGCAATCTCACCCTGACAACTGGTGCTGAGGCAGATCTCTCATACGCCACCAGATGAATCACCACCTGCTGCGGAGCAGAGAAGGAGAGCGTTTTACCAACGATTTTATCTTTGTCATTCAAGTTTGCACAGTGGCAGAGCCTTACCTCAGAGTCTTTGGCTACGTCTGAAAGCTGTTGAGTGTTCCGCAGCAGTTGGCCTCTGTATATGAGCTTCTGACTGGGCACCGGCTGTGGGGAACAAACAGAACCACTCCTATCTCATTCCGAACACATGTACCTCACTGGGATATCCCCTCACTGTACAGTTACAGCACTACAGGTCAGGCATGGGTATATACGCACTGTGCTGTAAATTGTATTAGGGGCTTCTGGTGTGCCAGGTACAGAGATGACGCTACATTGAAACTGATCGGTCTCCTTCTCTGCTTCTCAGTACGGCACTCCCACCACACCGGCCCGACAAGAACACTACTGAACCACGTCACAGACACACGTACACACACACACCGGGTGAGTCGGATAGTGACGGTACAGGTAGTTCTTCAGCTCCGCCACCGTCCATTCAGACTCGGCCCCGTTCACCCGGAAGTCCTCCACGGCTCCGTTGGCTGCCTTGATAACCACGAACACCATGGCTTCTTTAATGTCTGTCTCTCTCTCTCTACTAGTCCTGTCTCTAGCTCTTTTGCTGCCCCACGGAGTCACCGGACCGTCGTTATTGTTTATACGACTTGTCACGTGACTAGCAACGGCTCATCATATTGACCAATGAGAATGCGCGACGTTCTGTCCCCAGCTAGCTGACGTGGCATGCGCACAAAAGGGGGCTCGATGATGAGACAGTAGCAGTGACTTTTAACATACAACACACACACACAAATGACGCCTGAACTACTGAGAGAGGAGATGTGAAAAAGGTCACAGCTGCTTGGCTATACGTCCCCTTGGGCAATGTACTGTTCGTACTGCTCATGTGTCATGAGGTCTGCCACTTCTTCGTCTGCATTGGAGACCTGTAGTTTTGCCAGCCACCCTGCCAGGAGACAAAGGAAGAGGAGTATCGATTACATAAAAAATTTTTGAGTTTGTAAGGCCACAAAAAAGGCAGAGTATCGGTGGGGAGTGGGGTCACATACCTTTGCCAAATGGTTCGTCGTTGATGAGGTTTGGCGAATTCTCCAGCTCTTCGTTGACCTCTGTGACCTCTCCGCTGAGCGAGGTGTACACCTCTGCAACGGCCTTTACACTCTCGAAAACAGACACTTGGTCCCCCTTTTCCACCTCCGTCCCTACCACTGGCAACTCCACGTACACTACTTCCCCCAGTTTATCCTGTATAATTATCAGAGATGGAGGGAGGAAGTGGACAAAGGAGGGAGGAAGTAGACAGAGGGAGGAAGTAGACAAACATGCACGTGGAAGTAAGAGTTAGCTATTGGAAATACTGCATCCTGCAACTTGAGGTAAATTCCTGTTAGTGTATACGTGTCCAGAGTGTATTCTGCTGTTTCTAACCAGATAATCCTGTGCATGTGACGTGGGAGACATGACATGAATAACTCTCCACAAACCATTAGGTCATCTAATATGTGGTGAATTTGCTGGAGCTGGAGGTGTATCAGTTGTCGCGACCACTGGATTACTACTGCAACCCCACACCTTTACACAGGTAGGTGTACAGGTATGTGCATCAAAGCCTGCCACACACACAGCCAAGAAGAGCTAGTAGTATAATGAATTGGCCAATATCGATGGTTTCTCTTTGGGGCAAAGAATTTAATACGTGGCTCCTGGGCTCTCACACCGATGAGGCTTCTTCGAAACAACAAACACTGCTTTTGCCCACACACTTCCTTTGATCCCGCAACCAGCAACACTCGAGCCCTCCTATAATACACCTACACACCCTTGCCTGCCTACACATACAGCCTTGTCGATCCTCCATCGAAGAACAAAACAGTACTCACTCTCACTTTACTGTTCTACCTATAGACAATTATTGTTTTTAAAAAACCACAGCAGTGGAATGACACACAGCAGACCTACCTGAGCATACTCTGATATACCAACAGTGGCTGTCTTCCCTTCCACACGCACCCATTCGTGGGACTTGGCGAACAAGCAGTCGGCCCCTGAAAGGCAACAGTCACTCTCCTCTTTGTATCTAGTTCAGGCTGTACCTCCTCCGCTCGAGCTGTAGCCTCTTCTGGCTGTCAAGGCAACGCTGCACCGGACGGGAAGACTCTGCGAGGCCGCTCTTCGACAGGAAGAGAACGCGAGGCGACTGTTTCCTCTGAATCCGCTCAGGAGACATCTTCCCAGGGCCGCTGCAGCCATCCAGATTCCTTTCTACAGGAAAGTGAAGAGCAGCTCTGGTATTTGGTTCTCCTCTGGTTTGAAGTTCCGGCTGGAGGACAAGGGGGCGTGGTTAACCCGTTAATGACGCGCATGCGCATTGGTATTAGGGGGCAGGGCTAGGGCTAAACTTCTTCCTTGTGTAAAACGAGCTCCACACACTCCGACCCTGCACAAAACCTTTGTGATGGCCTTTGTCAGAAGGTTACTGAACAGCGGAACACGTTCAAAGAAAGCAGACCCCGCAGTATCCGGCGGCAGTAACAAGATGAGCTCGGAGGAAGAAGCAGCTGTAGATCAGATGGCCGGGCTCTCACTCGCGGACGGCGGGGACCGCGAGGTTGCCACCTTCGCCATGAGCTGATTTTGGTTCCCCGAGGCGCAGTTCGGCAGCGCCCCGGGGGTTCTCCAGACCAGGGTGGGGTTCACGGGCGGGAAAAAGAAGGGACCGTCTTACTACAGTCTGTAAGTCACCTCCAGCCCTGCCTTCTCCACAGAAACAACACCCCATTGTACTTTCCTTGTACTGATGCAGTTTTGGGCTTCATTTTTCCCTCAGTGGGGACCACACGGAGACGGTGGAGATTGTGTTTGATCCCAGACAGACAGACTATCCCACGATGCTCAAGATGTTCTGGGACAACCACGACACGACTCGCTGTGCCTCTCGCCAGTACATGTCGGCCGTCTTCTACCACGGAGAGAAGCAGAAGAAGCTGGCAGAGGAGAGCATGAAGGAGAGACAGAAGCAGCTGTCCAAACCCATCGTCACCAAGATCCACGCTGCCGAGGCCTTCTACGAGGCCGAGAAGTAAGCCATCCCAATATTTTTGCCCATTTACCGCAGTAGTGTTTTACTAGTATGTGCTGTGTTGAATGAAGTGCGTGCCCTACAAGGAAAGGTATTTGCATGCTCTGATTGCATTTCCTGTGTTGCACAATTATAGGTGTCACATGACACCTTACAAGGTCTCTTCCTCTCCACCTCTCTCTGTGACAATAGGCCTAAGTGCACTTTGCATGACTACTGCAATAGTTGACGTAGGGGCTGGGTCGTGTATATACAAGAAACAAATAACTCAAACTTGTATAAACATTTCCTTTGCGAGTGGATGCAGAGAGATTTGAAAATTATAGCTAGAAAAGCTTTAGCTACCATTGTCTCCTCTTTGACCAGGACTACAATGACTCTTATGTTTTTATACTCTTACTGAAGAATGCACACACACACAACTTTACGAACTCTTCTCATCTTTCAGCTACCATCAGAAGTACCTGCTCCGTCAGCAGGGAGACGTAATGAGTGCCCTCAACCTCTCGGACAAGGACCTCGTCACTTCTCACGTGGCCACTCGACTCAACGGTTACTGTGGAGGGTACGGGTCACTAGAGGCCCTGGAAGACGAGATGCCAAAGTTCAGCCTCCCGGAGAACGTGCAGAAGAGGGTGCACGGGATCATGTCTCGCAAATCTTACCACTAAACCCTCTCCCAACTAACAAAAAATTTTCTAAAGACGTGTTTTATCAGTATGCTGCTTTTTCTTCCTCCTTTTTGCATGTATGTGTGTTTCAGTGGTGTGTGTGTGTGTGTGTGTGTAGGGATGTATAGGTAGTGGTAGAGTGTGCCTTCATGACGCACCGGAGCCAACTTGCCCAGGCAATGCTCCAGTGCTGATGTTTTCATTTAATGCCCACCTTCCACACCTGCCATTTCTGCATCACCACCTATTGTGTATAATATGTATAATATGTATGCATGTTTCCTTATACTTGTGACACTCAGTAGCGTATACAGCTCAGCATGAGATGAGATGACGTGATCTACACAATGGTATTCACTGCCTGAAGAGGCAAACATAGACTTCCGTACAAGGCTAGGGGTGACAATAGCATTGCACGGTCAGCACAGCACACACAGCAGAATGACAAGGGGAAATCAGAGTTTGCTGATTGGAGCAAGTCCTCCATCGAAGGTCTTAGTGAGAGCTTCTTCAACGGTAGACACTAGGGATACCTCTAGCTGGTTCTGCAGGAGCAGGATTGATGAATGATGCAATTTCTGCAGCATAATAGCTAGGGGTGCACAGCATAAGATTACCTTGACATTGACAGGAAGTTCCACCAGGTCCTAAGGAGAGGGGGAGGGATTCTCATTATGACACATGTATGCACTAAGCCTAATTGGGAGGGACCTTTTCGTTTCTCTTGGGCAGCACCACATGTCTTATCCCTGCTCTCTGTGCTGCTAGCAACTTCTCCTTGATTCCTCCCACCTGCACACACCAACAGAACTGCACCACCTGTATACGTACTAGCCAGCACCGGAACTTGGAGACAAACAAACACACACACACACAAGGGAGAGTACCAGGATTTTCCCCTCCCTCTAGGGCTTTGTATAATAATTATACATTCTCGAAACAAAGATTTAGTCTCACGATCAGGTATAGGAATACGCAGCAGCATGCATTATTACGGCGAAGACAGTATGTAGATTATGGAACACTATGGTTGTATTATACTGGTAGAACGAGTCCTCTGAGGGTGATCTCTCCGGTCATGGCAGTGTCGGACCTCACGCAGCGACGTGAGTAGAGAGAGACGAGAGCCACTGCAATGGCAACTCCAGCTGACGGGCCGTCTTTACCGATGGCTCCTGCCGGGAAATGGATGTGGAGATCCGTCTCCTTTGGTACGTCACACTGGACTCCATACTATGCAGTGGGGGGAGGGAGGAGAGTGATAGATCGTTGAAAGAGAAAGAGATTTTGGGAATTACTAGATGGAGCAAGGGTTAAGATATCCCATGACATAGAAGAGACAAATGTCACGACAACTATATGCAGCGTATTAAGACTCTTGCATCATTGTTTTGGCATTCGATTAACTCTCGTTCTTAATTGTTTCTTACTCTAGAGGCGTTGGATCTCAGCCAGTTGAATGCGATCTGTGCAGATTCTTTCATCACGTCGCCCAGCTGTCCGGTGAGGGTCAGCTCCCCGCTGCCTGGCATTCGACTGGCTTCAATGAACAGGATCTCTCCTCCCATCCCTGTCCACGCAAGACCTGGAGCCACGCACACATCATTTACTGCATTCAAGTGGAAGCTTAATTCAAAGGAGAAAAACTTTACCACAAGACTTTAACGTTAAAAACTTCCTCAACAATGCCCCACAAACTACTCCTAAAAATACTTTCCGGAAACCATGAACAAAATGTGAAAGCTTTCTCTCTCAAAGTACAAATGTACGTACATGTGGCAAATCTGAACCCAGGTCAGCATGACGGATACAAAGCCAGCCCTCACCTACAGCTACTCCAGGTCTTGTGAGTCTCTCTGAAACCTCGTGCTCAAACTTCTGCGGCTGAATTATGCAGAAGACAGTAAAAACTTATTTGCAACTCTTACGCAGTTGTACATACCCCGAGTATGTCTCCGAGCATGGTTTCCGTGACAACAGTGGGTGTGGTCTTGCCACTCTCTCCTCTATTCTCGGCCACCTACAGACCAGGAGTAATGGAGTACAACCCCGATGATTATGTATCTCAAAACGTTGGAGTAGAATATCGAATAGCTCCAGTTGTACTATTGTGTGTATGTACCTTCACAGCCACTGAACGACAGATTGCTCCAATGTTCCGCTCCAGACCCCTCACTCCTGCCTCCCTGGTGTAGTTATTAGCTGTAACGACAGGGGCAACCCCCTCAACGAGGTCTCACACACGTATGCGTGATACAGTAGCAGTGGTCTCACCTATGGTTGCTAGGGTGGAGGGTGGGATGGTGAGCTGATCTGGAGTCAGCCCATGTTGCTGCAGCAGAGAGGAGAGAAGTAGAGAGAGGGGTGGTGAAGGATTTTGTTAATTCTGAAGGATCAAGAACTGACCTTTAGCTGCTTTGGCAGAAGATGTCTGACTGCAATCTCCACCTTCTCTTCACTGGTGTAACCTTGGACTTCCAGCACCTGCAAGTATACACAGAAACAGTTCCTCATTCATTCTTCACAGAAGCTGGTTGAGTGTGTGTACACTAGGTGCGCTATACTGTACCTCCATTCTGTCGAGGAGGGCAGCCGGGATGGTGGCGACAGAGTTGGCAGTGGCGATGAAGAGAATCTTGGAGAGGTCAAAGGGCAGACCCACGTAGCTAACAGGCACTCAGTCAAGTCAAACAGGTTCAGGTTATAGTATAATCCACATAATCCACATACTTCCAAGGTCTTTCTGAAGTACGCAATCTACCATGAATTGAATGCTCATTTCAATGCTAATAATGATGAAGATATCCCAATGAAATCTATACTGAACTGACCCAGCAAGAACCGTAAAATGATACACCTGGAAATATGGCAATGGGGGGGGGATACTGGTCAACAAAGGATGAGTTTTGTTCAGGGTCCAGGACCTCTAGTAGGGCGGCAGCTGGGTCTCCGTGGACACCGCCTCGTGTTAGTTTGTCCACCTCGTCCAGCAGAAAGACTGGGTTACGTACACCCACAGTCCTCAGTCCCGCCATGATCCTGCCCGGTAGAGAGCCAATGTACGTTCGTCTGCAACAGTCAGTCAGAGAGAGAGAGAGAGAGGAGTGGAAAAAGGGACGGAGATGAAGAGGAAATAAAGCAAGAGGATAGCAAAGCGGGAAAGTCATAGAAGCCAAACACACATCTTGCTCTAACCTGTGTCCGCGAATATCTGACTGGTCGCACACTCCACCCAAGGAAATCCTGCACGATAAAAAAATCCATACCTCATACCCCACACTCCATACTCCATATTACCTGTGGAACTTTCTACAGAGGGTCTTGGCGACGGAGCGTCCAATACTGGTCTTCCCAACACCAGGGGCTCCCACTAGACAGAGGATCGGTCCCTTCAGTCCCTGAGTCAACTGACACACCGCCAGGTACTCCAGCACTCTCTTCTTCACCTACACACACACACACATCACATACGTGGAAATAGCATCGCAATTCGAAAGACCCGCATGGATGCCAAAGTAGAAACGAAACGAAAGTGAGAAGTGGTACAGCGACAGAAATTTAGGCTAAACTGACAGTTCGAACCAGGGTGTAGAGAGAAAGATGAAGCAAAGCAGAAAAGAAAGAGGTGATAGTTCAACTAACAGGCTGGAGGCCGTAGTGATCGGCTTCGAGAGTGAGTCTGGCTGCTTGCAGGTCCAGGGTGTCGGTGGTGGAGGAGGACCAGGGGAGATCCAGCAGTGTCTCCAGGTAATTCCTGGTCAACACAGGGAGGGAGAGAGAGAGACGGTCGTGGGAGAGAGAGAGTTTGTCTCCTACCTGGCCACAGAGTGCTCTGGAAACTGTACTGGTAGACTCTTGAGTCTCTGCAGCATGGTAAAAGTTTGTACAACAGTTAGTTCGGTAACATGAGAAAATGTTTAAGATAAATTTTTTGCGTTTTGGTAGCAAATGTGAATTTCGCGAATTTGCAAAAAGTTTTCTTACTATAAAGTTCTGCTGTATGTTAGCCAACTGACTGTGTGTGGTTGCAGCAAGACAACAAATATGAGCAGAAACTGCTTGTAAGACATTGCGTTAACCTTTAGCTCTTTCAGCGCTGCTTTCAGTGCATGTTCTGGCAGCTTAGCCTTCTCGATTCTTTTTTGTAGTTCCTTCATCTCATCCTCTTCTTCCTCCTCCTCGCCCTCCCTCCCTCCCCTCCTTCCTCGGGGCAACTCTATTTGGAGCACTCTCCCACGGCGATGTTGACGTGGGGAGCCCCCATCATTAGACTTATCCTCTCTCGGTCCCTGTTTCATCAGCTTCAGTGCCTGAGCATTTTCATTGAATTTTCACACGACTGAATCAAAAACACTTTTTTGCGCATTACTATGTGCACCACACAAATGCATAATAATTACATCGACTTGTGTAACTATGCTTGTTCGAAAAAATGTCTAAATTTTCACCATTCTAAATACACACATGTAAATTTCCCATTCACAAAATACATGAAAATTCACACAGATCATATGTGAGTAAATGAAAGAAAGGACAAGAAAGAAAGCCCCCCTCCCCTGCCATTTTTCTTCTCCTCACGGCAATCTGTCTGTTAAGGAGAGGCTGGGCGGCCTGGTAGCGCAGGGGCAGGTCTACGGCTGTGAGAACAGACAGCTGCTCCGTGAAGGAGGTTCTCAAGACCGACGTCAGGGTGTCCGGGAGGGTGTGGTCTGGCAGAGAACTCAGCAGACGCTGCGGAGAGAGAGAGAGAGAGAAATAATTTAGTGGGTAATCAGGTACAGAGTTACACCTTGAGTTTAGTGTGGGAGGAGGGTTCAAGGTTCAGTAGATCCACCAGCTCCAGGGCACTTGCTCTGTACTCATCTGCCAGAGGCTGGGCCTCCACTGAAACACCCTCCCTGCACGTACGGTACAGTCACACATATCATTGGTACTCTTGTGCTAATGGTCATTACTAGAACCAACATTCTTGTCTAGCAAACGCAAGCGCAAGACTGCGAGAAAAACAGAAGACTAGGTAGGCAAGCATAATATAGACATTTGAAACCTACAGTCATACGTACCGCCCTCGTGTCTGTAGTCGAGCTGTGAGACTCTGGCCACCGGGAAAGGAACGTCTCTCATCACCTCCTCCACTCTGAACCGACACAGACCGGCCAGGACCAGAGAGTACCGCGGCACGGGGTGGCTCCACGCCGTCATCTGCTGGACACTCGCTGCAGTTCCCACTCCTCCCTCGAGCTGGATGACCGAGAGACATGCCAACAATGGATTTGGATTTTGTATATTTAGCCTCTAACTTTCAAAACTGTATAAAAAGTTCACTCAGGTTCTGTCGGTACTTCTATTTCTACGATTCTAAAACTTACATCTTCCAGACTGCTGAGGGTCTGGGAACAACTCCGATGTATTTGCCTCTCCAGTCAGTCTCGTTCCACAGTTGACTCTCAACAAGATTCAGCCTATAAGCACACAGAACGACAAATTTATCGGGCCCCCGCCCACCGGGGGCCGGGAAAATTTCTAACCCTCGGGGGTCGGTGACCTCCAAAATCATGCGGGCTCCAGGTAGCAGCACGCGGTTAACGACAGGTAGGATGGGTAGCAGAGAAGGCAGCAGCTTTCGTCCGCCTCCCGAGTCCGCCATCGCTCGCAAGCTGAAACTCGTCGAAACAAGACGGACCCGATAATACCGTGAGTTTGGGGTTAATCGAAAAACACGTGCGCCGGCGGTTCATCAACGCGTCCTTTTGACCTCCAGGGACGTTTTGGGGCTCGTTTCTGGATATGTCTGTTCATGGTAAGCCACATTATACACTACTGGAACAGCCCTATACCACTACATCTAGGCGCACTAGTGAAACGTAGCTGTAAATGTTCGCTGGCGTAAAGTTCTAATTAATGCCCATCCTCTGCAATTGCACAGATGCCAGCAACCAGCAGCTGTACCACTTTGCAGAGGAGCAGGCCACTCCAGACCCATACTTGACTCCGGAATACACTGCCACGCACAGGGGAAAGGGGACATCCATTATCATTGACAATGGTATATACACCCATACAGCACACAGATCGAGTGCTTGTTGGGTAAACTGTGTATTTGTGTAGGTTCGTCCTACTGTCGGATGGGCTGGGCCGGAGACGAGAAGCCTGCCATTGTGTTTCGCAACGCAGTAGCTCGCAGTAGAGGCAAGAGGGTGAGTGAGCCACATAATCTTACATAAGAAAAACGGTGGGAATTCAGTTAATAGTTGTGGTGTGTTTCCTCCCCCCTATGTAGGGTGAGTCGGACCAGGTTTGTGTTGGTAACGACATTTCCAGCGTGGAGGCCGTCCGATCCTCTCTGAGGACTCAGTTTGACAGATGTCTGGTCTCCAACTACTCCGTCCAGGAGCAGCTGCTCGACTATGGCTTCGCTCACCTCGGTCTCCACCGACAGTCCGCCATCAGACACCCCGTCGTCATCACCGAACCCGTCTGTAACCCCGGATACTGCAGGTCACCTTTGCACTTTTGGGAAACGTAGAGTAAATTAATAATACTGAGACAATACATTCTCAAAGCAGTATCATTTGTGCTAATTTTCTGGAGAATTATTTGAGGTTTTTAGGGTAATATGTGAACATAAATTTGTGTGAGGCACAAGTTCATTCCAATAGCTGAACAACTACAGATATTTTTTGCTTTCTCCGTAGAAAATTTTGAGAATCATCAATTTTTTACCGTTCTCCAGGGGACAAATGTCTGAGCTGCTCTTTGAAGCCTACGACGTACCGGCAGTGGCGTACGGTGTTGATGCTCTATTTGGAGCCCACCGTGGGAGTGTGGAGCAGTTGGGTCGACCTCTGGAGGAGGGGCTTGTGGTGTCGTGTGGCCACTGCACCTGCCGCATCCTCCCCGTCCTCCAGGGGAGACTAGACGCCACTCACTGCAAGCGGTAGGCGAGGGAGAGAGGGAGAGAGCAATGTTTTGGCTGACACCAAATGGAGATTTGAGTTAATCATCATGTTATGTATAATGAAGTCATTTGATGCAAATGAATGTAGATAGCATATCAAAATGCTGCTTCCTGACTATTGGTTTCGCGAAGAAAGTCACTTTACTCGTGAAGTGAAGCTCCCCTCCCCTCTTTACCTCGGACCAGAATCAACCTGGGTGGAGTCAACGTGGTGGCATACCTCAATCGTCTGTTGCAGCTGTCCCGCCCTCCCCTCCTCCCCCACCTCACCCTCACACGGGCACAGGAGATGGTCCACGCCCACTGCTACCTGGCAACCGACTACTCTGCCGAGCTCCAGGAGTGGGGATCTGGTGAGCTTCACACACGGCACACCGTCACCCTCCCCACAGATGTCTGGGAGATGACCGTGTTATGTGGTGTTCATATTGACCGTTTGTCCTCTCACAGGTAGCAGGGCAGGAGATGTTCGTCTGGCCCAGCTGCCCTACTCCCCCTCACTGGCCACTCCTCTCCTGGTGGACGCTGCGGGGAGAGAAGCGAAGGACCGGCAGCGCAGGGAGAGGGCCAGAGAACAGCTGCTCAAAGTCAACCAGAGGAAGAGAGAGGAGAAGGCAAGAGGGCTCATACAGTGGAACCCCTCCCTAAGGACACCCTTGAAACGAAGACACCTCTCTAATAAGGACACCTTTTCATTCCCTAAGAACAGTTTCTTGCATGCAATTTAACACCTGAAATAAGGACACCTCACTTCTGTGGTCGGGAATGCCACCACACGCCCCTCCGGGGGTTGCCCCTTTAAGGGAATCTGTCCTCTGCACCATGTAACCCTCGTCCGGCAGATAGCGGAGTTTGAGGAGGAGCTGGAGAGACTGCTGGCAGTACAGACAGAGAGAGAGCAGCTGGATGCAGAAGAATACTCCCTCCTTTTGGAGCAGGCCGGGTTCCCCACTCACGAGGTGCCTTCACTCTCTTGTCTCCATTTCGTTCCCTTTCCCTGACTTTACTTATGTAACCAACCTTGTCTACCACAATAGTTTGCATTTGAAGTATGACTGGCTGTCCAGCTATCGTGTGTTCTGTGGTGTTTGTAGGCACTGCTGTCAGCTACACAGGCAGTTCAGTCAAGTTTGGAGACAGAGCAACAGAGGCTGGCTTCTCTACTGCAGAAACTGAGTGCACCAGACGTGAGCTGTGGACCATTTCTCTCCTCTCTCTCCATCTTCCCCCTCTTCTCTCTCCTCCTCTCTGTCTCTCCCCCACAGCTCGGCTCAGAGGCAGTGTCAGAGGAGTGGTTGCAGAGCCTGAGAGAGAGACAAAAAGTCAGTATCGTATACACCTGCACGTCATGTGACTTCAATCAGTGCATCACATGACGTAAAACAGTGTGCGACGATAATAGTGATTATTACTGTTTTATCTTTTGCGTGACATATTATGTGTGCTGGGGGAAATATCGTATGAAAATGCCCATGAAATTTTAAAGATTTACCAACCCTCTCCCTTTCTCTGTGTGTGTGTGTGTGTGTGTGCAGGAGTTACTGGAGCAGCGGAGACAGAGGAGGGCGTCCCGTCAGGAGCTGGGGAAGCGACGGAGTGCTGCATCCCAGAACAGAATGAGGATCATCTCGCAGCTGGCAGAGGAGGCCGCCGTTGGGAAGAGATCCAAGAGGAGCAAAGAGGACACGTTTGGAATGAATGACGACGACTGGAACGTCTATAGAGCCATTGTTAGTAGTACGAAGACCTCCCGTGTATGTAGCTACATAGTAAGTAAGAGACTTGCTGGCTGGAGCTGTGAGGGATTGGAAATGCCGTGTTCCATAGTGATGAAAGTTTGCAAACACTCTTATATATGAGGCCAAAATGTCCCTGAGATGAGCAGCAAAAGGCAACTACTGTCAGCTCCCCTAACAGCACTCGCAAAAAGTTCACTGCATTTCAAATGGTGAAACCCGTTCGTAGTGGATATATACTCGTTCCACCTCCAGAGTAGGGACACTGGCGGCTCAGACAGCGAGAGGGAAGACATTGAGTTGGCCGACATCAAGAAGGTGCTGGACAAACACGACCCCGGGTACATGAGGGCCCAGGCTCTGCCGACAGGGGAGGTGGGGGGAGGAGGGAGTGTGGCTTCTCTCTACCAGCTGCCTCTTGGGATTGAGAGATTCAGGTGAGCTAAACCACTCTTTTTCTCCCTATTTCTTCTTTTCTCCTCTCTGCCTCTTTTTTCTCTTCCTTTTTGGGAGGCTCTTCGGTGATTGGTATGTTACAATGGCACAATGGTATATACACAACAAAGAGGGAAAAGTAATGATCATTGCGCGCTTACATTACTCGTGATTTAGGGCTCCAGAGATTCTGTTTCAGCCGACGATGGTAGGAGTGGACCAGTGTGGGATATCTGATACCATTGAGTATGTCCTCGGGTCATATCCTTCAGACGTACAAATGAGACTTGTTCAGGTACCTACGTACCTACGTACCTACGTACCTACGTACGTACATGTCCATCACACTAGCCCTCACTACCAAGCAAAACTGTGAACCAGGTACATATACCCTAATTTGTAGATAACCAGCTATCTTAGTAACAGTTTTCTAAATTTAGCTTGTACACTGCCACATTCTCTTTAACAATTCTCTTTGTGTGCATAAAAGAGGTATTTCTGCCTATAGCTCATGGTGCCATCTCTCCTCTCTCTCTCTCTCTCTCTCTAGAATGTGTACATCACAGGCGGGACCTCTCTTCTCACCAACTTCTCCGAGCGACTGACGACAGACCTTCGTCGGATGAGACCGTACCGGTCTCGCTTCTCCGTGGTGAATGCCAGCCACAAGCTGTTGGACGGGTGGCGAGGTGCCAGTCACTGGGGCCAGGCAGAGGGGAACCGACAGTGGTTCATTAGTCGCCATGACTACCAGGAGAGAGGGGCAGAGTATCTGAAGGAACACTCGGCTTCTAATCCTTACATCACTCCACTTGAGTCTAGCTGAACTACAACACTCTGTCTATCTGTACACCTAATTCAGTGCCTATGAAAAAAATTTGGCTAACTCACTCCCTGAGATGGATTGCGCACTGCACTCTCCAGCTATAGAAGAGCATTCAGGATCGTTCGTTGGCCTCTATTTCCTCTAACTTGCTTGCTAAAAGTACGAAAGGTTTAGTAGGTTATTCCATAATCACTCCCTTAGATGGATTGCGCACTGCACTCTCCAGCTATAGAAGAGCATTCAGGATCGTTCGTTGGCCTCTATTTCCTCTAACTTGCTTGCTAAAAGTACGAAAGGTTTAGTAGGTTATTCCATAATCACTCCCTGTGATGGATTGCGCACTGCACTCTCCAGCTATAGTAAGAGCATTCAGGATGGTTTGTTGGCCTCTATTTCCTCTAACTTGCTTGCTAAAAGTACGAAAGGTTTAGTAGGTTATTCCATAATCACTCCCTGAGATGGATTGCGCACTGCACTCTCCAGCTATAGTAAGAGCATTCAGGATGGTTTGTTGGCCTCTATTTCCTCTAACTTGCTTGCTAAAAGTACGAAAGGTTTAGTAGGTTATTCCATAATATATACAGTACGAACGATTTTAGAGTATGTTTTGGTATAATACATGTGTACGAATAACAGAATGATACAGAATAGAGATGGTGAAAAATATTTTTGAGGGTGTGGTGGAACAAAAGGTGAAAATGATAGGTGGGTGTGGCTGAGGATGTAGTAAGATAGGTGGGTGTGGTCAAGGATCTTGATGGGATCGTTTGAGAGGGGCGTGGTCAGTTGAAAAAGGTGGGTGTGATTGAAGGGTGTGTATAGCCAGTTGAAAATGAGTGGGTGTAAGTCAGTTGAAGAGGTCCCCCACGGAGGGCAGGGGGGCAAGGGACCCGTGGGAACTGGTGGGGAGTTTGGAGAGGTCTGGGAGCCTGGCCAGTTTCAGAGTCAGCTCCTCCTTCACTCCCGTCACCCTCTCCAGCTTCGCCTGGTAGTGCTGTGCACCAGGAGAGAGGAGAGAGCAAACTTGTCGTGTAAAAATGGCACCACTGCAGAACTCGAAAGAGCAATCAGCATACCGTAGTTCACTGCAGAACACTGACTGCCTAGTCAGAGAGGTGTCCTGATTAGTCAATATGAAAGGTGTCCTAAAACAGGGTGTCCTAATTGCTAGTCAAGACAAGGAGGAGAAGGGGTGTAATTACCCAGAAAATGCAGCCCTCACTTTGAGTTTGTTCTTGCATTCTCTCAGCTGCTGTTTCTGTTGCCAGATAAAGACCTCCAGTAGCTCCTGCAGATCTCTCCTCTCCTTCCTCTCCTCCTGCAGACGTTTCACATGGTCACCCAGAACTTTCTCCGCCTCGACCAGCTTTGCCTCCAGTTCATCTGCTGCTGCCTTGTCTGCAGTAACGTGCATTCAGGTAAAACTAGGGTAAAATAGAGAGGAAAGAGAGGGGAAGGAGAGAAGTGACCTTTGAGTTTGCTGAGCAGCTCATGGTCTTTGATCTCAGGGGGAAACCCTGCAATCTTCTCCCTAATTGCCTCGTCGTTGCATGCAGACTTGTCTCCCTCAATGGCCAGCATTCGACGCAGCAAAACATCAGCCTATGGAGACACACAGTGTCATATTAGATTTGTTAGAGTTGTCCTGGGAGTATATACAAGTGTCCTGATTCAAGACTGTCCTTAACAGGGGTGTATATTATAACTTACGTCAGGAGGGGAGCGATCGTTGGGTGGTTTGTCGTCGTTATTTGACGGGGGAACGTCTGAGCTGACAGATCTCTCTTTCTTGGCCTTCGGCATTGCAGAGGAGGCGTGCTTCATATCCGACTCGCTCCGAGTTCGTCTGGAGTTGAGACTGGGAGAGGCTGGGGACAAGATCAAGATCAACAGTGTTTCTTCAATTTGTCAACTTAGTGTTTCTCAATTTTGGCAGTCTCACCGAGGAGGGCCTTGAGTCTGGTGAGAGTGTCTTGCTCAAAGATGCTCCTCTCCTCCCAGATGTTGATGATCCGACTCACCGACTGGTCAAACTCTCTTCTCTCACTCTGCAGGGGAGAATCAGTCACAGTCTCAACTACACACACATTCATCACTGGAGCACGAGACCTGACTAAAATGTGATATCGCGCAAAATTTTGCGTAAACTTTTCTATATACTCTATGCAACGTGATTCTATAAATTATGTTCACAAAATTCTAGCGTCTTTGTATTGTGCTGCATCACAGACTCCATGAGCTCCATGTGAATCATGCATGAGGCTTTACTCACCACCCATTGCCCACTCACTTGGAGACAATGTGGAAGGCTCGTGGGAGAACCCTGGTGAACTCTATCTTGAACTCTGTACCCTTCTTCCTGCTGTTCTGGACAATGTCGTTGGCGAGGTAGAGCAGTGTCAGCTTTCGATTCGAGTCAGCTGTAGAGGAGACAGAGTATAATACAGCTGCAAAGGAGCTTGCAAAGCGTAAAGCACTGCCGCTGAGAGCTATGACTGCAGAGGGAGCGGTATTAGGTGTTAGATTTCTGTTAGGCTTCTGACCTTTTTGAAGCTCTTTGTACCAAACGGAGGTGATGGTCTTGGCGTGCTTCCGGTAGTGTATGGCCCACTGCGCCATGAGCTGGATGTTCTGTAGAGTCGAGTTCAGGTTCTGAAGCTTCTTCTCCAGCGTGGCCTGCGAGAAACCCTGCAGTCCCTCCGTGTGGGGAGACGCCATTTTTAGTTTCGATTTTCCGAGCAGCGCGTGGAATTTTCGTTCAATTGGAACAGCAAAGGTGGGCGGGAAATTCAAGACGAGAATGGCTCGGGTCGATCTCGGAGGGAAGAAGTCGGGAAGTATATGGATGAAGAGGCCGGAGGGAAGGGCTAAGGATAGGTAAAGCGCCTGCCTCTTACCTCTGCAGTTTGTCCAAAGCCCTCTCATTATGCAGCCTTCTTCTGGAGGTGACCAATACTCTCCCAGGTCTTAGGTCTCAGAGTGGCAGGAGGCTAGTCTTCTCCCACGCGGCGTTTGGCCAGCAGGGCTCGTGGCTGGTGGTCTCCGACCAGCTGGGAGACCTCTACCTCCTAACCTCTCCAGAAACAAGTCAGCCTTACAACAATGACATGCTCATGCATACACTTGAAGTTATGCACAGCTCCATAAAAAAGGAAAAAAACTTTTCGCAATTATGAGAGGGGAAAATAATATTATAACGAATTACTCGTTCTACAATGCACAAATATTTTACAGAAGATTATGGCAAACCAGAGTATCTCCAAAGTGTTCTACAGCGAGCTCTGTGATGATTACATACAGCTGTCTTGTTGTGTATTTTTGCAGGTTTAGTCTCGTGTACCGTGCAGGACAGGCCGTGACAGCCCTCTGCTGCTCCATCTCACGGCCGTCCGAGGTCCTTGTTGGCCTTCCCGACCACTCCGTTCTCTGTGTTGACCTGGGTACGTGTGTACCTCTCTCTCTTAACTGACCACACCCTGGCCACACCCACCTATCATTTTAGTGTACACCTTCCGATTCCAGTCTCTCATCACACACTCTACACAAGAAACTCCTTATATTATGTCGTATGTATGGATGTATGTATCTCTCTCTATAGACACGGGAGAGCTGGTGGCCACTCTAAGAGGTCATGCGGCGTCAGTGAAATCACTCTCCGTCCACTCGTCGGGCCGTCTTCTCCTGGCCGTCTCCTCGCGGGACTGCGTTCTCTGGGATCTGGACTCCTTCTCTCGACATCGCACGCTCAACGGAGGCCAGGATGTCGGAGTGCAAGACGTTAGCTCATTACCATTAGTCCACTGTACATATGTATATTGTACACTCCATCATACACTTTGTCGGTGGAAAACTTTGTATTTCTGGAGTATCTGCAAATGTTTTGGGAATTGGAATTGGTACAGATGGACAGTAAATCCACACACAACTTTTCTGTGCGCTTTTCCTCTGCGGAATTCTAATTTGCTACTGATTCGACTGAAAACTTTCCCGCCAAATTGTCTTCTCTTCTCCAGGTGTTCTTTCAGCCGTTGAGTAACGTGATCATTACTTGTTTCAAGGACGACTCGGTTCACGCCTGGGACACCGCTACAATGGAGTACCTCTATCACCTCCCTCCTCCTCCTCTCCCTCCCTGCTATCTGGCGTCCTCTCCCCGCTTCAGAGCCTTCGCCACCACCGAGGTCAGGCAGGGGCTGAGAATATCCATGATAGTACACACTACACCAATACATTGTGAAACCTACACACTTAGTATACATATTGTCTCTTTTAATACCTCATCAATGCTGACTTTTCAAGAGAGAAAACTTTTGTGAATTTTGCAGTTTTTTTTGCCATCTCCAAAAAAAAATTTATGGTGGGGAAATTTGTACATATTATGAGGTAAGTAATTTGAGAAGTTTCGCATTGATTATACCAAAATGCAGAAGATTTTTACTCTCAAAAGTTTCCAACTACCCCATAGTATGACTCTCTCTGTACCTCATTCTGTTGGCTGAGGTTCTGGTCTGTCTCCGTCACAGGATGGGACAGTGATGGTAGCTGGAGGAAGGACCCCTCTCCTCCACATGTGGGACCTCACCAGCCACCAACTGATGAAGGCCGTCGAACTCCCCGGCGGAGTGAGGGAAGTCAGACAACTTATATTTCCACCTCACAGCTGGGACGGAGGAACGAGCAAGGTATATACACACACACTGTATGCTCATGCGGACACTGGATACACTTGTTTGCCTTCTACATGCACACTGTGCTCGATGGTTATAAGTGTGCATACATAGATATAGATTTTACGAAGTTTTGAATCTTTTAAGTGCAAGCAACCACTAAATCAAAGGCACGTTTTTGTGTTTCTCAATGTTCGAAACTCTTCTCTACCTCTGTTTTTACCCCAGTTGCTTGGAGTACTGGCTCAAGACGGAGTACTCCGATGGCTGGACATGGAGTCGTACCAGCTGCTCACCCAGACGGGGTCACATGACCTGGCGATAAGCCACGCCCACAGCAGTCCCGACGGACACTACCTGGCAGCTGTTTCAGAGAGCGGCAGCGTCCTCATCTACGAAATCTCTCTCATCCTCCGGAAGATTAATCAGGTCAGACAGCCAGCCACCGTAATCTTGAGTATTAAGTGATTGTAGAGAAATCGAAACAAAAAGTATTCACACATACGTTCAATCGCAGCCTTAGACCCTACATATGTAGTTTCTTGAAAAAATTTCACTTCAAAATCACAGTAGCCTACTTATTTCTCTCCCTTTTGCCGCCGTTACTCTTCCTCGAACTCTCCCTCCTCCTGAGTCTAGTCTGGTGTTCCAGTGGTAAAAGCCAAGATGTGTGGTAAGGAAAACGACTCTGTGCCGCCAAACAAGTCGAGAGAGCTGGCGAGAGCCAGAAAAAGGAGAAATGGTGCAGACAGAGGCCAACACACTTCCCTCTACAAGCCTGCAATCCTCCAGCCACCACCCGCCCACAGTGGGGAGACCAGGGAGGTGTTGGGAGGGGCGAGGGAACTAGATCAGAGGAAACTGGTGGCAGTACTAAAAGCCTACGGAGAGTACCCAGCCAAATATCGTGCATTCATCTGGCGGAGCCTACTGCAGCTGCCAGGGAACCACGCCTCCTATAGCTCCCTAATGGAGAGGGGCACCCACTCGGCATATGCCAATCTGCACAGGGTCTACCCCATCAGGAGCCAGAGACTGGGCAGAGTGCTGCAGAGGTTGGCTTTCTCTCTCTTTCTCTTCCCCGGCAATTTTATTTCTCCCTCTTTCCCGGCAATTTTCTTTCTCCTGTTTGCATGTCTGCATACATCTCTCCCAGGTCCCTATCAGCATTAGCTCACTGGTCTCCTATATTTGCCGAGACCCCCTACCTACCCGGACTGGTCTTCCCCTTCGTGAAGATGTTTCAGAACAATCAACTGGTCACCTTTGAACTCCTCGCCACGTTCCTCAGTTAGTCCCGCCCGGGGATCATGTGATAGTCATGTGGTGACTGTGTTCGTTTTCCGTAGCCAACTGGTGTGTAAACTGGTTTGACTACTTCCCAAACCCGCCTCTGAACCTGTTGGCCGTGGTTGAGAACTGTCTGGCTCATCACGATCCTTCTCTCCTACAGCATCTCATCTCTCACAACATCACCTCACATGTACGTGTATACATCAACATCAACACAAACTATCGAGAGAGAGAAATCTTTTGCAAGTGTCGAGGTTTAGAGCCGTAAGCGATCAACAAGAGATCCCTTTTCAATCAGATTTTCATGTAAATGTTCTAAAGAGTGAAAGTGTACAATCTACACGAATCAGCACGTTTGCGAGGTACAATTTTTGCAGACAACATGCTAACTGCCGTAGAACACCATACTTTTTCAACGGACCTACCCTCAACATTGTTAGAATTGCTATTCTCTTATGACTACCTACTATATATAAACCCGCCTCTCTTTCCCTTCTCTGTGCCCAGCATTATGCGTGGCCACTGATGTCAATGGTGTTCAGTGAGGTACTGAGCAGGTCGCAGTGGCTCCGTGTTTGGGACCACACCTTCTCCCAGCCCCCCGGGTTCTTCCTCCTCCTCACAGCCTCACTCCTCACCTCCTCACACTCCACACTCCTCCACTGCACCTCACAGGACGACTTCCAGGTCAGCTGACCCTCACATGATCCCTCAGTCAGTATACTACCTGTATACTCTTAGTATACTAACCGGTATATTCTCAGTATGTTGGTCAGTATCCTTTATTAGATTTTCATACACTTATGTATGCCATATAATTCTGTGGATCTCTCTGCTACAGCAATTTTTCCACCATCCGCCAGCTCTGGATGTGGGCGTGGTCATCCGCGAAGCTTACCGTATGCAGGAGACCACGCCCCCTGAGATCCACCCGGAGAAGCTGCTGGGCTCGTTAGTGCCGCTAACGAGAGGGACTTACCCGGTGTTCAACAAGTACCCCAAGTTCATTGTGGACTACCACGGCAGGGAGAGGGAGAAGATACGGAGGGAGGAGGAAGATTACCTCCGACAGAGGTGTGTGTGTGGGGGACATGTAGGAGCTGTCGAAAGGGTAGTGCCAGCATTCGAGATTTTTAAAAAGCGTGAATTAGGAACAGGTGGAATTTTTTGCCCACTACTGCAGATTGATTGCACTGACCAACTTCTCTTACATGTTTAACATTGTAGGTCCATTAAAAATCTTTCCCAGGTTCTTTAGTAATCCTCAGATTTTGCTCTGTGATTTTAAAATGACTGAATGCCATGTCGGTGCTCAATGTGTGTTGAGCTGTTGTGCAGACAGGGGGCTCTGGAGATGGAGAGACTGCGAGAGACGAGGAGGGCGGAGGAGGAGGCGTGGTTTCGGCAGCAGCAGCTGCTCCTCGAGGCCGAAGAGGAGAGGAGGAAGACTCTGTCTCTGGAGGACACCAGGCTCACCAACCAGAGAGCCAGGTCCCACTCTTCATTCCTCTCTCTCTCTCTCTTTCCTCCTTTTCTCTTGTGGTAAAGACCCCTTTCAACTTTGATAATTCCAATGTTTGACCGCAATAACCACTCCAATATTGCTAAAGGGTACTGCGTTTGGGCAACCTTAGGGAGCTTGACTCAGTTCTACTTGAACTGATATTGATCGAAACGTGCATGTGAACGGGGACTAAATTCACCAGTCTGCCCAGGATTAAGTCTTAGCCGGATAGGTACACAAGGGGTTAAAGTAAGTGTTCTCTCTCTGTCAGACTTATGGCGATGAAGAGAGAGCTACAGGTGAAGGAGCTGAAGGTGATGGACGCCACGAAGAGAGACTTTCTTCACCACCAGAAGAGGGTGAAAGAGGCCCGCATCCGGAGACTGGATGACCAGATCAAGAAACGGGTCAGCCCAATTAGGATTTGCAAGTCCTACAATAAGAAATGTGCAGTAATGACTTTATGACCATGTTTCTGTTATACATTATTTCGGTGGGTGCTCTTTAATTGGAGTTTCAACGTGTGTGTGTGTGTGTGTGTGTGTGTGTGTGTGCAGGTTGTGCAAAGAGAGGTGGAGACGCAGGCAGCTCTGGAGGAGGCAGACCTCAAAGCCCTGGAACTAGAGAGACAGAGAGTACAACTGCAGCATCAGCTGGCCCGATACCAAGAGGAGGTATAATAATTATACTTATTGTGGGAGAGAGTATGAGATGAAAAAATCTTTAAGTGATGAGTGAAAATTTTGGTTGGCTACCCATTGAGTTTGTACTGAAAACCTCTCAAACTGGTGTGAAATGAGACCACATAGAAAGGGAATTTTCGATGTGATTTCACTTTAATAGAGATATGGTTGCTGGTGCTCTCTAACCTCTCAGATGCTGGGTCAACTGGATATGGAGGAGGAGGTGGAGGGTCGCCGGGCCTCTCTGGAGCGATCGGAGCTGGAGAAAGAGAGAGAGGAGGGAGGGGGGAGGGAGAGGGAGAGGCTGGCTGCGGCTCAGGCAAATGTTGCAATTGCCGAGGTCCGCCAGAGGTGTGTGGAGACGGTGAGGGAGGTGGAGAGGAGGAGAGGAGAGGCAGAGGAAGGTGACAGGGAGACACGTGCGCAGGTGAGACCCCCTGGGACCTTAATTTAACCCCAGAAACCTTTTTGCTCATTGGGGTTTCAGTAGGCATGTATATAGTCTGAACTACCGTGGTGTGCGTGTGTGTGTGCACCGTGCAGGTAGGGGGTGGTAATGTGGAGAGGATGAAAGAGGTGGAGGCTCTGGCCAGCAGACTGGGGGCCACTTATCTTGGCCAGCAGCCACAAGAGAGAGACGATGGAGAGGGAAAGATGAAAGGCGATAAACCTCTTCCGGCAGAGCAGAGTCCTGCACTCTCTGGTATGTATGTATACACCAGTGGCGTAGGAACCACGGGGGCTCCGGGGGCTGGCACCCCCCTATATTTTCTCGGGCTTGCGTGTATATAGAAAGTGAGCGAATGTGTGACAGCGATCGTGCGCAGCGTATGATTTTTACGCATGCGCATTGGAGCCCCCCTTTGTCTGAACATCTTCCTACGCTACTGTACCTGGAGAGTGTCATGGGCTTGAATCCCACCCACAGCATCTCTTGGAAAAAAGTTGTCCTTGCTTTGTCTTTCCCTTGTGACCTTGTCATTGACTGGAATATGCACTGTGGGATTTAAGATGGTTAGGCAAAAATATTTGAAAGATGTACAAATTTCTCCAGACATGCGACTGAAATCTGGTGAGAAAAAAATGGCTATAGTAAGTTTCTCTCTGTTCTCACTACTGCAGCTCTACTGTGGTCTAGGAGGAGAGACGAGCTGGACAGACAAGAGGCGGAGTTACTGAAGAGAGTCCAGGGAGTCAGGGAGAAGGTGGTGGATCACATGACCCGACAGCATAGGTCACATGACAGGAGAACCACGGCAACCACAGACTAAGAAACACTCACACCCACGTGAACCACCATTTTATAACTTCATAATCTCACAGCCTCTCTTTACTCTTTTGACCATAATAATCTTTTCGACAACTCAAATTTTACCTATTTGCAAATGCCTTGCATAAAGAAAAGCAGCTCACGAGTTTTGCTTCCTAATTCTATTTTGGTGCTCTGAACCTTCATTTTTGGTGCAAAACCCTCGGCGCACTGCTCATGCGCGGTACTGTTAAAGAGAGGGTAGAGTTTCAGATGATAATGGTGAATGCAAGTCTTTCTGTAGCTGGTGATGGTTAGTGGGAGAAGTCTTGCTGTAGTTGCTGGAGAGCTAGAGACAGGCGCTGGGCTCTGGTCTCCATGGCCCTCTTCTCCTTCGCCACCTCCACCAGTAGCTGCCTCATCTCCTCCTCAGTCTCCCTCACCTACACACAACACACACACAACATCAATCACCTACAACCGAAATTGTTTTTCCTTCTAGCAGACAATAATTTCTCTCAAATTCACTCTCTCCCAAACCTTCTGCTGAGCTGCCTCAATCTGTTGGTCTTTCCTCTTGGTCAGCTGGGTCACATGACTCTCATGTGATGCCTTCTGAGCCTCCAGCTGTTGCCTACTAGCGGCCTCACACTCCCTCAGTCCCTCTTCAGCCAGACTGGCTCTCTGGCTTGCCTCCTCTTTCTCCCTCACCAGACCTCTCTCGCTCTCAGAGAAGGTGCTCTGAACCTTTGCCAGACTCTCCTCCAGGCTCCCAATGACTTTAACCCTCTCCTCCCACTCTCCACGCAGCTTGCTGCACACAACCATATTGCACAGACTTAATTCCAGTAAATTATACAGTGGGTATATGATACCTGTACTTTTCCTTGGACTGGGCAAGCTCGTCTTTGACAGCTGCCAGCTCTTCTTTCAGCTGTGCCTTCCTCTCCACTGCTGCCAACAGCTCATCCTTCACACAGTGATTATCACACGACAGTCACATGATTATCACACAACAGTCCCAATGTGTCATGCCTGTAAGTGGGCTGAAGACTCTTGTTCCTGATCCAGCTGCAGTTGGAGAGACTGTTGTTCATGTTCCCAGTCCTCCCGGGCCTCCTCTCCCTCCCTCTCCCTCGCAACCAGCGCCTCCTTCAGCTGTGATATGGAGGCCTGCTGGTCCGCCATCACCTTCTCTTTCACTCTCACTGCATCTCTAGCATGCTACATGATTGTGCATTAGAGTAAGCAGGGAAGTGAGATATTATGGCGAGATGCATCATAATAGAGGCACACACACACACAGAAATTAGTACAGAGCCAGATTTGAGGCAAAATTTGGCAATTGAATTCGGGGCATCCATTACTTGCAGTTCCTCTCTGAGTAAGGCAGTTTCGCTGGTGAGGGCCTCAATCTGAGCCTCCATTCGGCCGCGATCCTGCGCAAGCTCCGCCCCCTGCTGGGCCAGTTCTCGGCTCCACAGCTCCCTCTCTCCTCGGAGCCCGTCCATCACTGAGCCCTGTGCCGACAGCTGGGAACTGAGACTAGCGTTCTCCTGGCAACAGACAAACCAGAAGAAGAGAGAGTGGAGGACCAGATGACCAGTAAGTAAGCTGGAAACATACACACACATCTACACAGTGTAGACTGTAGCTTGGAGTACCTCAATCAGGGGTTGTACTCTGACTTCTAACTTGTGTTTCTCCCGCACCTCAGCCTCCAACTCACCAACCCTCTCCTGCATACAACATTAACACATTTGCAAAGGTTTTTCGCAAAACAAACTGGCTGACTGTATTCGTGCAACGTTTTTGCATACAAGTTCTGATTTTTTTGGTTGCAACTTTACGATTCTTTGTTTCCCCTGTCTCCTACCTCACCTTCAGTTCCTTGGTGGTGTCCTGCCTGGCTCTAGTCAGCTCGGCCAGCCTCCCTCTCTGCTCCCTCACAATAGCAGTCAGTTCAACCACCATGGCCGTCGCCTTCTGCTCCTTCCTCAGAGCCGACTCAGCCGCAGTTTGATATCCCTCCACTTGAGCCTGCACAGCCTCAAAACTCTGCCTCAGCTGTAGGTAGAGGGAAAACAGTCTCTTTGTCACTCAGTAAATACGTAATAGATCTATCTGTATATATTGCTCAGGGGACACTTCTGTGCAGATATTTGCACCAATAAAAAGCTATGGAGTATTCCTCTTACCTCCTGATAGCGCGAGGCCTCAATTCGTAGTGCCATCCTGAACTCATCTTCGAGAGCCTGGTAGGCCTTTTGCTGGTCGGCCAGCCGCAGTCTGTGTGTCTCCACGACCTCCTCCCCCCTCCTCCTCTCATCCTCGACCTTACACCTCACCACTTCGCGAACCTCTGGCCCGTCCAGCGGCTTACAGTTCTGCAGAGCCTTCCTGTGTTCACACAGTATTGTAGGGGGACAACTTTTGCTTTCAAGAATACTATTATCTCTCACTGATGGTCCCTCTCTCTTGTTGCCAGCAGTTCCTGCATGTCCTGCAGCTGCCTTCTCATCTCAGTCAGCGATGTCTGCGCCATCTCTGTCTCTCTCTGGTAGCCCAACGACGCAACCTCCGCCCCTCGCACTCTACCCAACTATACATGTATACCATGCAACACACAGTCAACACATCAACTAAAACTTCCTGCTGCACTGCTTTGCACAAGTTTTTAGTTTGTCAATGGATCAAAGCCTACCTACGTATGTAGGTGTCTTTGTGTGTGTATGCTTATTTATTGTGTGTAGTAGCAGGAAACGCTTGAGGGATAAAAATTTGATAGAAAATCTACATGAAATTCTCACTGAACAGTAGATAGGGGTCCATTATAAGCTGATGCTACCCTGTATATACGGGTTTCAGCTGGAGAGATTGGTTGTTTTTGGGACCAGACTGAACAGTAGATAGATTATCTTAGGCTCACCAGCTCTGTGACTTCCGCAGTGTGCTTGGCTTCTCTCCTACTGGCTTCCTCCTCCTTCTCCCTCACCTTCCTCTCTCCCTCTGCCACCCTCTGCCTCGCAGCCTCCAGCTCTCCATGGAGCCCAGCCAGCAACTCCTCTGTCTTCTTCCCCTCCTCTTCCCTCGCCTCACCTCTCTCCCTCTCCTTCCTCAGATCTTCCTCCAGCCTGGCGACCCTCACCACAGCTCCCTCGTGTTGCCTCCGGCTCTCCTCCAGCTGCGTCTGCAGCGACCTCACGTGCTCCACCAGACGAGAGGCAACTTTCTCAGCTTTTGTTCTTCTCTCACACTCTTCCTCCAACTGTCTGGACACCATCTTCAATAATACGAAAAATGAAATTGAAAAACATTAAAGTGATGTATAATGTGGCTTCCAATGTTACGCTAAAGTCAAAGAAGAGCCTTTCAGTTTTGCAGGCATGGCTTAGGAATTTTTCCACAAAATTTCTCAACCTGGCCCAAAAATATTAATTTTGCTGACTTTGAGTTGAGTGTTGCTTTGGCGGGTCTCCTGCTGTTTCTGAGTCTCTAGAGTCAGCTGTGTCTTCGTCTGGTGGTCCTGCTGAATGGAGCTGACTTTTTCTATCTCTCCCTCTCCCCTTTCTCCGCCACTTTCTTTCAGCACCACCACAGCACCTCCCTTCTGCCTCTTCCCGCCACCTTCATTCCTCGCCTTTCTCCTCCCGTTCCTGTCCCACTGAGCCGTGCGACCTCTCCTCTCCGGCACCGTCTTCCCCACTACTCCTCTCTTCTCTCCCCTCTTCTCCCTGGACACCAGCTGCTCTCAGCTGTGACTGGGAAGAAGAGGTGGTGGCTGACGGCTGAGGTTCACGGGAGAGGAGAGTTGGAGGATCTTCATCACATGACTCAGTACTGGATGAATTTGACACTTCTGCATTAGAGATGGTAGGATCACGTGATGTGTCACGTGACAGTATTTACCAGGTGGGTGTGGCTTACTGGAACCCGGTATTTTCCTCTGTGCAGTCTGGGAAAATAGAAGGAACTTATTCGCTCCACCTAAACATAACATTACGAGCACCACCTTGCTTTTCTGCAGTAGCTCTGAGAGCTGTCTCTCCAGCTGCATTAGTCTCTGTTCGTAGTCTCCCTCTTCTCCATTAGCAGTCGTACTGGAGCTAGCCCCTCCCCCTCTCTCCCTCCTCTCTCCTCCATCCGTATGGCGCTGCTGTCGGCCTCCCCGCAAGACTCTGTCGATATTTGGAGTCACACTACTCTCCTGAATGCAATGAACGGGGCTTGCAGTAGCTAGAGAGCGCGAACGAACTCTTATCTTTGTCGTTTTCTAAGCTTACCTTCTCTGTATTCGAGTCAGAGGTTTCCAGAAAGCCAAGATAAGTCTCCAGCGCTGCAGAGAAACGTAAAAAGGCGCGTTTAAAACATCATACGACTGTAAGAGGGGGAGAGTTTTCAGCCATACCAGCTCGTGCAGGGAGAAGAGCAGCAAGTGCCGCCATTTTCCGAGAGCAATGTTATAAAGGGGAAGTTTGGCCGCCGATTACGCATCTGCTGTGATGGCCGAGTGGTTAAGGCGTTGGACTTGAAATCCAATGGGGTTTCCCCGCGCAGGTTCGAACCCTGCTCGCAGCGATACTTTTTCACTTCAGTTTTCTATCTCAACTTTTTTCAACATAATTATAAAGATCAGTTTTATAGAAGAAAAACAAAGCTCACATCATTTTTTATGTGTACTATACGTTTTACATCACTGCGCACGCGCGAAACCTCGCAAAATGCAGCCTGCATCACCGCACCAGTTAGTTCGCTGCAACGGCGAACATACTGCGAAACGATGCTGGCCACTTGGATTTGTATCGTTCTCGCTATCTTCGCAGTGAGTGATGCGCAAAAGGAGAAGCCGCCAGAAAGTAAGCTCCTAGCTATTCTAACTTTTTCCCGGTATTGTTTGTTCTGCACGCGACAGACGCCGACTGCAGTCTTGTGCGGTGCGCCTCCCCAGACTGCCTCCCTGGCTACCGTCCGATGACTCTGGACGGCGAATGCTGTCCCTCGTGCCAGAAATGCCCGCCTAGTCTCCTTCCTTGCCCGCTAATCCTCTGTGAGTCCATCACGTACCGGGACCCGTGCGGTTGTCCAGAATGCACTCTCGCTACTCCACCAGGTGAGCGCCGTTAGCATGTTTATAACTATTAAAAAGTGTCAGTTTTCATGCTTTGATGTTTTTCGTTTTCTATATAGAGACAGAAACAACCCCAACTCCGTCTACTGAAGAAACTGTCATTCCAGAAAGAGGTAATTGAATAGCGCACACCAAGCGTGATTATTATAGGGATACGATCATTATACACAGTGTGTGAGATCTCTGGGCAAGTCTACACGACATGTGGCACAGCGTGTCCCCCCGTGTGTGGGGAGCCAGGTCAACTCTTCTGCACGCTCCAGTGTGTCGTTGGTTGCCAGTGTCCTAGTGGAACCTTCCTTGACAGTACCGCCAGACAGTGTGTCACAGAATGCCCCACAACTACCTCACCTCCTACCACCGAGACTCCGGAACTCTGCTCGCTGGAGCCTGACATTGGACCATGTAGGGGAAGCATGCGGAGGTACCATTTCAGTGCAACTAGCCGTCGCTGTGAGGTTTTCATCTATGGCGGATGTGGAGGCAATGACAATAACTTCGAGACTCTCGAAATCTGTCAACAAACCTGCGGAACATGTGAGTGAAATGATCATGAAATTCTGAACCCTTGGTAAAAAGAAACGTTGGGATGGCTTATGCATAGTGTGTGTACGCAGGTGCGTGAAAATATTGTTTACTCAAAGTGAAAAGGAACATAATAGAAATATGTCACCTTATATTTTATAATCAAAAGTAGTACCCAGCCTTGAGAATTGTGTGTGAGTCGATCCAGTAATGTAAATGTGCTGGAATAGCAAGCCATGAATTTCCACGCAAATGGATGATGTGCTGACTGGAAAACACGTAGGGAGGGCTCAATGTGAATTCCGTGTCAAATTATCCATTACTTGTTACTCAACTGTCACACACACACACGTACAACTCCCACACTGAGGCAAAGAACACTGAGCGATTTTGGCAGCATTCCTATGAAAGCCTTGCCCTACGCAGTGTGTGGAAGCGCCTGCATTTTGCCTAGCAGCATCATGCAATGGTTGTTTTACTGCAGCTCAAGTGAGTGGCACTCCCACGACAGAAAACTCTCTACCAACGGGAACCACTGCCTCTCATCCAACAAGACCAACAGGAGGCACTGGCTCTCATCCAACCAGACCAACTGGCTCTCAACCAACAAAACCAACAACTGGAGGCACTAGTTCTCGCCCAACGAGACCAACGGGACCAACAAGACCAACGAGCTCCCAACCAAGTAAACCAACAACTGGAGGAACTGGCTCTAAACCAACCAAACCAACTGGACTAACTGGAGAGACACCTACCATGCCGACCAGACCGGGCACTGACTCTCAACTAACCAGACCAACTGGCACTCGTCCAACTAGACCAACAGGAGGCACTGGCTCTCGACCAACCAGACCAACAGGAGGCACTGGCTCTCGACCAACCAGACCAACAGGAGGTACTAGTTCTCGTCCAACAGGACCAACAAGACCGACAGGAGGCACCGCTTCTCAACCAACAAGGCCAACTTCAGAAAGGCCCACCACTGGTGGTGTGGTACCAACTAAACCCTCCAGCACTGGATCAACTCCAACAAAGCCAACAGCCGGTGTAACAGTTCCTCCTGGCTCTAAACCCACTGGTGGTGGGGCTGGCTCTAAACTCACTGGTGGTGGTGCTGGCTCTAAACCCACTGGTGGTGGTGCTGGCTCTAAACTCACTGGTGGTGGTGCTGGCTCTAAACCCACTGGTGGTGGTGCTGGCTCTACTCCACCTGGGAACCGACCAACAGGTACTGCTCCACCTAAAAGAGTGCTGTTCTTTCCCAGAGTGTATGCACACATTCTGACATGTAATTGGCATTCGAAACAATGAATATCATTCTCCACCCGTCTTGCATAAATCAATCTATACTGAGCCAGCATAGGTATATACAATTTTGACCTAGTTTCGTCTCACCCACAGAAAGTGAGACTACGCCCACCGCAAATGCAATTTGCACTCTCCGAAGGGACAGGGGGAGCCCCTGTGCAAATGGACCAATCGACGGATCAATGAGAAGGTTCTACTACAACTCTCGTAGGAACACGTGCAAGGCGTTCAGCTTCAGAGGCTGCGGTGGAAATGCCAACCGATTTGAATCCCGCCAGGAGTGCAAGAATACTTGCATGTGTAAGTTTTCTCATTTCCGTCGCTTTTATAATACTAACTCTGCTCTTTTCTCCACCTCAGAATCGAGACTCAATGAACTATTACAAAACTATACAAAACTAATAATGCCCAAACACTTAGGGATAGACTATAGTTTGTGATGTTGATTAGCAGTTTGATGTGTTTCATGTGATGCAGCGCATTATCCGATGGTCAGAAGAAGACACTCGGCATTGCCCCTAGAATTCCTCACACATGCAAAGTTGAAAGGGCAAGGGTCGGGGCTGCAAACATCGCCAGGGCTGTTGTCCACAAACGAACATCTCGGCTCGTCTGTTTCATAATCGTATTGACACTCAGTGCCTGGGACCGTGCATCTGAAGTTACGGCAGGCGAAATTACCGCAGTATGGCTCTCGCGTTGTTGCATTTATCCTACACACCAGTGGACGCCCGCAGAGAATATCGGAACATATGGGGGCGCATTCTGCGACTGATCTCTCGTTCACCTCACATCTAGTCCACGGAGCACACTGAACGTTGTTACATGCGTCGGGTAGAGAAATTATAACTTCTTCGCAAATAACTAAGTCAGTGAGAGGGTCGTGGTTGCATCTTGAGTTGGGGGCGCAGGAGATGATGGTACATAAGTCGACACCACAGAACGGCTCCTGAGTGGCTTGTTTCACTCTGCAGATGTCTCCTCCACTACAACTGATTCCGTCACAAGGGTCGGGCGGTGCAACACATCTAGCAGAGTCGGTCGTAGGGTCATAGACGCAGAGTGTGTTAACGAAGCAGGTGGTGAAGGCACACGGAGTGATGCCACAGAATGGTAGCCCGGTGGCGACGTTAACTCTGCAGATGTCTCCTCCAGTGCAGCTGAAATCAGCGCAGGGGTCGGTAGGATTCACGCACACCGCTATGTCCAGGTCAGGGTTGTACCGGCACTCTGTTCCCTCACGGCAGGTGGTGAAGGTACATGGGTCCAACCCACAGTAGGCTCTGCGTGTGTCTGGCCTAACCCTACACATCAGTTGACCACAGTTACGATCACTGCAGGGATCTTCTGGTACACACTCCACACTGCCATCCTCGTTGGCCTGGCAGACAAACCCAGCAGCACATTGTAGAAGAAAGCAGCGTATATCAGGAAGGTCAAGGACACACCGGGCCTCTCCGGAGCTGGCATCGACTTGACATGTGGTACCCTCGGCACAGTCCATAGTGGCACAGGGATTGACGGCTACACATTCTGCAGCGTCCAGCTTCATGTTGAAGCGACATTGGGTCCCTGCCTCGCACGTTGTGTACGTACAAGGGTCGAGGCCGCAGTACCCAGCATTGGTATCGAGGTTGACTCTGCACATGAGCGAGCCACAGATGATGTCTTCGCAAGGACTCACGCACTCTGGCTCTCTGTCTTCGTCCACTCTACAGGTGGTACCCTCGGAACAGAGTACGGTGGCACAAGGATCTCCCATACACTGAGGACCATCAGTCTCGGGATTGTACCGACAGTTGAAACACCTCACGAGAGTGCAGGGGTCGATACCGCAGTACCCTCTGCCAGAGACCTGGTCGATTCGACATAGCTGTGAGCCACAATCGATGCGCGAACAGGGGTTTTCGGGGAAACACTCGACCGTGGTTTTAATGCCTTTCTTGGGCTGACATACGGTGCCCTTTGGACAGTCAAAGATCATACAGCGCAGGTCGGGGGGTGAACATACCCCTTCGCCAGTGTCTTCATTCAGTTTGCAGACCTGGCCTGTCGGGCAGTCCTGTAGGAGACAGGGAGCTGTTGGTACGCACTCTCCTTCGTCTGTCTTCTCGTTGTAGCTGCACTCATAGTTTTTACCACAGTTCATTTTGATGCAGGGATCGACTCCACAGTAGCCTCTCTGAGCGCTGGGGCGAACACGGCATATCTCTGGTTTGCGGCATTTGATTGTGGCGCAGGGATGTGGGACTGGAACGCAGACAGGGGAACCTGTTGGGTCCACTTCACAGACGGTTCCCACTGCACAGAGAGCGGCGATGCAGGGATTAGCGAGTCTGCAGACTGCAGCACCTAGTTCATTCACCACGCATGTGGTTCCTGGCCGACAAACTGTGGTGAGGCAAGCATCTGTTGGGACACACTCTGCAATGTCCAGCTCTCGATTCAAGCGGCATTCAGTTCCTAGCTCACAGACGTGTGTATTGCAAGGGTGTGGTCCACAGTATCCATCATTTGTGCCAGGTCGCATGCGGCAGATTGAGTTGATGTCACACAGGATTAGGGCACACGGGGTCTCGATTGGTCTGCAAACTGCAGTACCAAGCTCAGTCACCTCACACCCAGTCCCTGGTGGACAAAGTTTGAGGACACAGGGATCATTAGTGATGACACTCGGTACACACTCGGCGGCATCTTCCACTTGGTTGTAGCGGCACTCGAACCCTCGGCCGCAGTTGTGAGTCTCACAGGGATCTCCGCCACAGTACCCCATCTGGTTGCCCCGTCTGATTCTACAGATGGCCGGTGGGAGGCAGTGGATGAGAGCGCAGCCTAATCCCTCGGGGACACACTGGGGCTCATTGGTGACCGGGTGCATTTCACACGTGAAGCCGCCCGCGCAGGGGAAGTTGGAGCATCGGTCAATGGGAACACACTCGGGATCTCCTGTGATACTGTTTAGCTCACACGTGGTGCCTGGTTTACAGGGATCAAATCGACAGGGATCACAGTCAGTGAATTCGCAGGGATCAATGGTGATGAATATTGGGACACACTCGGCCATGTTGGTCGCTGGGTCTCTCTCACAGGAGAATCCAGTGGGACACGACCTTATCAGACACGATGTAATGCTCACGCACTCTGCATCTCCGTCAGTGTCAACTTGACAAATAGCCCCTGGTGCGCAGTCGATTAGATTACATGGGCTCTCCACTCCACAGGTCTCCTGGCACTCCTCGAGCGTAATGAAACGGTTTTCGTTCCCTCCGCACCCACCGTAGGAGAACCGCTCGCAGCGACCGCTCTGCTGGTTGTGGTAGTATCTCGGAATTGCAGCTCTGCAGTCACCAACATCAGCGTCAGTGCGCACACCTCTGCAAGAGATAAGGCGACACTAAAACCTTGTTCATATGTTGAAGGTATACAGAAGAACCCTTCTAGTACTGTCATGAAAATTTATATTTTTCAAGGGTTAATGAAATGTAGAAAAGATGTACCTCATTTCAGGAGTGTCCCTGGGGAGGGGTTACACTGCATACTAAACAGTAGTGAGTTTCTCTACCTCTGCGAGGAATGCATTCGACAAAATCAGGACAGGGCAGGGTGAGACACTGTGGCTGCCTCATGTGACAGATTTCGTCAACCTCGCACCCTCCATTGTCGTACTCGCAGGACGCCTCACAGAACGGGGTTCCGTCGTCGTTAATCTTGCACCTGGTGCCAGGCGGACAGCGGATTGAGGTTGAGCAGACGTCGGTGACACCTCTACACGTCTCCCTGCACTCTTGCATGCTCGAGAACCGGTTGTGTGTGCGCTCGCAGCCACCGTAGACGAAGCGCTTGCAGAGCTGGGTGGCAGGGTTGTAGAAGAAGGCCCTCTCTGTTATTCCACACGAGTCAGTGTCTGGTTCCTGGTTGCAGACGGCTGGAAGAGAAATATGACTATTTTGATGCAAAAATCTGAGCAATGAAATATCTAATGGCAGCTACCAAGCCAAACGATGCAAAACTATTGCATAAAAGTAGATTAAATGTTAGGCAGTTACTGCTGCTATTAACTTAGGGGACAGAAGGAAAGCTTTACTACCCCCATAATCACCACCCCAATTATTCCAAGTACACATGTCTAATTTGCATTTAACTGCAACATGTATAGCGTCAAGCCTTCACCCAAAATTGAAGATGTATAATGCATATGGAGAAAAAACCCTGAACACTGTTGGTATCACATCTATTTGGTATTGAGTCTCACCAGTCTTATGGATGCAGCGGATGCCCTGGGGGCAGGGAGCTCTGATGCAGAAGACCGTTTCAGCAGGCACACAGACTTCGTCGTCGCTGCAGCCGCCGTTGTCAATGTCACATGAAGGGTCGCAGTACGGGCGGCCAGTGAGGAAGTCAATTCCACACACTCCATTGCACTCTATGTCTGGACCATTCTCCACAACACAGATGTCTGCATGCAAAAAATATTTCGTCACAAAAAAAGTTTTGCACATAGAATGTTAGAACCTTGCACGGTCTGCCAACAGTGAGAGGAAGTTTCACATTTTATGTTATGTACAGATACTGGACTGCAGAATAGTTAAAGGCAATGCAAGAAATGACATTTTACTGCACGAAAAAGGTTGGTTCCTGCAGTTTTGCTGCATTTGGGTGCAAACTGTACGAGCCGCCGTGCAGACTTACCAACATCACAGTTATCAGTAACATCAGTGGAGCCGACAAAGAACTGTGCAGTGCATCTGTGGGTCTCGCAGCGGGCAAAAGGGAAACGGCGACACCAGGAGGTGAAGCAGGGATCCCTCCACTGCTGCTGGAGATCTATACCAGCTTCCTGCTGCTCCAGGAGGGTGCAGGCTGGAGGAAAAAATACAAGAGAGCATGCTTTTTGCAATGTTTTTGAAGCTTGAGTTGAGAACTCACTTGCTTCTGCAGCGTCGGGCACTATAAGAACTGCCAGTGCAGCTGCACTGAGTATAGCCAGCAGAGAGCCAGCCATGACTGCTATCCTTGCAAGACAAAGGCTTGCCAACTAGTTTTTCTGCAGTTATTGCTCTAGTAACTTTGCAGTCGCTGTAGTGAGCCCTGCTACTGACTTTTATAGGAGAGTTGGCCTGAGTTGCCCACCAGAGGTTTTCTCCTAGCAACAGGTAATCACCCCAGGCTGAAGGCTGCCTGGAGCCCTTTTCAGGTTGACCTCACTTATTATGCCACTGATTGGCCATCCTGCCCAGACCAATTTGGTGACTAGGCTGTGGGCAGGAGTTCATACACAATACTTCCTCTCCAGGTCTTCACATCCAGGGCTGTGAAACACGTGGCCGGCATTGCATTGCAGGGAAGTTGCAGAGAGGGTGCGTTGTGATCAATTCTTGTAAAAATGTGTGAGTTAGTCAGCACAGGAGAAGTAGTGATGCATGGAAGGAAGTCACACCAACATTGAGCAACCTCCCCACCCCCACTAGTCCCCACCCTAGGGAGATGATCACAGTCCAATCTGTGACCCCATGTCTTGACTTTCATAAACACTGTGTTGTGTAGGTGTGTGACAAGAGGATGTGACGCCAGCTACACTCCTTACTCAGCACTGCTTGCTTGCTTAACAATGAGCTCTGGAATGATCAGCAACTTATTAGAGACTGATGCAGTTTAGCTAAGCCTGTGATACATATGAAAGAAGGTCAGTGGCGAGCTGAGCAAGCCTACCTATTCATCTGAATGGTTTATTGTATGTGACGGGCACTGCATGTACCGCAATGTTCCACGTGATTAACTTTTTCTCGCTTTTCGCTCATATTGAAATTCAAAATCAAGACTCAACATGATATTCAAAAATGCCTACAAATGATTAAACACTTTAATTAACATGGTTCGTGTTGCTGTTCAGCTGTTCTTACAGTTTCATGTGATGATGCATTATTTCGGAACGCAGCTAACTGTATCGGTAGGAATGTCGTGGATGCATCTCGTGTGGGGGGCGCAGGAGATGACGGTACAAAAATCAAGGCCACAGAACGGCTCCTGAGTGGTTTGGTTCACTCTGCAGATGTCTCCTCCACTACAGTGGAATCCGTCACAAGGTCGGGCGGTGCAACACATTTAGCAGCGTCGGTCGCAGGGTCATAGACGCACTCTGTTCCCTCACGGCAGGTGGTGAAGGTACATGGGTCCAACCCACAGTAGGCTCTGTGGGTGTCTGGCCTAACCCTACACATCAGTTGGCCACAGTTACGAACACTGCACGGATCTTCTGGGACACACTCCACACTGCCATCCTCGTTGGCCTGGCAGACAAACCCAGCAGCACATTGTAGAAGAAAGCAGCGTATATCAGGAATGTCAAGGACACACTGGGCCTCTCCGGAGCTGGCATTGACTTGACACGTAGTACCCTCGGCACAGTCCATAGTGGCACAGGGATCGACGGCTACACATTCTGCAGCGTCCAGCTTCATGTTGAAGCGACATTGGGTCCCTGCCTCGCACGTTGTGTACGTACAAGGGTCGAGGCCGCAGTACCCAGCATTGGTATCAGGGTTGACTCTGCACATGAGTGAGCCACAGATGATGTCTTCGCAAGGACTCACGCACTCTGGCTCTCCGTCTTCGTCCACTCTACAGGTGGTACCCTCGGAACAGAGTACGGTGGCACAAGGATCTCCCATACACTGAGGACCATCAGTCTCGGGATTGTACTGACAGTTGAAACACCTCACGAGAGTGCAAGGGGTCGATACCGCAGTACCCTCTGCCAGAGACCTGGTCGATTCGACATAGCTGTGAGCCACAATCGATGCGCGAACAGGGGTTTTCGGGGAAACACTCGACCGTGGTTTTAATGCCTTTCTTGGGCTGACATACGGTGCCCTTTGGACAGTCAAAGATCATACAGCGCAGGTCGGGGGGTGAACACACCCCTTCCCCGGTGTCTTCATTCAGTTTGCAGACCTGGCCTGTCGGGCAGTCCTGTAGGAGACAGGGAGCTGTTGGTACGCACTCTCCTTCGTCTGTCTTCTCGTTGTAGCTGCACTCATAGTTTTTACTACAGTTCATGTTGATGCAGGGATCGACTCCACAGTAGCCTCTCTGAGCGCTGGGGCGAACACGGCATATCTCTGGTTTGCGGCATTCGATTGTGGCGCAGGGGTGTGGGACTGGACGCAGACAGGGGAACCTGTTGGGTCCACTTCACAGACGGTTCCCACTGCACAGAGAGTGGCGATGCAGGGATTAGCGAGTCTGCAGACTGCAGCACCTAGTTCATTCACCACACACGTGGTTCCTGGTGGACAAAGTCGGAGGAAGCAGGGATCTGTCGCTGAAGGGGAAAAAGACAAGAGAGTATGATTCTCTGCAGTGTTTCTTGCCGTCTGAGTCAAGAACTTACGTGTTGCAAGTGTAGGGTCGGGCACTACAAGAGCTGCCATGGGCACCACTAGAACTGTCAGTGTAGCTGTACTGATTACAGCCAGCCAAGAGAGAGCCATGACTGTGCCTTCCTTCTCTAGTGTCTTTCTGTCTTCTATTTCTGTAGTCGTTTATAGTAATGCCGAAGTGAGGAGGACAGAGCCATGCTTCTACCTTTTATAGGAGAGTGTGGCTGAGTCAGCCAACTAGCAAGCTTCTCTTACTGACGTGTCAAATCCATCCTGTTAGACTGACCGCTTCCCCCCTCTGGAGCTTTGAAGTTGATCTTACCTACCAGTTATTGCCGATTTAGGCATCCTTCCCATGCCCATTTGGTAACTAGGGTGTGGGCAGGAGTTCATACCACTTCCTCCAGGTCTTCATCCAGGGCTGTGAAATACATGGCTGGCATTGCAGGTGTGGAAATTTCAGTGGGGGTATGAAGTTAGTCAGCAGAGGGAAGGAAATTGAGCAACACTCCCACCCCCACTAGGTTCCACCATAGGGCCCAAGTGTGGTTTGTGTAGGCGTGTGACCACTAGAGGATGTGATGCTAACTCCACTTCTTAATCAGCACTGCCAATGAATGTCGATTCAATAAACACGCTTCAACAGCCACGCATAAAGCCTGAAATGACCAACAAACTACTAGATGTGATGCAAATATGACAGAATGCCTATTGTATATTGTACACTGATTCAGAGTTTAATCTGAGTGAAGATGGGAGGCGGAACTGTCAGGTTTTCCACCACCTCTCCCACTCTCCTCTCTCCTCTTCTCCTGCACAGTCTGGCAGGCCAGTTTCCACCCCATGAGCCAAGCTGGCCACACCACCACACACACCACAGGAAACAACCACGCCTCTGCGAAATACCACGAGTTGTACGCCAGAACCAGACCCCGCCCTGCCACACCCACCCCGCCAACCAGAACGGCTCGGATATCTGACGAGGGAGAAATGTTGGAGGCGAGAAGAGTGTTATAGAGACAGCAGAGGTAGAGTATGGAGAGTGGAGGGGAGCAGAGGAGGAGGAAGAGCTGTCCAAGAACACGACCAAGTCTTCCACCACTGAAGGGGGGATGAAATGAAAGGAGGAAACGAGGAGAGAATGGGCAGGAAATGGGGAGGAAATGCCGTTGGGGGGCAGAGGAGGAAACGAGGGAAATGGGCAGGAAATGCCGTTGGGGGGCAGGAAATGGGAAGGTATTGCAGAAGACACATGGAAAGGGTGCAGGGGAAGTGGATGACAAATTGGCATAGAACAGAGGACCCACAACCTGAAGATGTTTTGAGTCCCCAGGTCACTTGCCACAACAGGGGGCCCAGGTCAAGCATCAGAACCCCATTCACAATATGGTTTAAACTTCAGTCACAATAGACGACACACTTTGCGGAATCACTGCCACTGAGGCTTGCTCAACATTGCCTCACACATGATAATGACACTACTTGAGCTGCATGCATACCCCCCACAGACCACACATGTAGCCTTACGCACAGGAAGAACACACAGTCTCCTACACTCACATGTAGCCTTACGCACAGGAAGAACACACAGTCTCCTACACTCACATGTAGCCTTACGCACAGGAAGAACTCACAGTCTCCTACACTCACATGTAGCCTTACGCACAGGAAGAACACACAGTCTCCTACACTCACATGAGCTTCACCTGACTTAATTTACCAATCATGCATGAACATCTATAATTATATCAACATGTCCACAGTCAATCACAGTGAACGTACTTGATTGTGGAGGGTTGAGAAAGGACGGAGGGGAGAGGGAGGAAGAGGACGAGAGAGATGGAGAGGGCATAGTTCATCATTGCCACGGTGACCAGAAGAAGCAGCTGTAAGATGAGTGAGAAGCACTTTGTCATGTGCCAGCTGCTGGCCGGAACAGTGGAGCTGTGAGCGAGAGAGAGAGATTAGGGAGTGAGTACGTAGTGAGTAGGGTGTTGAATTTTGCAGCTTGACTAGATAGTCGTACAAAATGAGTACCAAACTCGTGACAAAGAGATGTCGGAACTTAAAAGTGTGAATAGGTGCGCCAAGCATGGCAGTTGACCCCGTTCACAAAACCATCCTCTACATGATTGCCGAATTGTCTTTTGTCACGAAAGTTAAGCTATACGGCATACCTGGAAAAGAGAGGGAGGAAGATGGAGAGGAGACAGCCCCATGCCAGGGCAGCTGCGAGGACCCCTGGTCCCAGAGGAGTCAGCAACATGGCCGCCAGTCTCGGCAGAATGAGGAGGAGAACCCCACTCATTAGCGAAGGCAGGACCATTCCCAGGATGGAATGGAATGGAAACGTCGGTGGGTGCAACAGCTGCACAGACAACAGAGTCGCTAAATAGGCAAAAACCCTTGAGTAATCAGTTCAATACAATGCACTTACTCTTTGGTAAGTGCAATCATGATTGGTTCATTGACCACCAAAAGTAGTGTAGCTCCAAACAAGGCCTCACCTGCTGTTGACTGGAGTCACCACTTCCTGAGCACTCAGCAGCTGCCACTCTGAATCCTCTTGCCAGCAGCCACTGAGATAGGCCTTGGATCTCAGTCAAGAATCACAGGAGAAAGACATAACTATTCTCACTCATCACACTGCTTAGTGCAGTATTGGGTATATAGTAACGTAGAGAAAGTTTTAAAACGTTCCCCACTAGAATACAGTAAAATGCCAGCCTAAGAAAGTGCAGTAGAGAGGTGGGAGCAGGTTTTCAAGTGTTCCCCACCACAATAATAGAAGAGGATATCTCCAGCATGAGTGGAGCCAGTAGGAGGCCGAGGGGAGGCATGAACAGCCCGATGGAGATGAATCTCCCGCGAGACGGGGCATAGTAGAAGAACTCTGAATGGTGGAGTCTCTCCAGGAGATTGTTGAGGCTTCGAAAACTACCCTCCAAGGCCCTGGGGGGAGACAAAAGGCAGAACTCACAGAGAAAATGCAAGTTTTCTCTGCTAAAAGCACTGCTAGATACCTGGCCAGGTTGAGTAGTGGCTTTGCAGTAGGTCCTGAGCCCACACCACGCACCGTCACGGAATCGATCCTATGCCTGCACGACACACCGACACAATGAAAAAACCACGCCAGACACACACACAGTAGGGGTGGACCTCAGGAAGGGGGCGTGGCCAGCGAGAGGAAGACCAGGGGCCTGGTGAGCCATGAGAGACGCTACAGTGTACAGCTTGTGGGCGGAGTCTGATAAATCGGGTTTGGAGTATCTCCCATGCGACCTTACACCTTCCCACTGGAGAAGCAAAAGAGAGAAAGGGGTCGGTAGAAATTTAGCCAGTTCATGCTAGAATGGTGCCTCACCCCCATGTGTAGAGCTGAAGGAATGCCCTCCATTTCACTCAGGTGCGTGAGAACATGAACTAGGTCAAGGTTTGGGAGAATTCCATTCACGCCCTCTGAATGAAAGTGAAGAAGCGAAATAAATCATGACATTTGACAAATCCTGCTGTTTTACCAATCATTATTCTTGCATATTCGATCTTTGGTGAGTCAATCTCAAGATTTATCACTGCTTGAATGGCACCTGATCTTCCTGGTAGAGGCCCAGCGTTGATGCCTGAACAGGTAGAGATCATATAGCGTGTATAGTGATGTTCCATACACGTAAGTAGTCGTGGCCGAGTGGTTAAGGCGATGGACTAGAAATCCATTGGGCTCTGCCCGCGCAGGTTCGAATCCTGCCGACTACGATATTTTTGCTTTTTTATTCCTTTTGAAGGTCTTTATCACACTGTTTCCTACCTTTTTACTTTTGTGGGGAATAAAATGCTATTAAAACGCAACTTTACCTTTTACAGCATTGCCCATGTAACTGTTTATCCAGGCCTGAACTCCTATTTCACCTCCAGTTGTCACCAAAAATATGATGTCCTTGGCCCAATAGTTCTTACCTGCAGAATAAGCACCTAACTCTTACCAAACATCTTCAAACAGAGCATAAAGTTTTGTCTATCTCGCTCCCAAATTTTGTTTCCCCCATCTCTTTCCAAACTCTTCTATCCAACTCCAAATTTCATCTCTCTCACAGGAAACTTTCCTTCCTCTTATTATATCTTGCCCCAAATTTTCGTCTTTCTCCCTATCTCGCTTGATACAAAGCTGCAACTCACTCTTGAAGTACTTGGCAAGACTCAGCATAACAGCCAGTCCGTGAGTGTTGGCTGCTTCTCCAGAGGGAGCGGAAAATACGAGGGATTCAGCGCTTGACGCCCTTCCTGCTCTCAGCACTCCGTAGACGCTCCGACCACTCACAGATGCCGCCTGAGGCCCCGCGACGGCAGGTAGGACTGCCGAGTAGTTCTGGGAGTACACCTCCAATCCAATTCTAGAGAAGGAAGCTTCCAACCACACCATGAGACCCTCTCTGTGCGTGTGTGTGTGTGTGTGGGGGGAGAAAGACAAAATGTCAGAGTGAGATGGTGGAGACAACAGTTTGGGGTGAGATATGGGGAAAGGCAAGTTTTCAGTGAGAGGGTTTGGAACTTTGGAGAGAAGGAAAAGAAGAAAGTTTGGAACAAGAAAGGGGGAAGACAAGAGGTTTGAGCGAGATAGGGGGGAAAGACAAACGTTTGGAGCAGGACAGGGGGAGACAAAAAGTGGGAGCTAGCATATTTAGTCACACCCACTGGTCAACTCCGAAGTCGGCAAGCTCCTCGGCGTAGTCAGAGATGCTCTGAGAGTCTCTGAACTCCCTCCTCACCAGACCAACCATCAAAGCGTTCTCGTCGACGAAACTGCGGCGATTGAACTCATCCCTCGGCAGCATTCCGAGGTACACCAGTCCACACAGGTAGAGCAGAATACTGCGCATTTCACTGGGTTATGGCAATTGTGGATGGTTTATCCTTACCCAAGTGGCTTCCTGCGTTTTATGAGGAAGCCTGCAAGCTTTTTTGAGCGCTTAGACTCCAGCAACGACGCTAGCTTCATCTCCTTCTCTCAAACTTGCTACGCATGCGCAGTGTAGAAGTTGCAGAGGTCAAGGGACTAAAAAAGATGGCCGCGAATTGGCAGAGAGCAGCGAATGGCCTCAGAGCTGGCTACAGGTGGTTTACAGGCGGCCAGAGCTTACGGGTAAGCCGCTTGTTTTCAAGGGAAGAGAGACGGAGGGTGCCTGCATAGCGTCGTACCCTTCCCTTGACCCGCGATACGATAGCGTTTCTAATTGACGCCCACCATGTTATGTGTGCCGTCTCTCCCTTACGTTCCAGGTGACGGGTTCTCGGGGAAAGGCGGTAAGTTCGTCAGTCACGTGACGTAGAACGGTTACCTAATGTTTGCTTCCTCCAGGGAAGGTCACCAATGTTCTACGGAGCAGTGGCAGCTGCTGGAGTGGTGGCAGGGTACTCTGTGGTCTCAGTTGCAGCTGCTGAGGCAGAGCTCCACCCACCAAAGTACGCCTGGAGTCACAAAGGACTCCTCAGTGCTCTGGACCACCAGAGGTCGGTTCCCAGCGATGTATTTTCAGTTGTGTACATGTAGTTTTGTTGTTGGCGTTTGATTGATGACATGTATTTTCAGTTGTGTACATGTAGTTTTGTTGTTGGCGTTTGATTGATGACATGTCTTTTCAGTTGTGTACATGTAGTTTTGTTGTTGGCGTTTGATTGATGACATGTCTTTTCAGTTGTGTACATGTAGTTTTGTTGTTGGCGTTTGATTGATGACATGTCTTTGTTCGGCTCCCTATGAGTTCTGAGTGTGTATGATCTGTCTTCTGTTTTTCCCTCTCTCTCCTTCCTTCTCCACATCCCCCCCTCCTCTTCCAGTATAAGGAGAGGCTATCTAGTATACAAAGAGGTGTGCTCTGCCTGCCACAGTATGCAGTACATCAGTTTTAGAAACCTCGTCGGTGTCTCGCACACTGAGAATGAAGCCAGGGTGCTAGCTGAAGAGGTTTGCTGCTGTAGTACACTGCACAATCAGGACAACATCCGTCAGAACTCCTCTGATCTGAATGAGTGTCCTGTAGGACAGTTTAGCTGCTTTATGTGCTGTCCTGATTGGGGAGGAAGGGTGTGGTTCCTCTAAGAGGGGCTAGATTAGTAGCTTTGGTAGAGACTTCACATAAACTAAGGGGCTGTGGGTTGATTTCTTTTGATGTGAGAGTGGGTGGGGACAGGGTAAGGGTCTGTATGGAGTCTCAATTGTCCATCCTGTGAGCTGGCTCTCCCAGTTGAACAAATTGCCCACTTCCTGCGTTCAATGATGCCACGACTGGATCAATGGTGCATGTATGGATTGTGGTGGCTACCTTTCTCTCTCCCTCTGTCCTTGTATGTGCAGTATGAGTATCCCGGAGACAATGATGAAGAAGGGAACCCAACCACTAGGCAGGGGAAAATCAGCGATGCCTTCCCCAACCCCTACCCCAATGACGAGGCTGCCAAGTTTGCCAACAATGGTCAGAAATCGAAAATGAAATCGAAGTAGACACATGTCAACCTCTTCCTTCCTCTCGTGCTCTTTTTCATCCCTTCCTTCCCTCCCACCCTCTCACTAACTGATTGACTGTACAGTAGCTTGAGCACAAACTGTTTTTACTGTTTCTCTCTATCCAGGGGCCCTTCCTCCAGATCTGAGTCTAGTGGTACTAGGAAGAGAAGGCGAAGACGACTACATCTTCTCCATTCTCACCGGCTACTTTGACCCTCCGGAGGGCGTGGAGGTCCGGGAAGGAATGGCCTACAATCCATACTTCCCTGGCGGCGTTATTGCCATGCCACAGCAGCTCTTCCTTGATTCAGTAGAATACGAGGATGGTAAAAAAATTACACACAAATCGTGACTGCAGTTTTTTTAGTTTTTCGTGTGTTCTGACTCTGGCAGGCACTCCAGCCACTGTGAGTCAGATGGCAAAAGACGTCACTACTTTCCTCAGATGGGCCAGTGGTAAGTGTGTCCACACACTGTGTGTGCATTTTCTTATATACGCCTGTGTCTTTGTGGTTTCTCAGAGCCTTACCATGATGACCGGAAGAGGATCGGGTTTAAGGTAAACCACGCATAACAATCATAACTTCTTCTAACCCACCACCTCCTCCTCCTTCTCTCTTATTCTAGGTCATAATGGTGACATCTGTTCTAGCACTGGTAGCATTCTATTGGAAGAGACGCGTCTGGAGTGTCCTCAAGTCTCGCAAGATAGTCTACTACAGCAAGGGCTCCTAGTTTGAAACATTGTAGATCTGACTCTAGCAGCATGCAGTTTGTCTACTAGCGTATTTATGTGAGGTCGGTGATGAGATGTAACGTGACGTTGAAAGTGTACACGTGATGAAATTTTTTGCGCGCGCCGCCAGGCTACGTTAATTACACAGCGAGCGCAACGAGTTGTGTCAGTGTAGACAGTCTTTCTAGCTTTTCTCTCTCTCGTCTCGTCGGCGGCCGTTTGTAAGACCAGCAGTCATGTCAGTATTTGAAGACAGTGGAGAAGCGGCCCAGACCGCCTACGAAGAAGTCAGATCTGACGATAACGAAACGATGTGGTGAGTGCGAGGCCAGCGACAGCTCGCTCTGTGGCTGAGTGCGACGCTGGGCCTTACAACTCCCCCCTTTGCTCCTGCAGGTGTGCTCTCCAGTACGATGGCAAAAAGCTGGAGGTGTCTTGCACTGGTACAGACTACTCCGAGCTTCTGGGCCTTATGGGCGGTAAGCGGCAGCGGCGCAGCAGTGGTCGACTGACGTGGGACACAGACTTACCTTTTTCTCTCTCTCTTCCTAAGATGACGAGAGAGTCTACGCCTACGTCCGGTTTGAGACGGGCGACGAGATGAGCCGCAGAGCCAAGTTCGCCTTCATTACGTGGATTGGGCCGAGCGTGTCCCCCCTGAAGAAGGCGAAAGTCAGCACAGACAAAGCCTTCGTCAAAGCAGTGTGGCCGGTAAGCCCTACTACGTCTGAGGCTAGGGTTTCCTGCACGCGGCCAGCCCTGAAGCCAGTAATGGTTCTGTCACTAAATCTAAGCGGCCTTTGTTTCTCTGCTAATAATTGTCCTATCTTTCTTCTTTTTTCATCTCCTCTAGAATTTTGGAAAGGAAATCCTGGCAGACGAGAAGAGCGAGCTAAAGCAGGAGAAAATCTTGAAGATTTTAGAAGCGGCTAGTGGTGCAGCATACGGCACAGGAAAATAGACACTGCGGAGCCGTCAGAGAGTCACAGATGCGCCCACATTTCTAGTTCTAATTTGTGCAAGACCTTTTTAAAACTGCTATTCCTACCACTAGTAGCGCCAGGGTAGCCCCTTAGTCATTGTCATTGTAAATGTAAGTTTTGCACTAGGTATATCAAGCATTATCATTATGCAGAGGTGCGTGTTTCTCTTGTACATCACTTCTGCTTAGGTATTGTGTGACTTACAGCACGCCTTTTAGATTTTTCTCTCAAAATGTGTAACAATAATACATGGAATTTTCGAGTGGATATTCATGGCTGGAGGTTTGGGTTGTAGAGATGTTGGCCATAAAAGGCAAAAACTGGCAGTGTGGGTAGGAGCTATTCAGGAGCAGGAAATTCCTTATAATCTTCGGTAGGTATATACACACAACTATTGTGATGTGTGAGTGGTAGATAATGGCCGTTGTGCACCCAGTGGGCTATGTGGAATTGGTGTGTTGTTGGTCAGTGTCAGTAGCACTCTGAGAGGGAGGTGACATGGGGTCTTGCGGGGAGGAAAGAGAGGGGGCTTCATTCTCTGCCGGGAGGCCCATAGCTCCACGAAGAGAGGAAACTTGAACCAAATCTCCAGGCCTTGTCTGAGCAGTCAGCACCGCCAACTGGGTGACCAGTTTGGTAGCTACAGAGGACAGATAACGAACGACAAGGGAAAGAGATTGTTTCAATACTACACTCAGACAAGATAAACAAGATCAGACACACACCATTACACAAAGAGTACACTAAGGATGCCAACATGGCAGTATTACGCCTATCCACATAAGGTCTAATGTATGATCAGGACTTCATACAGAGCATCTCACCGGTGCCTCTTTCCTGCTGGGAGGGTGGAGGGAGGACTGTGTGCCTGCTCTTGTCCAGAGAGGGTGGCTCACTCAGCCTCTGCCACTGGTAGCTCTGGAGGTCCGAGATCAGCCGGGCTCCTTCTGACAGACCCTCACTCACTGGAGACGAGGGAAGTGCATTTCTTTTACCATCTGGTTCTTCTGAATGACATCCGACTAGCATTTGCTAGAGTAATGCTTGAACTCTCAGGCATGCCTGCCTCCAGCTGTGCCATACATAAACCCACATAATATCATAATGTGCATATCTGCAAGCCTGTATGTGTACTTGGATTAGTATAGTCGTGATGTGTTCCAAACTTTGCCTGGTTTTTTAAATTTACCCTATTATTGCTCTATCCCTATTTAATCTGAGAGAGACATGTGGGGAAACACACACACAAGGCTATGCCAAGGTCGGCAGCTTGGCCAGCTCAGGAATGCCAACTAACTAGCTCAGCAAGCCAATCACAGCGGCTGGCCAAATATGGGCATTCCAGGACGGTATACAATTTTATAGCTTGATGGCAATCCAGTGGAAGTACATAGTAGCAAAGGTGTATAGTAGAACGATCCACATTTATCAAATTACTAATGCACAACCCCCCCATGATGAGCAGTCTAGAGTCTGCAAAAGCTATCCAATGAGACCAAGTTCTGTGTGTGTGTTCTGCAGTAATGAACACCCAGCCAGGTCCCGGCCAGGTCCCAGCTGATGATAGGGTGAAGGTGCTTCTGTGGCTAAACAGGAGGCCAAACACACACAATGAGCTGCAGCTAGCAGCACATGGAGGAGCTCTTGAGCTGGTCAATGTGTGAAGCCAGTCAGGGGGACAGACAGAGAGGGAGGTATGCACAGCAATAGTGGAGGAATTTGGCACCACCCTCTCTCTGTGGAAACCACACTAGGTGAAAACTAGCGGCAGTATAGAGATCTGTATGGGAAGCCTTTGGGGGAGTATGGAAACTTGTTACCACTGTTATGTCCCCCTTTCCTTCTCTCTCAAACCCTCTTCCCTTGTTTTATTTTGCCTCTCACAGAGAGATGCAAAAATGTACCCTTATCAGGAAGATTCATGTTTGGAGAGCCACACCAAAGGGACACACCACCGACTAGGAATCTAGAGTGTTGATAAGGCCAGGATATGGAGAGGGTTTGTGGTCATACCTGTGGGTTGCCTCCTCTGCTCTCTCTCCTGTTCTTCCTGGCTAGGAGAAAGTGAGGGTGACATCTGTGTCATGTGTGTGAGAGAGAGAGAAGAGAGCAAGAGGGAGAGGGAGTAACAAATACGCTATAAACACAGAAATTATGTAAACAGTTCAGGGCTCTCCCCCACATAATACTCCAGACCCCCTCCTCCCACTACACCTGGCCCATGAGAGCCACACACATCCACACCCAGCCCCAGTACAAACCCCCTCTCCCTCTCTGTCAGGGGTACACTTTACAGTCCCCTTCCCATTGTACAGGGCACCTTTGCCAAACCTATACATTGGAGCCAAGACCAAAAGGGCAACTGACTGAACTGCTACAAAAGGAGTCCAGCAATGAAATTATCCCAGCAAATGAACATGCATTCTGGTAGCAAATGGTCAGTTGGTGCCATCATTCCTTGCAAAGCCCTTTGCTCTCTCTGTCTGCATTAGATCTCTCTGAGCTGGGCAGTTCCTACCATACTTAGTGATATACACAGTCTAACTGTTGGTGCTCTTTTTCTTTCTGGCTACATTATATTACAGGTATAGCCGAACTATATGTAGCCCAGCCTCATACAGTAATACAGTGGAGACAGACGGAAGTGTGTGCTGGCTGCGAGCGCTTGCTGAGGTTAGCTGTGGTATGCGAGGAATGCAGGACAAAGACTGGAGATTGTGGGACGCAGCTACAGAGGCTGCCAGGAGAGGGAGCCAATCACGTCTAATATCACAGAATACTCGGGATCTCTATGTGAAGGCAACAAATCCAATTTCCCCCTCCTTTCCCTTTGACTGGCCAGTTGGAGCAGACTTACGACAGGTGTTTGGTAACGTGACGTGGTATGTATGAGAGTGGGGGAGACTAAATACCTGTATGTGACATGTCCCATTGATAAACTCTTCACATACAAACACACACACATGTGCGAGTGGTGCACTACACTACAGTATAATCCACCACTCCTCAAGTCTTCGTACTAGTCGGTATACATCTATAATACTTTAATTGATGTGTCCCCTAAAGGTCCAGATGTCTTCTCACTATAGGCTGCTGCTTAGCGCCCAGGTATAATATTACACTTTGATGCATCCCCCAAGCTTCACTATCCAACCTTGCATAACGACTAACCAACCAACAGATGAAAGGAAATGTCCACTCACCCGCCAGCTAGAGTAGCAGTAAACTGTGTAGGCAAAGTTGGCAGTTCTCACACTGTGTCCCGAGGCTGCAGTCTCTAGTACCAATCATACCATTCCCAGTGTAGTGTGTGTGTGTTCCCAGAGGTCTTACCTCACTCTTGCTCTCTTCCGGACTCTCTCCTTCCTCTCCTTCTTCACTGTCAGATGAGCTAGTGGCTCCATTGGAGTTGTCCGGAGAGAGACTCAGGCTGTGGGTTTCCCGTCTCTCCTCCCTCCTCTCTTCCTTCTCCACCCTCTTCCTCCCCTTCCTCCACTCCCCCACCACCAAACCAGTCTTCTCTCTCCTCGGCTTCCTCAGCACACTCTTCCTGATCTTCACCCACAGTCTCAGTTGCCCCGTGTCTGGTTTCCTCTCCATCTTCTCCCTCATTCCCACTTACTTCCCTCTCCTCTCCCCTTCCTCCTGCATCATCACACTCTTCTCCTCTTCCATCGTTCCCACTACCAATCTGTGTCACATCCTCTTCTCCTTCTTCTTTCCCTCCTCTCTTCTCCCCTTCCCCCTTCTCCTCTTCGTCCTTTGTGTCCTCCCTCTCCCCCTCTCCTTCCTTCTCCTCTTTCTTGTTCCCCTCTTCTTTCTTTGTTCTCCCAAGCCTCTCCGTCTCCTCCCAGGTGTGGTATTTTCCCATGAACTTCTCGTGTCTGCCGGCAGTCAGACTGTTCAGAACTGCGTCGGCCATCTCACTGGCAAAACTACCAGCTCCTTTCACAAACTGGAGCAAACTGCAGTGCGAGACACGCACGAACCAGGAAAATAAGAAATAATCTACACAACCTATGGATACATATTGTAGCGTACGCACTATATACTACATGGCGTAAAATTCACACAGGGTCATTTCTGATAATAAAAAAAATTTTTTGCAGAAGTTTATTTGCAGAGGCTTCCATTTACACTTACAAAATAGTAATATGTATTTGACAGATGTTTTGGGGGTAATATTTGTGTTTCGGGATATTTGGAAAAAATTTACACACTTTACCTGTGTGAATAAGAAACTCCGAGGTCACTGCCATATGTATGGAGCAACAGATCAGAGTCCATTTTGGTCAGAGTTGCAAATGCCGAATCGTAAGTCGGGGCAAAACTGCCAAACGGGCCGTTCATGAGGTAGGAGACGGGAGTGGCCTTGAACATTGGGAGCTCGGTACGGAGGACTGTGGCTGCATTGTTCCCTCCCCTCACCCTCTCACTCAGAGCGGTCAGGTTGAGTGGCTTACTGGAGTCAACTGGAGAGAGAGAGAGACGATGTAGAGAAAGCGAGGGGAAGGAGAGAGGGTTTGGGACTCTGAAACTGCGACACTACAGCCTACGTTTAATTTACATACAGACGGAGATGGAAGAAAATGGAGCCGTTTGTTTTACGGAGAGCATTGTACAGGTGCACAAGGGTTCAACAAACGTAGGGCTACAAATGCACTAGGACCTGGCAACTTCAGAGCAAAGGAATACGCATTTCCACAGAGCTGAGCTCCCCCTCTCCCTAACCTAGGCCAGAGTCAGGGTTCAGTATATTCATTGTTGCCATCTTCCTGCCTGCCGCGACGTCGTCAGCACCCACTGGCTGGGGAGAGGGTGACGGGCTGGCGTCTCGTATGAAACAGAACTTGGTGTTGGGTCGGTTGGCATCCAAATTCTCTTTCACCTCTTCTGTTGCCTTCTGTACCTATGGAAACGAGGGTTTGGACACTTTTTCACGACACATCGAGCACAGCAGCGATGTTAGATGAACCTAGCATCTAAAAACTTTTCCCAATAGCTCAAAACTAAACTATTTGCGAAAAGTTTCACGTCATGCGTGGCATGCTAAAACTAAAGTATTTGTAATGTTGACAACCCGGTACTTCAGGACACACAGTACCTGTCTGAGAATCTCGACTGGATCCTCCTCAGCCACCAGACTCACTGGCACCGCTCCCTCCTCCCCCTCCTCCCTATCCTCCGGAGGAACACCCACCACCACCTTTGTCAGGTGACTCTGCTCCGAGGCCACACCCACTTCCTCCAGCACCTCCAGGGAAGAGGCGGGGCTTGCTGCCATGCCGACCACCTACCAATAAGTGGCACATTATTGAACATACTGTCAGAATAAAATAGAAAAATTGAAAGCTATGAACACTCTAACATCTCCCCCAATCAGGACACATTTAGGTTTACCAATCAGGACAGTATAAGAGGCCCACCTGAGGCTGTATGACGGGAGGAAGAGGAGCTAGGAGACCCAGGCTAATCCGACAGACGTACGGACTGCCATAGTCCACAGAGTTTACCGAGGGGGCGGGGCTTGGACCACGACTAGACAGCGGTAGTGGTACGGGGGTCTGGGAATTGGAGGGCGTGGCCACTCGGCCATAGCGGATGTCTGGACGGAGTGACACCTCCTGTGAGAGCAGAGTGAGACAACAGGCTGAAACTACAGAGATTACGCCATCCCTACACTTTCATAAGAAAGTGAATGTATTGCAGAGTCTAAATTGTGATAGTTGGTTGGCCTGTCAAGTTTTGTGGCAATGAAAGAAGGGACTTACCCTCTCAATGACCTTTACCCCATCCTCCATCATGTTCTTGGCGAATGAGAAGTAGACTGTTTCTGGCGCGTTGTACGTCATCGCGTTCTTGCACATCAGCACAAAGTCGCTCCGGAATTCATCCACGCTGGAGTAAGCGTGGTTTGAGAGTTTGGTTGCCATGGTGGTGAGGTCCATGGGGTATTTAATTAGGGTGGAGTACCCCGGGGCAATCTCGTCAGTCACCGGCTCCGCAAATATGCCTTCAGGGTCGTGTCTGAGAGTGGAGGAAGAGCAGCGAAGATCACAGGTGAACATTTGTAGCTGTGGCTTGAGCAACAGTGTGTCCTTGATACACAGCATATTAATTGCAGGGAGAACTGTCAAGCCATAGATCAAGCCTCAGTAAAACCAAACACAATCTCCTAGTGTTGGAAAAGCTGCCCCAGTGACATAATTATCTCACACTCCAACAGACAACATAGGTCTGTACTTTTGTCTGGGAAGAAGGCACTATTAATGCACACGGAGTACCATCAAGTGTTGGTGAGCATAAATGTACTGGGGGGCTCACTTTTGCACGAGGCGGAGAATATTTGCCAGAAACATCTTCAGCGACGCTCTGGAGAGCAGGACTAGTAGGAAGACAAGCATTAGAGGTTGAGACTGTTGTTACAACCAGCTCGTGCAGAATACCTGTAGGGTGTGAGGGTTGTGGGGATGGTGCCTGGAGGTGTGCCATGGGGGGAGGGTCATAGTCTGCCAGGACACCTCCAAACTTACCCTCTTCTTCCTCCTCCTCTTCCTCTTCCTCGCTCCCCCTTGTCTCCACCATCCACAGCTGTTTGCCGACACCAGCCCTCCCACCCGCTGCGTGCAATGAACTCCTGCGTCTCTTTGGGGGCGTGGCTTCATCTGTCATACTCCGCCCACTTTTCCCCAAGAGGGAAGAGGTGGGTGTGGTCTTGGGAGTCGATACAGAGGCCAGAGACGAGGGTGCAGAGGTCAAAGAAGGGTCTGTAACTGCACTGATTTTTATTTTCTTTGCTGCTAACCATCCCCTTCCCTCCTCCCTCCCCTTCTCCTCCGTCCCTCTTTCCTTCTCCACGTGAACAGGTGAAACTAGGGGCGGGGAAAGAGGTCGAAGGTCAACTAGCTCCCTCTCCAGAGACGAGGTCAAAACTTCAGACATGGGCGGAGTCGGCAATTTTTCCTCAGACTGTCGTTGTTTGACAGTCGCACTACGCCCAAGATCTGCTGAGGTTGCATCTGCCGAGTGCGATTTCGAATGCTTCTTTTTTCTTCTTCTTCTTGTGATGTTTGTGTGGCTCGGAGGGTGCCGTGTGTGAGGTGGGGAGGGGGTGGGGGAGTGAGGGTGTGGCTTCAACTGAGGAAGAAGATTGCAAGGAGTGTGGGAGTGAGGGAGTAGGACGGGAATCCGGTTCCTTATCCTCAACCATTCTCTTCTTGTGCTGGTGGTACTTATCACTGAGCTTGGGGCCTAGCGGTAAAGAGGACGAGGCAGTGTGTGAGGAAGGAACATGGTGAGAAGTGGAGGTGTGTGAGGAGGGAGGGTGTGAAGGGGGAGGGTGGTGAGAATTGGAGGTGTGTGAGGAGGGAGGGTGTGAAGGGGGAGGGTGGTGAGAAGTGTAGGAGAGAGACAGGGGGTGCTCCTTTTGTCCCAGCTGTGGTCGGTCGCCTCGCTGAGACCCCCTGCCACCCAGCTCCAGTGTAGCTCTCTTTCCAAGACCTTTTCCACCGTAACTCTTCCTTTCTTCCTCTCCTCTCTCCCCGTGGCTGGCCCCCTCCCCTCCTCCAGTTGGGCAGAGCTTTGCTCCAAACTCCACACGTGACGTTGTCTTCAGTCCTCCGAACGTATCCTGATCGTGCCTCTTCCTCTCCTTGTGTTTCTTGTGTTTCTTGTGGTGCCTCTCTCGCTCCTTCCTCCCTCCATCTTCCCCCTCCTCTTTACCTCCATGCAGTCTGGAGATTGGCAGAGATACCTTCAACTCCTTCACATCCCCCTTTCCCCCTCCTCCAACAACTTCCGAGGATGACGACGATGATGAAGAAAGAGCAGAAGAAGAAATGGAGGAGAGAGAGGAGGAGAGAGAGGAGGAGGAGGAGTGTAGAGAGATCCTGAGTGGTGGGATGGCAGGTCGCTCCACTCCAACGCCACCCCCTACTCCCAACTCTGCAGATTCAAAGACAAGAGGATTCGAGTTGCTTCCACCACCACTGCCTTCTGTTCGACTGTGTTTATGGTGGCTCTTGCGGTGATGATGGTGGGTCTTATGTTTCTGCTGCGGCTGCTGCTGAGTCTCACTCCAGTCTTCTTGCTGTTGTTGTTGTTGGAGGGAGTCCAGGTCAATGGAGACACATAAAGAAGAGGGAAGAGAGGAGACGGATGGTGGGGGGCCCAGGTGAAGCGGTAGTTGTGGAGTGTGTGGAGTATAGAAGGCTGGAGTTGGGAAAGCTGCAGATGTGGAGAGAAAACCGGTAGAAAACCCTTTAGCGCGCGCAGGGAACAGCTGCATTGTTTTTCTATTTAATGCACACCCAAACAAACCGCGCGTTCGAGGACGGGGGGCTGACCTGGAGCCGAGTGGCCGTGCGACGAGCGCTTCTTGTGGTGTTTCTTGTGCTTTCCCATCTCCTCGGCAGCCTCGGCAACAAGCCAACCAAGGAGCTTCCAGACTACGAGCTATCTAGCTGGAGAACGCGCGCCGACCACGCGAGTAAGAAGTGGGCGTGACTCCATCGAGTTCGAAAAACAGGCGGCAAGTAGCAATGTCGTCGTCCGCGACGGCACTCCCAGCAGAGAGGGTGGCAGAGCTGCGGCAGGCCATCCACTGCCAGGTGACCAAGATGGGGATAAAGGGGCAGATCCAGCGATGCCTCGCCGACTCCAGAGACCGGTCAGAACCGTGCACATCCGAACTATTACCTATCTAAGTGTTCTCCCTCTCTCTCCCACAGGCCTATGGACGAAGAGCGTGTGTTGCAGCTGTTAGAGAGCAGAGGTATCGTGGAGAGCGTGATGCAGTCGCTTCAGCTGGATGGGAAGAGGGAGAGGAAGGGAGAGGTGGGGCGGAGAGGAGACAGAGAAGAAGACATGGGTGCGGATGATGACACGACGAAGGAGGGTGGGAGGGGGTGTGTATGTGAGGAGGTGAGACTGGAGAAGATGGTGGAGGAGGTGAGTGAAAGACTGGACCAACGAACGGGGGAAGAGGTCCCAAAAAGAGGTATATATATATATACTTACATATGTATATTATATTGAAGTATGAATCTTGATTTTCTTCAGGAAACCCCCGTCCAAACAGACGCTGCCTTTTTCTGAGAGTGGATGGCGGTCGGGCGTTCCTGGACCACTTGCAGCACTCACAGAGCCCCTGCCCCTCTCGTCTGACTCTCCACATCTGCTTCACAGGCCAGAGAGTGAGCATGCACTCAGCTGTATGTAGCTAATCTTCTTTTCCTACAAGGGCAATGTTTGAGTTTGAGTGATAGCTAATATGTTTTGTTGATACAGTTAAACGTTAGTTCATGAGTACATTCTTCAGTATAATTTACCCTCGGCGCGCATGCGCAGCGAGGGTGCTGTAGTTGGTGTCTGTTACTCTCAATCTCCACTTCTCGGGTGTCTGTTCGTCCCAGAAACGATACCATCTACCCAACGGGCGACGAGGGTCAGAAAATATGTGGGGTTTTCTCTGAAAATGATCCGTTGCAGAGCTAGAGCGCTTCCAGCATTGTATATTATGGCTAATGCCCGGTAGTCGCCATTTTATCGCTGGCGGATAATGCGCATGCACTTATATTTAGCACAGGCACCTAGACCGGGTCCGCTTGTTCTGTCTATCTTGAAGGCACAAGAAGTCACAACGAATGGCGTGTATCGACTCTCGCGTGCTATCTACTACTGTAGCTAGCCCGTGTCAGACTCTCTGCGAGCTACTTCGCGGGGTTCGTATCCTCGATCCCGCACTAAAATGTCAGATGGTCCAGAGCATTGGCTGGGAACAGCTCTGGTTCCTCCCCTTACCCACAAATCTACCACTGACCCATGTTTCTCAAAGGGCAGCGTATAGTTCGGCATTGCACTACGTCCGTAGACGTCTGTCTGGAGAGATGAAGGGCTGGGCGTTTTTAAATTTTTTTCAACCTTAGGTTTTTTTTTTTTTGCACTAAACAATCCACAGGTAATACGAAAATTAATAGAGAGATGAAAGGTTGGCAATTTTTCAACCTCATATATTTTTTGGGCCTCAAACAGAAATGGGGCTGGCCATTTTTCCATGGAAATAGTGCATAACATGCTGTTCTAAGACCATCAATTGTGGTGGTGCCACACTTGTGTATGGGTTCCACAGTGTGCCGACGGGTTTGCACTTTAGTGCTTTTCATTATACTGTATCGCAGTTTAGGTTCAACTTCCGCTCCAAGAAAAAAGAATGTGGCTCTTCGTTGCCTTATTTGGCAGCAGTGGGTAACATGTCTTTTCTACAATTCTCTCTCCAACTGTAAGGTCTACTCCAGGCCAGTTCCCTGCGCCTGTGAACCTGATTTCTCGGAGGGCTTTCTCCTGGAACTGCTGGACAGTCGAGGGGGGAGGAGGAGGAGGGAGGGCGATGGCTTACGCTGACGCACTCGCGATATCGGAGCCAATTCGACTGGTCGTAACGAGGCACAATGAGAGGGGCGAACGTGACCTCGTGGGGACGTATGACCTCGATTGGAGGTCGGTTCTGACAGACGAGAGAGGGAAATGGTCGGGAACTGCAGAACTGAGCGGAGTCGGTACTGAGTCCAAGATATCCTCAGGTCTGCTGGAACTCAGACTGGAAGTGTTCCCCAAATCACCATCGTTAGAGAGGGTTTACCTCTCCGGACACCGTGAGACGGAGCGGCAGCAGGCCGGCGAGAGCGACAGGCTGTTTCTGGTGTACTCCAGGCAGTGGTGGCGCGAGTACCTGCAGATACGACCTGAACACGGTCAGCGAATGGTGAAGATATTTGCGATGGACGAGTCTGGGAAGAATCGCTGCGTGTGTAGCTTCGTGAGGCCGCTGAGGGCAGGGAGACTGCTGGACGGGCCGAGACAGGCGGCGAGGTTTGTGAGTCTGGTGCCGTGTGAGAGGTGTGGGAGTGTGGTGGGGGTGGGGGGAAGGGGGGAGCAGTGACACTTGGTTTTCTCTTCACACGATGCTATGTCTGAGGAAAGGGGTAAGCACATAATGTCTGCAGTACTTATACATGAAATTCTATAATTGCTTCTACAAAGGGAATTATAAGTGTGAAGTTTAGGAATTATTTCACTGGGCCCTATGGTTTTGTCATCTTTAGAAATGTTAAATTTAGCCACTGCCAAATTCCTCTCTATTCGTTCATGTTCTAATAGGGCATGGAGGACCACTGCTGTTTACTGTGTTCACTGTTGCTAGGCTACGGTCTGGATGCCTACGTCTGTATGGGGACCAAAACAAATGGACACGCCCACTGCTGGGTGGTAACCATCGGCAACGAGGGGGGCTGTGACCTTCTGGGAGAGTCTCACTGGACAGAGGCGAGGGAAAATTTTATTTCAGAGGACAAGCTATTATATGTATTTTCATCGGACGTCAAAAAGTTAAACATCTGTCATTTTATGTCTGACGTTTGTTTTAGGTACAGACATGTGCCCTTTGACCCCAACAACCAAGCTGGAGCTCCACCCACTTCCCCCACCCACCCATACCGCACAGTCGGCTGTCTGTTCAACCACGCCTCCTTCCTGGCCAACACTCAGCCGAGTGACTCCGCCCTCACCTGCAGGTTTGACCTGTGGAACAGGTCTCTGTGGAAGAGGATGAGCAGCGAGGCTCTGCTCTCTATCCCTCGTCAGAGGAGGGATCAGGTCAGCTCCTTACCATCATACTATATGGGCACTGTTTATTCAAAGTTGCATTGGGTATTGAGTCCAAAAACTACAAAACTACAATTAGGCCGGTGAGAAATAATATGACCACAAATGCAAAAGACTTACCTATGCGTTGGAGTTGGATGAGCTTTATGGTTGATAACTGAGTCTGTATGAGAGAGCCATGAATCTCTCTCTCCATCTCCAGTTGTGTTGGTCTCTCCTGCCTCCCACCCTGGACTCGGTGACTGCTGCCAATGTGCTGGAGCAAGAACTGAGGACCCTGCTGACTCAGCACAGAACCGTGAGCCACGTGCACAGACGACTCACCAAAGAGTTGAATGAAATTTTTTCATGAAATTTCTTGGGGACCCCATTTGAAGTTTATCAGTTAACTCACAAAATCTAGAGTATATACCCACATGGACTGGAATTGAGTACACACTCGGAAGGACAGGGTAATAACCTAAGTACGAACAATTTAGGCCACCTTATGCATACAAAATCTTTGTCATCCCATATTTAGCAGTAACTATTGAGGGTGGCTTACACTGCACTCTTCAGCTATAGTCAATGTATTCAGGATAGTTTGTTAGCCTGTCCTTCCGTTCGTGTACTCACTAAAAGTACGAACAATTTAGCCCACCTTATGCATACAAAATCTAGGTCATCCCATTTTTAGCAGTAACTATTGAGGGTGGCTTACACTGCACTCTTCAGCTATAGTCAATGTATTCAGGATGGTTTGTTAGCCTGTCCTTCCGTTCGTGTACTCACTAAAAGTACGAACAATTTAGGCCACCTTACCAGCATATGTGTACAAAATCTAGGTCATCCCATTTTTAGCAGTAACTAGTGAGGGTGGCTTACACTGCACTCTTCAGCTATAGTCAATGTATTCAGGATGGTTTGTTAGCCTGTCCTTCCGTTCGTGTACTCACTAAAAGTACGAACAATTTAGGCCACCTTACCAGCATATGTGTACAAAATCTAGGTCATCCCATTTTTAGCAGTAACTAGTGAGGGTGGCTTACACTGCACTCTTCAGCTATAGTCAATGTATTCAGGATGGTTTGTTAGCCTGTCCTTCCGTTCGTGTACTCACTAAAAGTACGAACAATTTAGGCCACCTTACCAGCATATGTGTACAAAATCTAGGTCATCCCATTTTTAGCAGTAACTATTGAGGGTGGCTTACACTGCACTCTTCAGCTATAGTCAATGTATTCAGGATGGTTTGTTAGCCTGTCCTTCCGTTCGTGTACTCACTAAAAGTACGAACAATTTAGGCCACCTTACCAGCATATGGTACAAAATCTAGGTCATCCCATTTTTAGCAGTAACTATTGAGGGGTGGCTTACACTGCACTCTTCAGCTATAGTCAATGTATTCAGGATGGTTTGTTAGCCTGTCCTTCCGTTCGTGTACTCACTAAAAGTACGAACAATTTAGGCCACCTTACCAGCATATGTGTACAAAATCTAGGTCATCCCATTTTTAGCAGTAACTATTGAGGGTGGCTTACACTGCACTCTTCAGCTATAGTCAATGTTTCAGGATGGTTTGTTAGCCTGTCCTTCCGTTCGTGTACTCAATTAATACAACACATTTTGGCAAGCAAGTGCAAATGCAAAAGGTGGACATCTCTCTCTCTCTCACCATCGTGCAGGACCTAGGTCTGAGTACCGTGTGGGACGACTGTCTCTGCTACCTGCTGACACCGGCACTGGCGAGCTACGAGCAGGAGCGGTGTGGGGGAGGGGGGAGTGAGGGGACGGAGGAATTCCAGGAGGCCGTCAGAGCCCACGTGGAGGAGGGACACACATTCAAGGGATTCCCAATCCAGCTGCCCCACTGCAGCCCTCGCCGAGCCTTTCTCACCTGCCTCAGGTGACTGGAGAACACCAAACACATGCTCTACGCCGTTGTTTCATCCACTGCTGTCGAGTGGATGAAAACGTGAAGATCACAGCAAGCACGCTTGCTTTGGATTCTAGATTTTAACTGGGAAGGTGCTGATGCCTCGTTCAATGATTCAATTGCATGCTCGATTAAGAAAGGACATGTTGCTGATCAAAATACCGAAGTCCTCTAGTCCAGCAGATGCTGTACAGGAACTAACAGTGATGATAGCTTTTGTGCTCTTCTTTCCTCCAGATCTCCGGTGTGCAGTGAGATAGTTGGCTGCCGTGGCGACCAGGTGAGGCTGGCGCTGAGGGTCAAAGTTTACACGTATCCCGAGGAAGTGGTGGCTGTTTGGATCATGATTGCCGCTACCTACTGCAGTGTACTCTGCCACTGATTATTGTCATGTTGGCTTATGTGTCAATGTCGGTGTGTGTATGTATACGGTGCTCATGAATTTTGGAGATTCAAAAAGCAAATACACACATACACTGTGTTTTTACATGTTGTATAATGTATTGTGTGTAGAAATAATGAGGTGAGGGAGTTAGTTTGGCTGTCTCAATGCTGCTAGCCTGCAGAGAGAGAGAGAGAAGATGGAAAATTGGGTTTTATATAGCAGGCCAGCAAATCAAAAAGAGGAGAAAGCATACAAGGTTTCAACATTTTGAGACATATTTTGAGTTCCTGTGTGTGTGTCACGTGTGCGTGAAAGAGAGAAGACCTGCGAGACAGCTGTTCCTCCTCGGCCATGGTGAGGGTGCTGGAGCCCACGGCGGAGGCTGCAGTGGGGTCTCTGGTGGCGACTGGGTTGGCCGAGAGCTGATCCATCACCTCCAGTCCATTCTCCTCCGCCACCTGTGCACACAAGTCCATCTCTGGCTACTCTATATTCTGTCACAGTAGACTGTGCTGGCTCTGAGCCTCAGTAAAAACGTAAGAGATTTGGTTTTGAACAAGATCTCAGTAAAAACTCAAGACATTGCTGTTTTTTGGGCCAGGTCTCCATAGAAGAAGTCCTCCACTTATGTGGTCTTACATAATGGCAAAAACGGGAATCTTACAGTCTATGGCTATAATGTACAGCGCTAAAATGATAAGAGTAAAGAACGGTTGATGTGGTGTAATATAATACAGTATATATATATATATATATACCTGTTTCATGAGGCCGGTGACCTGGTCCTCGGGGGTATTGAGAGTGGTGGCAGCACTCATCGTGGAGTCCATCACCTCCGTGTGGACATCAAGGTCTTGGAATAGGCCCTCAAACTTTGACATCGTCCCCGAGATCTGCATCAGTATTAGAATACAGAGGTTTAGTCATACAGTTTCGACACTCGGCACAAAATGTCTTACAGAGTTATTTATGCTTCAAAGTACATAGTACAAAGGGGTCCCTATGTTATGCACTAAAGCAAACATAAATCTCTAAACTAACGTTTAAACTGTCACCATAATGTACAATACTATTAGGGACTGGTACATACTACTATATTGTGAGGACTGTGTATTATACTGAGGTATACCTTCTCTAGATCCATGGACTGCACGACTTTGTCGAGTCCATTGACCACACCTCCCATCATCTTTGTTAGCTGTGTGGAGAGAGGAGGAGAGAGAGAGGGAAAGAGAAATTTGGAACTGATGAGTCATCTCTGACTGTGACTGAACAGCACACAAGAAGTCATGTGACCCAGTAACTGGAACTATACACCCAGTTGTCATGGGAACAAGACACACACACACCTCCTTGGTCATGACTGCGGTCTGGACTCTGTTAGTGACAGCGTCGACCCTGGCAGCCATTCTCAGGTAGTTGAGTCCCTCGTTCTTCTTCCTAATGGCGTTCTCTGCGTAGATCCTGGCCCCCTCTATGTTTCCCTGGGCCAGTGCCTAAAGGGGAAAGAGGTATATTCAGAGCAGTGGCTGCAAGGAGAGAGTGTGTTCACCTTTTTGACCTTTGCCTGCTGTGCCCTCTGGTCCTTCTCACACTTTTTTGCCGCCCTCTCCATTTGTTTTGTGGAGAACTGCAAAAATGTGATGAAGATATACAGCTAGCTTTCTGCACGAATCTGTACATACTGGCCGGCGCTATAGTACTAATACAGGCCTTGGAGAACACACTACTTGTTAGAACAGAGCAGTAGAAACTCACCTTCAGTGTGAACAACGTGTCTGGGAGGGCGCGAGGAGAGAGGAATACGAAATCAACATTCCATGCAGTCTTCATGGATCACTCACTCACCTTCCAGCTTGGGCGCCGGCCTGAACCAAGACATGTTTATATCCTTTCCTTCTCCCTCTCTGCTAGTTTGGTAGTATCGTGGAGGCAACTAACTAAAACGCGCTGTGCTCTTCCTTCCCTGGGCGAGTCTGGCGTATATATACGGAAATGCTTACTCAGCAAATTGTGCCGACCAAAACAAAATTTCCGCGGATTTCATCAAATTTTATCAGACTCGCAGTGAATTTATACACACGTTGACAACTGATTGAGATTCTCTCCTAAAATTGGTGTGTTCGCTACTGGAACAGGAACACTGGTGTAGGAGCTGCAAGTTGAGAGGAAATAACTATGGTGATTCCACAGCCGAAGGAAATGCTTACGACTTACTTGAGGCAGCTCCATTTGAGCTGGCTCTGTTCTGTTCTGACGAGGGGTCGGTCCGGTTCCTATTCCGGAGTCTCTGGATAAGTGAGAGGAGACGCTGTCTGTCGTTGGTATTGGTGATGTGGAGGTCAATGAGGTCACTCTCGGAGAGTGTGAGGAATGAACAGAGGTCCAGCTGCCATGACAATTGCAAAGCATACGATGATTAAGTATTCATAAAAAAACAAAGACGACTGAGAAACAGTAGATTGTGGGTTTATTCTTCACCAAGATAGAATAGAGTTAAAGCCAAGTGTCCATTATACTTGTTGGAAAAATGAAAAAATTAATCCTTCGAGCCGGATTCGAACCAGCGACCTATGGATGTCAGCGCCACTACAGTCCACCGCTCTACCAACTGAGCTATCGAAGGACAGCTGACAATCCACCATTCAGTTCACACACGACTATCATTTCAGACAAGTGTGTGTCAAAATCTCTCACCTCTTGTTCGGCAAAGACGTAGTAGTATTCTCCTAGTAGAGACTGCTCCAGGGCAATCTGCAGGGCTGCAACACAAAACACACACTTTATTTGACAGTCTCTGGCAAGAAAAACATTTGAGAGAAAAAACGATGATAATTTAATGGTTTCATGGAAATTTCCTTCTCCACCAATAGTTGTAGTACAATGTCAGAGTAAAATAGTACCAAAATCCTAAAATAAATTCATGATAAGTTTCCACCTAACCTGGTCTGGATTTGGGGGGAACTTTAGCAGGAACTGTGAAACTACGTCTGCGAGTAATCGGGGCTTCCTGCAGCTTCAGTTTCTCGGCCTCCAGACTCCGCTGTCCTCCCGGCACTCTCCAGGACTGGGGGACAATGTCCTTTGACCTCCCGCCAGCCACCGATATCACCGGAGGAACTCGGGACGACGACGGCTCGAACTTTTGTAGAAACAACGGGAGGTCTTCCCTCCCCGTGCCGCCTCGCAGGAGAGGCGCCTGGCCAGCGATCTTTGTCGTGTCAGCTGCTTCGAGACTGATGAGAGAGTGTCTATTAGCAGTGATTCTCAGGGGCGGGATACTAATCCCCCCTCTCCCACCCCCTCTTCCTCCTCCACTTCTTTTCCCACCACTCACACGCTGGGTGGGCGGGGGATTACTCCGAGAGAGGAACCTCGCAGTCGCAGCCCCGCCCCTCCCCCCGAGACCCACGGAGGGTCTGTCTGGGGTAAGATACGAGGCACTCCGGGGTGGCTCCGGAGTAAGGGGACAGTCCCCCCGTGACTGCGAGCTGCTGTCCAGGTGGGCGGAGCTATTACTGGTGCCGGGAGAGACGGAGCAGTAAGTATCGGAGGACGAGTTCAGCGATGACAACGACGGAATTCTGCCTGGGCGGGACTTCTGGTTGCTACGGAGACGAGATCCGGGGAAACGAGGGAGTGCCCCTGGACTGTCTTGCGCTGACGACGACACCATCGCTTTCTGAAGAGAGACAAAGAGTAGGAAGACAACTGAAACTAGAGCCCTCTAGAGGAATGTGACAGCTTGTAAATATTTCCAGAGTGGATTTTTGTGATTAAGCAAACGGTCTGAAATTTATACATGCCAAAGGTAAACCACTGACTTGGGCTCACTCTCCACATAATGTGTTGTGTTCCTCCTAGTATCACATGTTATGCATACACCATCACACAGTAAGTGGTTATGGGTAGGAAGCTTACAGTGGAGGGAATAGCAGTGGAGACACTGGGTCTGCATACGCCATTTTCAGTTTCCGGATGAGCTCTGAGGTGTCCAGAGGCTGTTTGTTGGAGGTGGGGGTCAGGGGGGGTTTGAATCTCGGGGGACCCAGGGGAACCGAATGTTTCTTCTGTGGGGGGGCACCCCCCGGAGTAGTGGGAGACTCCGGAGTCGGGGTGGAGGTGGTGGGCGTGGCAGAACTGTTGTTAGGGGGCGTGGTCGAGACTTGTAACGAGGGGACGTCAGATCCGGGGGTGGTTGATGGAGGAGGGGCGCTGGTTTTTCGGATACGCTCCACACTTATGTTTGCCACGATCCGAATCATCTCTATGTCACCTGTGAGACAAGAGACGAGATTCTGATGTAGTCCAGAGATTCAGGAACTCACCCAACATGTTAGCAATGTCAAAGGCAGTCGATCCACTCTTACCCCTCAGGTTGACGGCAGCTCCATGGTTACCCAGTAGCTTAGCAACCTCGTACCTCCTGCACACACACACACACACACACAGTCATTACTCCATGTTATAAAGATACCAAAGAGCTGAGGTTGAAAGAAGAGAGGGAGTGAATGGCTATAGAGCTCAGTTCCAGGAACCCCACTCTCCAATACACACCCCTCCATATGTCTCTCCATTCACTAGGTAACTTCACCTCATCCCTTCTTTCATACTTACCCCAGTCATCCTAATACTAGCTCTGGCCCAGTCAAACACTACAGTTTAGAACTTTAGCTGTGCCCTTAATACATAGCTATCCCACTAGCCCACAGTACAAGCTAGGGAAAGAAAGTGAGAAAAGAAAGAGAGAAGAGAGACAGAGGAAGAGAGCCATACCTTTGGTGAGTGGCTTGCATGAGTGCAGTCCACCCATTGACAGAGTCTTTGGCATTGACTGGGCAACCGCTGAGAGCAAGGTTTCACATACCTGCCAAGAGAGAGAGAGAGAAGTTGGTCGAGTGTACAATTATGATTCCTACCTTCACGTGGCCCTTATTAGCGGCCCTCATGAGAGGGGTCACCCCGTCCTTGGTCTTGGCGTTTGCAAGAGCTGGCGAGTCTCTCAACATGGTGCTGATCAGCTCTGCCTGACCTGTGTGTGTGTGTGGCAACATTCATGTAAACAGGAACGATGTTGCAAGGCAAAGGCAAACAACACAGCTACGTACGGTGATACTAGGTGCTCTTCAACGTATATTTCATAAGACATTTACCTGTTTTGACTGCTTCGAAAAAGTCGGCATCTGACACAGTATCTAATGAAAGGACAGTGCAATTGAGTACGATTGAAGCACTGTCATCATTCACTATACAGCATTCACATTCAGCATGCCTATAGTGCTTCTTTCGGTTTTGGTTTAGAGAGAGCAGCTAGACAAAACCCATCACATTAAGTTTTCCTTATCCCCGGGAAGACAATAATGGTTCACCAAAGAACGCTTGTTGATAAATTCGAAATACATCACATGTCTATGTACATGCTAAAACCACGACATTCGTGAAATTTTGAACTATAGTTTACGTGCACAGCTGAAGTCATTGGCTCACCGATCTTGTCATCCAGAGCGAGAGCTGCCTCCCTGTGGCCCAGGACAGCGGCCAGCTGCACCGCTGTCCTCTTGGAGACGTCCTGGTGGTCCTTATTGGCTCCATGCTGCAGGAGAAGAGTCACCACCTCTTTCTGGTTGTTGATGGCCGCCAGCATCAGTGCCGACCAGCCAGTGGTCTGGGGAAGAGAGAGAGAGAGAGTGTGTGTGTGTGTGAAAGAGTCAATTAAAAAACATGCATGTGTCAACAACGCGGTCGCAAGCAACACAACTACACAAAACTACAAAATGGTTCGAAACCCATCCAGTTGCCATGGAGACGTTTTGAACCTACGACTGGTTATAGTGATACACACACCTTGCAGACTGCGTTTACATTTGAACCAGCTTTGATGAGTTTGGCGACAATGTCGACGTGTCCGCACTGGGCAGCTGCCATGAGAGAGGTGAGGGAGGTTACCTCCTCGGCCTCGTTCACACGGGCTCCTTTGTCAAGGAGAAACTGGGGAGGTGGAACAGAGAGAGAGAGAGAGGGGAGGCAGTGGTAGAGTGGGGAAGAGGGGAGAACGGAAAGGAAGGGAAGAGGGAGAGGAGGAAGGAGAGGGTGGGAGAGGAGAGGGTGGGAGAGGAGAGAGATGAAGGAGGGAGAGCATAAGAGAGTGAAGGAGAGAGTAAAAAGAGGTGTATATACAAGAAAGAGAGGAGGAGGGAGAAGAAATGGAAAGAGAGAAGGAATGGGGGGCAGAAAGAGAAGAAGTAGGATGAATCACAATCCACTCCTCCAATGCTGTGCAATGATACACACCCACGGTGTCGTTAATTAACCCGATTATCGAAAATTAATATGATAAGTAGTTGCCCAGCTGGGCATGGCGACATTCCATTGCCAAGGGTCAAGATGGCAGCTGTGTTCACTGCCAACGACCCACATACAATGAATCTTGCAAAACAATTCAAGCTAATTCATGAACAACTCTCTCTGTACCAAAAAAGTCCTACGGGTATGCAGTTCAAACTAGAACGAATGGCAAGCAAAAAAAGTTGAAGCGTATTAAGAATTCCATAAAGCATACGTCACAGACGACAGTGCCTGCTCAGAAAAACTGTCTTATAATTCAGACAACTAGGTAGGCTCACTTCTCTCGCCAATTACTATCGGCAAAACTATGTTTGGTGTCTATGTTTGTGTACACACTGCAAAATTCTGTTTTTTAGGCTCCATAACACTCTGGCCAGAACACACACAACACCAAATTTTGTGACGATGACAATTCGCTAGTGTCTGTGTGTGTGTGTGTGTGTGTGTGGAGGAATGTGAACCCGACAAGGTCATGGACATGTAGACCTGACAACGTGGCCCGCCACTCGTTAGATACCTGCTTACAAACAAACAGAGATGGTGGAATGCAGGAAGTGGGCACTTGAGGCTGGCAGACCAACAGACTCTCGCGTGTCACTCAGACACTTAACCGACTTCTCTCACTCATCTCTTGCCCTTTTTAGCCCTCATCTGGTCAGTGACATCACGTGACATCACTGGCTCGGCACCAATATTTGTCGCACAACAAAACACACGACGTTTCTGTATATTTACAAACAAAGACCCGGCGTTAAAAATTAGGCTTTGGCTCGGTTCATGTAGCAGTGCCAGTGAGCACGTGCAGCGGGGAGGATGTTTGCCAGACAGACATGACCGGGGAAAACCATTTTTCCTCTTCCCACGCTATCCACAGTCATCCTGCCACGTTTCCAGAGAAACCGTCTCACGAGGATCATGGACGGTGAACGCTGCCATTCATGGACGCCCGGTGTAAAGCCACACGGAGGAGGAAATGCAGACACATCTAGACACGGTTTCATTACAGTCTCTGGGGGTTCCCAAATGGAGTGCAGCCACATACCACCAGTTTCCCAGTCTCCCCGTCTCCCCTTCCTTTCCTCCACGTAACAAACCGGACCTGGTATTTTATAAGGTCTCATCGTGTTTACAAACCCATTGAAGCAAACCTATTGTATTACAGTAATCCTGTAACTCACAAGTTTCCAATCACGTACCCCTATAACTTTCAGTCAACCATGTCCCACTACTCCTTCAAGCTTTCTCACTTTTCTTGTAATGCAGCTGTCTTTACTTTTTTCGCCAATACTACAATAGTCCACACGGGGACCAGTTTTTAAAAGTGAATCGTTAATAAGCCCATTCGCTCGATAATCTCTCACAAAACAGCAGGAATGTTCTCAAAACCACCCCCACATACACTTCCCTAGACCTCTCTCTAAATTGGTCCGTGGTTCTATCTCATTCCCCAGGAAGTATTTTACAGTCACTTGGCCCTTTGCCTCCCGTTCTTCCAGGTGATGTCATTAGAAAATACTAACGTTGTTAGCAGTGTGTTTATTAATTTGGTTTGGACGTTGATTTGATGAGGCAAACGAGTGTAAACACCATAATAAATATAATAAGTACACGTAGTCTTGTAGATTATGTCATCTAGGGATAACGGAAATACAAAAAGTGAAGAGAGAGAGGAGAAAGACCAGCTTCTATCAGAAGTCAAATGCAGGCATAGCAACAGGAAATACAGCCCCATTAAGCACTGAGTAATAGAGCTCCTAGATAAAGGTATATGTTACTGCCTACCATACCATCCGCCTCGTACATCCTTGGAACATTAACCACCAAATATCATCCCACTTCAATTCACACACACACACAGAAACGGAAAGTTACTAGTCTGAAGGCCAAGGACAGAATACTGACATGGTATAATTATACACTGTTGAATTAACAGCTATACTCAGGAGAGATCTAGCTCCAGTCCAAAGTAAAACTGTTGAAGTCCACCTATTCCCCTGAGTTCTGAATGCGGCATAGGTGCAAAGCAATGCAGTGCACTGTACTAATAAACCCATTGTCATTCAGAGAATGTTGTATGCCGAATTCTTTATAGGTGCAAGAGAAAGTTTCTCCACTGATTTACTATAGAATCTTCTGGTAAACCTGCACAACTTCGTTGCACCACCACAATACATTTCTTCTGGCTACTGTGCTAAACACACAGCATACTAGAGGGTATGTACGTATGTATGTACCTGCACAACAGTATCGAAGCCACCCTGAGCAGCTCCCACCAGGGCACTGGCCCCCCAGCTGTTGCAGAGAAGGACGTCGGCCTTGTACTGGACCAGGAGCATGGCACAGGTGAGGTGACCGTAACACGACGCCTGCATCAGTGCCGTCCAACCATAGAGGTTCTGGGCATCCACGTCCACCTGGTTCTAACGACAGGGAGATGTAGAGAGACTAAGGTGACAATCAGATAAGAAGGTAACCTAGCTACAAACTAGCTGTGCAAATTAGAAAACTATGTGAGAAACGTGAGGCAGAGCCTTCTAAATTTGATATAGTAGCTTGTTTAGATGTTGAAAAACTTTCAAAATACATGACCTGGGAATTACACTGCGAAACGACAGTAGCTGTAGCGAAGGTTGTTCAAAACTAACGCTGGTGTCTTACTTGCACGAGGAGATAGAGGACGTTTTCCCTGCCGTTGGCTGCAGCGTACATGATCGGCGTGGAGCCCTCCTCGTCGCAGGCCTCGGCCATGGCGGGGTTCTCCTCAGCAGTGTGGCGAGCCTCTGCTTGTGGCCCTGCTCGGCAGCAGTCAACACCGTCGCTACCAACGGGTCCATCGCTCTTCCGTACGGGGAGGTCCCTCTATCACCTAGTGATCACTCCTATGGTACAGTTGCTAGGGAAGATAAAGGACATGAAGAACTCGTCCAGTCCCCTTCTCAGCTCCAGCTATAAAAACCGACACTGGGGGTGCTATTTTTGGAATAAAACCTTCGAAATTTTTACGAGCGGATTCGTATAAATAGGTATACATTAACCTTTGAACCCTTCACACACAAAGGGCGGTGCCGCAGAAACCCTCATGGAAGAGAGGGGGGAGTTTGTGCCTGCAATGGCGGACTGGGACAAAGCCACAGCACTTGCGATGGAGGCGAAGCTGAGGAGAGAGCCCTACACTCCAATATCGGCTACAAAAGCGCTTTACTTTGTGAAGAGTGCGGAAGAAAAACACACCACAGCTCCGTGCTCTCCTCCTCCTCCGAGAAAAAGAGACGGCGGCCCCGAGCGGGAGGAGAGGAGGAGCATCTGGAAGCGGCTCTCCGGGAGCGCTCTCTGTAAGGTGACGGTGGTCGTCTACCTCCTGAGCTGCGTTCTCGTCAGCGCACTCTACGTGGCGCTCTACGGCGGACACAGTCAGAAGATGTTTGCCTCTAGCGACGCATGGATCCCGGGGAAGGTCCGTTTTGAACGTAAAACGTAGTTTCTGTAACCCACTTTGTAGCCTGATAATTAGTATGTATGTGTGCATTGGGTTTTGGTATGAATTGTTAGCATCAGCATCACTTCTTGTTCACAATTGAACTCCTGTTTGATTCAGTACATCACGTGTCTGTTACTAGTCAATAGTCTACACATGTCTCTAACTCCCCTCCCTCTTCCCTCACAGCCCACCCCCTCCGCCAAAACACCCTCACCCTCCCCCCTCTCCCCCTCCACTCCATTTCGCTGATTCTCCGTACACGGAGTGGATGTCGCAGCGTTGGACGTACTCAAACGATAACTTCTCAGACTGGCCGTCTCTCCCTCCATTCATTGACACTATCCAACAGGTGTCATCGGGCTCGCTCGGAGGTGAACCAGGCACCTGGTTTCTAACCAACTCGAGCCTCTTCTTTGCCCTGAATCTCGACGGGACTGACCCGGAATCCGTCCAGTTTGTGGACATCGGAGATGACCTGGAGATTGAGGTGGTACAGGGGAGTCGCGTGGCTACTGATGCGGGAGAGACAGTCTTCCTGGCCACCCCTTACAATGTCTCCCTCCTCGACTGCTCCTCTCAGGATCCCAAGTTCACGTAAGATGAAAATTTCATGAGGCAGCTCTTCCCCACCACTTACTATTAAATTTTGCTGAGCTCACACATAACATTACAAATTTCTCTCGTTTGCCTTCTCTCGTTACCCCTTCTTTAAAGTAGTGCGCTCTGTACACGTGATTGTTCCTACATATATGTGTATTACTGTTGGGGCTATGAATAGATTTGGCGGGGAAATGGCATGCTTAGGATGAACAATGTAATACGTTAGTTGGAGGGTATGTATGTGCTGTTTTGGAAGTCTGAACATTTATGTTAATCTCCAGTTGTTCCGTGGCTGCTGAGCTGGGTCGAGGACGAGCCCGTGGAATGGAGCGAAGTGGTCTCGGCAGTGGTATCGGTATCAGACGGCACTCTCTGGCTCGGAACGGACTCGGGACTGTACTCCATCGTGAGAGACGACGACATGTTGTCAGTGAACAACGTGACGTCAGTCGAAGCCTCGGTCACAACTCTTGCCTGGCGCACCAGTCTCTTCACCAGTGGGAAACACGGAACTCAGCGACGGAGGGCGTTCTTCCTCGATCCCCTCACCTCCCCCTCCTCCTCACAGTATCTCGCACACTCTGGGAGCGGCGGACTCCACACCACGCGCAGCAGACCACATCGCGAGTCCTCGTCTCGCAGGGCCACATTCGGTCTCCTGGTTGTCGGGACGGCGGACAAAATCTATTTCTTCAACGGAGAGATGTGGTGGTTTGAGTGGGTCTCGATATGGTACAGCGGTCAGGGTGGAGCCATTGATGGCACTCCCACCTCCCTCTCCTTCTCTCTGTCCGGAGATCTCTTCATTGGAAACAACGTCTCTCTCACTAGAGTCAATTCCAACTACACGTTTGACAGACTGGGCCCGCTCCAGGGACTCCCGTACAATCAGATCCTCTCTCTCTACCATTCATCCTACACACCCCAGTCTCCTCCGGCCATGGTCCGCTCTCTTCCTCCCTCTACAACTACTTCATCGGGTGGGACTCTCTGGATTGGCACAACGAGAGGCCTCGCCCTTTTCGATGTATCCTCGGGGGAGTTCCGGCATTATTTCTACGGGAACCGTTGGCACCCGGGGGAGAGGGTTTTGGGATTTGCCGGCAGTGGAGGGAACGGTACAGTTGTTCTCACAGACAGGGGAATGGCTGTGGTGTTCCCGAGGCTGTGGACTCTGGAGGAGAAGGCCAGACACTACCAGACGATGCTGGATCGACACACCAGACCTCCAGGTCTGTCCTTCTCTTCCTCTTTTGAAAATCTCTCTCAATGTTATGGTAGGACCCTTGATCTGGTTATTTAGGACGCTATACCAGTTTCCCCATATGTCCATTGAACCTACACTAACTTTTATAATGCTTGAAAGGTTAAAGGTTTATTGTAATTGGCGAGCAAATTGAGCTCACCTCATCCACACCGTAATGTAAATCGAAAAACGCCTAAACTTTGCCCCCAGGTTCAGTTGCCCAATAATGCTCTGCTAGTTGAAGTCATGTCCACCATACTCAACCACCCATAAAGGTTTTACTCTGTCACTGATGTCTCCTCACAGTTCAGTTGCCAATACCTTGCTTGTTGAAGTATACACATTCACTGTTAACCACACCCAATATCAAAGAGTAGTGTTTCCTGCAGGTCTGGTTGCTGACTGCAGTCTCACTGACTTTGTCCCCACGTCCTGTGCTCCCCACACCACCGACAACGATGGACTCTGGACCTCCATTGCTCTGGCTGCCGAGGCCTTCCGCTACAAGGTGACGGGAGACAAGGAGGCAAAGGAGAACGCATGGAGCCTCTTCTTCGGCATGCAGTTCCTCAATAACGTGAGTAGTTATGTAGCAGCTACACACGAGAACAGAGAGAGACTGTATAGTGTGTAGCCGTGCATATTTGTTCCATGATTTTTTTGCATTCTGTAAACGTGTATGCATGTGTGCAGTTTTTCAAATGCGTTTGGAAAAGTTGCTGCTTGTGTAAGGAGCATGTGTAAATGTCTTCCATTTTCGTTTTGGAAATTGCACTGTTTAGAAGCTCATTTGAAAGAAATTTTTGACAAACATCCATTTGGAGAAGGTACTGTTTGCACAAGAGATTTCTGTGCAGATTTTTTGCATTTTATGTATGTTTGATTTGGTTGGCCATGTTGCCAAGTTGTTAATGTGTGTGTGTGTGTGTGTGTGTGTGTAGGTGACGGGAGTGAGGGGTCTGATGGCGCGGTCGGTGGTCTCAGAGAACGTGTCCGTCGACGGAGGAGTCTGGCACAACTCCACCTCCGAACCCGGCTGGAAATGGAAGGGCGACACCTCCTCTGACGAGGTCTGTCCGACGTAATGATGATGTAATGATAACGATGTACAGTTGAGCTCCTGTCTAATTACACCCCATAAATGAGGACACTTAATAAAGACATCTTTTACCCCCTAGAACAGTTTTGACCTCACCTATTATGTACCCTTTATACTGTCCCATTGGGGTCCAGATAAGAGGGGTTCCTCTGTAATTGTGATGATGTCATGGTTTTCCCCGTACAGGTTGTGGGGCACATGTTTGCCTACCCCCTAATCCACGACCTGGTAGCCGACTCTGGCGAGGAGAAGGCAGAGGCAAAGGAGCTAGTCGACAGCATTGTTGGTATGTCACACCCTCTCTTTGCTGGTGTCATGAGTAAATGCCATTGAAATTACACAAATAACTTTCACCATAGCCTAGGGTGTGTTTGTTTTACCCACATTCTTACTACTGAGAGTCCTCCCTCTCTCCCTCTCCTCTCTCCCTCTCCCCTCTCCTCTCTCCCTCTCCCCTCTTCCTCCCTCTCTCCCCTCTCCTCTCTCCCTCTCCCCTCTTCCTCCCTCTCTCCCTCTCCTCTCTCCCCTTGTCCTCCCTGCATGCAGGCTATATCCACAACAACAGCTACTACCTGATCGATGTCACCAACCACTCCACCAGGTGGGGTGTGTGGAATCCACAGCCTCTCAACTTCAACCAGTCCTGGTCGGACGAACACGGCCTCAATTCACTGCAGATTGTCACCTACCTACTGTCGGCCTATCGCCTCACTGGTCACGAGGATTACCTGCAGGCTTGGGCTGTGAGTCAGTCAACTCCAGAGCTTGTAGTGTATTCTGAGTGAGTGTGTGAGAGGTTAATGTTGATAAATGATGCGTGTCAGCGTCGTGTCAAATGTGTTGCAAGGAGAAAAATGCCAGAGGGAGAACTGAATTACAGGTATATTAGAGCAAGATTTCCACTGCTTTATGCTGGCAAAGTGTAGCTTTGGAGCCGAAGCCTTCATGTGTGCTTATGCTGGGTCCTCTAACAAGACACACATCATTTGCGATGAATCCCTCACTCCAGAACCTGTCATCTGACGGAGGTGTGTACGAGGGTCTCCCCACTCACTACGGACTGAACCTGGTGAACCAGAAGATCACGTTCCCTCGAGATGACAACTACAGTGACGACGAACTCGCCTTCCTACCTTACTTCACCTACTTCTTCACCGCCAAAGTCAGTGCTACTAGACTTTTTTACTTCAAACATTTTTTGTTTTAGCTGCGCAATTATCTCGATCCATAGTGAACTAAATTCCTAATATAGCTGCTGATCCTTGAAAATTTTGATTTCCCTGTTTATTGTACGATTATACTCACCATATTTTTCTTGGTGTTTGTGTGTGGCAGAACCAGAAGCCAACTAGTGTGTTGGAGGAACAGATGTTGGATTACGTAACTCTCAGTCTCCAGAGGGCGTGGCAGATTGTCAAGAAGGAGAAGAGCTCTCTTTGGACCGCCATCTATGCATACGCCATGGGTCAGTCAATCCTTAACTTTTTAACTGTTGGCTGTCTGCATAATAATATTGTAAATGCATTCGAAAAACATTATTATAACCATATTTAGGAGGTGTGTTTGGGTTGATTTACAAACTAGGTCCTTGATTATTTTTCTTTCTGAGAATCAGTCCAGACACTTCTTATAAGGCGATTTTTCCAATTATTAAAGTAGTCCCGCCATCTCCCCAGATCTGGTGAATGATCCGGATCTGATAGAGGCCCTGGTATGGAACTTGAGGACGTGGCCTCTGGAACTGGTGGAATGGAACACAACCAACTCACATCGTCTGGACATCACTTTCAATCCCGAGCAAGACAGGTGGATAGCAACAACACCACGTTAGCTCCAGTGTGGGTTTACTCAGGTCATCTGGGTTGCCTGTAGTTGTACACTTGAACCACAGAATAAGAGAGACTTTGCAGAGGTCTGCAAACACTAGTGTGAAGTATCTGCTCTTTACTCTCTCTCTCTCCTCTCTCTCTCTTTCCTCGCTTCTCTCTCCTCTCTCTCTCTCTACAGAAACTTGCGCACTGATTCCCAATCAGAGAGGGTCCTCCCCGCCAACGAGAGGACACAGCTCCGTTGGAACGGGAACCCCTTCATCCTCGACTCTGGCGGTGGGGACTCTGAGATGGACCCGGGGGCGTGGCTTCTTCCGTACTGGATGGCCAGATGGATTAAAATGCTATAGCACATGTCTGTGTATAGGTCTAGGGGGTATTAGTTATACAATAACGCATCGTCAGTGATTTAATACCTCTCTGTGTCTTTACCCTGTCCCCTCCCATCTCCCTCTTGTCTCTCTCTCTCTTTCCTCTCTATATATAACTTGTTTGTATTCATTTACTGTAAACCAACTTTTATCACAAAAACATATGTCAACGAAAAACGACTTGCTTATTACAACAGTTGTTAGTTGGCTATTGCTGACATTCATCAGGCAAGCAACGATTTTGTGATGGGGGTTGAAAATCTATTGTGGGTAGTCGTGTTTTAATGTCTACTTGTCTCTGGGGCTACTGGTGCTGCTGTCGTTCAGTGGAGACTGCTGGTCGGGTGGTGAGCTACCGCTGGTTGGAGGAGGTCTCTTCTGGTAGGAGGCTGCCAGATCTGAGGCCTTGCTCACCAGCTCCATCACATTTGGGACCTAGTCGTAGGTTGGGAGAGAGGAGAGGGAGAAATGAGAAGGTGCATCGGAAGTGTCAGAGGCATGCATTACATTAATACATTATGGGACAGAACAGTCTACTATAGAGAGGTGTCCTTTATTCAGAGGTCCTCTATGGAGTATACAGGTGGTAGGACGCAAGTAAAGGGGAGGGGTACCTGGTAGTTCTGAGCTATGTAGACCCCAAACACAGTCCCTGTCCCCAGACCAATCTGCGGTGCAATATACAAAGACCGTAAATTCACTAGCTAACGTCGTCCTTGGAGCATTACGGCTGAGAGAGAGAGCGGTCACTTACCACCCAAGTCCATAAAGTCATTTCCAACGATCTTGGTGCAAAGTTCATCGACACTGCGCTCCAATTGGAGTAATTAGCGCTTATGGCCTTTCGTCCGTCTTTCTTCTCTCCCACTCTGTTCTCGGAGGCCGTCTCGACCTTAGCTGCAGTTGTGAGGAACTCTCTGAGACCATGCAGAACCTACAGCAGCAGTCGTGGAGCAGCGCGCGGCGAGGTTCCAACTTCTCTTTCAACCGCGGCACGTGAGCGACGGATGCAGAGAACGGCGCTCCTCCGTCGGAACAGGGCAGACCCCGAGCTGGAGCGAGCCGCTCGCACGGGAACTCGTGAGCTCCCTCTTAAATACTCACACTTCATAAAGCTACTCCTGTTCTTTCCTTCTCCCTCTCTCACAGTGTCAGTTCCCCTGGACCAGGTCCAGAGAGAGTGGCAGGCTCACAGAGGACTGGACCAGCTGATGAGAGCTGGCCACCATTTCAACATCTACCAGGACCTGTACGGTGGCCGAGTGTTCAGACCTCGAGGGTTCATGGAGGTCGCCTATGGAGAGAAGACTGTTCACAGAGGAACCATTCTCTCCCCGACTGAGGTGAAGAAAGTAACGTCTGTATGCACAGTGTTGCAAAACAGTTCTTAAAAATAAAATAAAAATCTTATAGTGTCCTCCTTACTGCTCATATTGTTCATGAATATTAAAACTGGCCTTAGTATATAGTGAATGATTCATACATTGCACAGGCGTCGCAGCCTCCGAGAGTGAGTGGTCTTACAAGAGATGGTCTGTGTTCTCTGGTTCTCTCTAATCCTGATGGTCACCTGCTGAACCACAACATGGAGCTGCTACACTGGATGATGTACGTTGGGAGTGGAGTAAAGGTTTAGTGAGGCATATCACTACAACAATTCTTGCAAACATTTTAGTGGCATAGTATTATAACAAAGGTGGATCTACGTGTAGTGACTTTGTAAAGTGTTTGTGCACGAATGTCAACGTCCACTGACTGCAGATTGAACATTAGTGGAGGGGCAGTCTCGTCAGGTGAGGAGGTGGTACCATATCTCCAGCCTGTGCCTCCTCAGGGATCAGGACTCCACAGACTTGTCTTCACTCTCTACACCCACTCCAGTCCTATCGCTGTTGATAACTCCATGATAAAGCAGCCTAGCAACTCATGGTATAATAATGTGTAACTAATTCAGGGGGTTGCCTGTGTTGAATTTTTGGAAAAATTAGAATAATTACCTCTGATACTTAGGAAACATACAGGCCCACGTTATATGGCCTTTTCCTGCACCTCTGCCTACTTATAGCTCAGTAAAAGGTGCACACTGCGCATCACCCTGTAATGTGTTCTGCATCTTTATCAGCACTTTTCTGAAAGTTGGCATGAAAGTTACATTGAAATGTTGCAAATATGCATATCATTTGATTCCTTATGTTGTGATCTAGGTAATGACATTTAGATCTTATTCATAAGAGTAAGTGTGTCGGTGATTTGAAAGTGCAGAAATCTGTCCACGTTGTTACTCTGTCATGCAAAGTGCCAGATAGCAAAGCTAAACGTCGTTACCTGCTCTTAGGCTCAAGAACCTTGTGGTGAAACTTCTAGGGCTTAGGCAAGGAATTTATGGCTGTCCTGGTGGCTTATGTCAGAAATCCGGCTGCTCTCCTAATTAATTAACTTCCGGGATGTAATTAGCGACCACACCCACTTCCTATTTTTACTTTCACTATTGCTCTATCAGTGTGTGAAGTCTAGGAAAGGGAAACAGAACATTAATATATTATACATTATTATTTTAAAAATGGAACTGTCAAAATCACTATGGTCTACCCAGGCAACCCCCTTAAGTGTGTGGGTGCAGCTTAAATTGGCAGTATCGTTCAGCTGTACATAGTGTGCATATACTGTGCCGTACTTACACTGTACCTGAGCCTCTATATTTTATCTGGTCACGCATGTCTGTAGTTGAGAACTTCAGTACAGAATGATCCACTACTCTGCAGGTTGGATCAGAGGACATTCTCCACGGCAGAGTTCCTATCAGCTCGTCCCAGTCTCCAGCCATTTACGTTCAGTCTCTTCCAGTCTCTCTGGGACTCCAGTGTACACACTGCCTACATGGAGGACCTGGGTATATATACTGGATAGACTGTAGTGTGCATGTTGTAATGTTCTGCTATACACAGTGTATCCAGAGCCAGTGTATGAAGTGGTGAGAGAGCTAACTCCAAGAAGACGGAGACAAGAGAACACACGGCTACTCAAGGCCAATCACTACAGACTTATTCAATGTGTGTCCGGAAGTGATTTGCATTCCTGAGCAGTCATGAGCTCGAGCATGCGCAGCAATTTAACGCGCCCCCGCCCGCGAGCATGCGCACTACGTAAGGATCTATAGGGGGGACCGGAAGCGCGGGGCGATATATAAACACCGCGCGAGCGCAGCATTGCGTGCTTTTGCTGCTCTATCCCCAAGTGATGTACCCATTGCTGATAGCTGTAGCTGGTATAGTAATCATCATGGCCATGTTACTGTTCCATGCGACTGGACCTGAGGTAGAGGACAATCTGAGGCCAGCGCAACTGGAGAGTTCTACATATTTCGGCCATTCTGAACTAGTAAACCGTCCTAGCAATGTAGCATTGAACGGATAATAGCTTTTAAATGCAACTATAGGTGACTGGTAGGCCAGAAAGATGTGCTGCTAGCAGACCCATTTGTCAAATGATACCTGAAATTGACCTGGAACCTGATGGAGTACAGGTGTGGTGAATGCAAAAATCCAGTGAGATTTACGACAGTACACTATTATAATTGCAGGAGATGCTGGGGATGCTAAATTGGGAGGTGGTGCCATTACAAGAAGAGAGATATCAATTTCACCACTCCAGCATTGTTACTGGTCTCCAGTGATGTGGACATTATTATGGAATTCTTGCACTGTTTTCTCTTCACTACTGACCTACTTTAACAAATGCCTAAACATGCAGTTGCACCTCCATCTGTGATGCTCCGAATAAGTGAAGACACTATGATCCTAGTAGGAGAAGATGTGGTAGTATATTGTGATATTGATCTGGTTTGGAGTGGTGAGAGGAAGAATTGTGCAGTAGAGGTGACTTGGTTTCAAGAGAGAGTGACCTGACTCAAGACTCACCATATCTGGAGCCACTGGTGATGTGGGTGGTGTACACAGTAGCCTCACATTCAGTCCTGTCCACTTCTCTGATAATGCCACATATGAGTGTCGTGTTACCCTCATTTCTCTCCTGGGACATGCTACCGTTCTGTCTAGCTACTAGGAGCAGTTTTGACGATGTCATAACTATCACAACAATGGAGATTACTTCAGGTATTGTAGCCCAGGTAGAATCTTGTGCACAAAACCATACCACGAAATAAGCCACACAACCACATACTATATCTTCAGGATGTTGGTAATATATACAGCTTTCATTGTGCCAGTGGATTAATGTGTTCTTGATCCATGTCCACTGTCTTGTGTCATAGTTAAACTAATGATTATTTTGTACAAGTATCAAAATGAGCAGCACTAGGTGGGTCAGTCTTGGAGAGATTTCTCCTCTCTCTGAACTGCTCAGCCACGGCTTTCTCTAGAGCTGATAGATAGTTCTCCAGACTAGCTGAAGTGGTCTAAAAGTAGAACATGTTTGAACAATAATCACAACATGATAATTGATAATATAAGGTGGAATTTATGTTTATGTGTCTGTCGCTGTCACATTCATAGACAATGAATAGTAGGTGGTATGGTCCCTCTAGCTCCGAGCGAGGCTTGGGGCCCATTTGGCACGGAGAATCGGAGAAGCTGAACTAATGGACTATGAGACTGTAGATGTATCATTATTATTCGATATGCACACCAGTACGCGAAGTGCAGGCGCTCCCAATCGGCGGCAGAGTGGGATTATAGGCGCCGGCAGCCCGCCTGCATCCGGTGATTTTATGATCACCACAGACAATACAAACCCTCATTCTTACTTGAATGTACAGAGCATGGGCAAGGAAAGGGATCTTTCTGAGAGTACGTCCACTCAGACCAACACTCTTCCTGTAGAGATAATGAGTGTATGGATTGAACAAATAGGAGAGAGAGAGAGGACCTGGCAATGTCTCTGAGTCTGAGGCTGAGTCTGGTGGCCTCGTTTTCCAGCAATCTCATCATCTCCAGACACCTCAGGTCCAGGATCTGCTGGACCGGAGAAATTATTCCTGCCTGGGAGCATACAACAACATAGGCAAGGTGGTAGAGAGGTAAGCATGAAGGGGTTAGAGAGATAAAGAACATAGACAGGAAGTGTATTAGAGAAGTAAACTATGAACAGAAAGTATTGCTTACTCTCATGAGCTCCTGAATGCAGGAGTGGAATATCTTGAAGATGGCAGAGGCTGACGGCAGACCAATGTACTGCTTGATATCAGCTCTAGGGCATAGCATGGGAAATAAACCTAGCATATCAGCCCATGTACTCGTATAGGAGAGGACAGAAATTTGATACTAATTAACACACACGTAAAGGATAATAAAGAAGAGGAGTAATCTGGTCGCCTGAAGTATGATATGGAAGTTATGTTTGTTGTAAAGTGGCAGCATAGCACGAATTCCTCCTTTTCCCCTTACTCATGAGTGAGAGAGGGGTAGTGAAACAAGAACTAACCTGTCTACAAAGGCCAGGTCTATGGCTCCAGTGACATTGGAGGTGGTGAGGATGAGGACATTGGGATATCTCTTGACCTGGTCCAGCTGAGTCAGCAGAGCGTTCACCACTCGAATGGCATCTGATGGCTCGCTCCCAGACATGGCTGACTGCCTGGCCGCGGTCAGACTCTCCACCTGTACCAATATAGCTGTGATGAGCTTGTTTAAAAGACTACAACTTAGCCTAGTACCTCAATGCTAGTGAATGCATGGTACATTCAATTGATGGAGTGATGGGGGGCAATGTGCACACAATGCTCTGCAACATTACCTCATCAATAAGGACACAGACCAGAGACTCAGAGTCATCAATTAGCTCCTGAATCCTCTGGAACATCTTCTGAACCAGCTTACCACTCTGGTAGGGGGCAAGAATGCATTACACTTCAGGCTACCTCTCCATTAGCTACCTCAGAGAACCATTTAGAGAAGAGACTGTGACTGTTGATCTCAACCAGTTGTCCGTATGCATACCTGATGAAACATGTGTTCATACACAATATTATGTAATCACCCTCCCTGCATACCTGGGAGATAGTCTGATGCACAGTTTCTGTGCTAGAGCTTTGCACAGGGACGTCTTGCCTGTCCCTGGAGGACCTATTATGGATATGGATTCCCAGAGTCAGTATATATGAATAATATATTTACTATGCTACCACATCATTGACTATATACCTAACTGTGTCAGCACAGAGGGAGTGTGTAACTCACATTTCTCTGACACTCTAATGGATAAACATTACTACCAGATGGACCAGTTTGGAAAACCACCAATTGATATGCACCACATTAACCACCACCCCTCACAGTAGCTATCCAAGGTGCTCACCAGTGCAGTAGAATAACTCTATTGCAAGAAACCACATTGCTGTCCACTCCTCTGGGAGTAGGATGACATACAGTAAAAGCAGTAATGCAACAGAATGTTTACCTGTCTGAAAACAACAATGTGGTCTCAGCATAGTTGAGAAGCTGAAAAAGTGAGATCAGTTACATCATAAACTGCTGCAGGCCAGCTAACCTTCTCCTTGATGTCAGTATCATACACCAGGTTCTCCCACACTCCGTGAAATTCCACTGCACATATATAACACATAGTCAGACTTTATTGTATACTTCTCAACCCACAGTTAGGTAGCATCCAGTGACTGGCAGCTGAGGTGTCGCAGCTTGAGTCCAGTTCCTCAGCTGCTGGTCCATCCTCGTGGAGTTGGAACACGTGAATCATCAGCTTTGCTGTGGAGAACTCTACCATCTCATGTGGAGAGAAGAGAGGAGAGAGAAATGTGGAGTATGAGAGGTGGTATGTAAATAAGGGGTATAGGCAAGAGCCACATAGGGAAGGACAAAAAAGATTAGAAATGTTTTAGAACACCATTAGTGGAAAAATAGGGCAGTAGTGAGAAACGAAAGCAAAAAGAGCAGGTAGAGGTGAGAGGAGTGAAGGAAAGAAGGAGAGCCACTGACTGAGACGTGTCTGGGGATGTCTACGACAGCCAGGAACACGGCGTGTTCAGTCAGGAGAGGGTCGTCGAATTGGGTGAGACTGAGGTCACCGAATGTAGAGCCACGCCTCTCCAAGACAGCCACTGCTCTGTCTCTCAGTAGAGATGGTCTCAGTGTACTGGAGGTGAGGTGGTGGTTGGGTGAAGATTGTGAGTGGCTCTACTGCATAGCTACCTGGTGGGTTTTTGACACAACTCCACGTGGATGGTGGGGCACTCTGATAGACTGCTGCTGACTGGCTCACTGCTGCCAACCTGCTCGCTGTACGCCATATCGCTCTCTCTACTCTCTCTGACCTGAACCGCTTTTGCTGCTGCCGTTCTCCTCTTTCGTATTTCCCGCGCGCGCTACTTTACCTGGTGGCGCGCGCCGACGTATACGCGCGCGCACGCATGCGCAAATTAGCTCTTTTCGCGCGAAAAAAGGGGGCGAGCTCAACCGTCCAGGAAAATGAGCGACATTGCAGACACAGGGAGGGAAGGAGAGCCCGATCGCTCTGGCGAGAGAAAAAGCTCTTCCTCTGGATCGAGTGGCGTGCCAAAGATGGCGGAGGGAAGGATCGTGCGCGGCACAAGACGTGAGAAACCCTTTGTTGGTGTGCATTGGTTGGGATAAATCACCATGACTACCTTACTGCAGCTCACGACATTGCGGTCCACGAGAGGAAGAACTGGCTCATCCACCTCCACTACATCAGGAAAGACTTTGAGACTTGCAAAGTATGCACCAAACTGCAACAGCTGCAGTCGGTGGCTATAAATAGGACCTGATACCCAATGCTAGTGTACTGTGGCTGCAGGTTCTCATAGGAGAGATGCTGCAGGAGACTGAAGGGATGTGTGAATACGCAATCTATGTCCTTGGTGAGTATCAGTAAGCTCAGTATAATGCAAAGCATTAGGCCTACTAAGCATTCTATTCATGGTTCAACTTCTGCAATAGAGGGTATCAGGTTACACTTCTACAGCAGATTTTTATGGGGACGAGCACCGCTAAAAAGCAAAAGCTAAATACAAGCACCATATCAGTGCCCGTAATGCAAAACCTGACCCTGTGTGTGTGTGTGTGTGTGTGTCAAGGACTGATCAAGAGGCAGGAGGGAGAGATCTCAGATTCCCTGGAGCTCTTCCAGAGAGCCGTCACCCTCAACCCCAACAGCTCAGCTGCCGTCAAACAAGTCGCCAGATCTCTGTACGTGAACACATTCACCCTCCATAATTGCCATCCTTCCTTCTCTTTGACTGTGTCATTGTCTCCCCCTCTCTAGGTTTCTGCTCGGAAGACACAAGTCTGCACTGGAGGCGTACAACGAGGCCCTCAGCCTCAGTCCCCAGGAATGGGTGAGTATCACATGATGTCATGTGACCTCACATACATAGTACTGTGCATGCAGGAGATATTACACAACATGGGTGTCTGTTGCATCTACCTCAAAGACTATGACCAGGTGAGAAAATGTCTCACCACGAAATAATACTTTTCTATCACATTCAGAAACCATTCACCGTTTCTTTCTTGCACGTGTGTGTGTGTGTGTGTGTGTGTATGTCAGGCAGTGGAGAGGCTGAGTGAAGCTGTCAGTCTAAGTCCCCAGAGCCAGTCCTACGTCCAGCTGGGCAGAGTACATCTCCTCAGAGGAGACCTCCACAAGGCCACCGAGGTCTACAAAACTGCTGTCGAGTGAGTCTCAAAAATTTCAATGGCCACTAAAAATTGGGTAGTTTCCTCTATTCTTGTATTGTCCTCACCTTTCCTCTTCTCCCTGCAGCCATAATCCAGACTCCCCTGAGCTACTCACCACTCTAGGACTACTGTATATGGAGGTACAGTACATTAATACACTGCCAACCTCCAGTGATATTCTATGTCAATGACATGTTCTGTTGTTGCTGATCACTATATAGTTGGGAGAGACAAAGAAGGCGTTTGAAGCTCTGGGCAGTGCTCTCACTTTTGACCCCAGCAATGCTAGGGTGAGCAAGTCACACAGATCAGGAGGTAAAGAGAAAGAACCAACTTCTTTTGGTCAACTTCTTGACTCAAACTCAGGCGCCCTGACATGGAGTCCAGTACACTATGCACTAAGCAACTCCAGGACAAAAGCTGTTTTCCCCTTTCCTCTAGTACTAGCCTCTGTACCATTCTTCCATCATCCACCTGCCACATCAACTAATAATGTCTCTCTCTCTCCTCGCCAGGCGATCCTGGCAGCAGGGGCGATGATCCAGGACCACGGGGACTATGACGTGGCTCTCTCCAAGTACAGAGTTGCAGCCGCAGTCTCACCGGAGTCTCCACAGCTCTGGAACAACATCGGGATGTGCCTCTACGGCAAGGGGAAACACGTGGCAGTGAGTCTACTTATGATCGTCTCTATGGTGCACAACTTGCACTAATTTTGAAGGCCCACTGCACAAAAAGCTTTCTTACAACAATTGTGGGTGGATACTGACAGTATCTGCAAAAGCTAAACCACCTGTAGGATGTGTTGTGAACTTCATAATCTTGGATCCCCCAATACTTCATACATTTTGTGACAGAATAGACCATTTATAAGTCCCTCTTGAACAGCAGTAAGACAATTCCTCTTTGTTCCCCGCAGGCCATCAGCTGTCTGAAGCGGGCCACGTACCTCGCTCCATTTGAGTGGAAGATCCTCTATAACCTCGGTCTAGTTCACCTCTCTCTCCACCACTTTGCCTCCGCCTACCACTTCCTGCGGGCCGCCGTGGGACTCTACCCACAGTCTGGACAGCTCTTCATGCTACTTGCAGGTCCTCTAGTAACGTATCTATGAGGGAAACTGTTTAAAGGAAGAAAGTCGCAAATTTCGTTTATAAGCTGCCTGCAAAATTTGTCTCTGTGACTTTTGTGAGGCGAGAGAGTTTTATTCAAGGGCAGCAATATTAGAAAGTTTTTTTGCGTGACGTTTTGCATTTGCTTCCACTGAAACACTAAAGATTTTCGTATGATTTATGCAACGATAGACTAAGCAGTGGAGTGTCCTTCATTCGCATGAGTATTTACAATTGGATCATCATGAAGTCTCCCGTATGGCTAGGGAGGTGTCACTGGGTAACGTTCAAGAGGCTTTTCTTGTGGTTTGTTTGCATGGAAACCACGACAAAGGATGTACATTCTATTGGCGATATAGTTTACTGAGTGTGGCCAAGTGCATATTTGTGGTCATGAATGTCATGAATATTTGAGGAAAACCACAAGTGTTTGTGCTTGTTTCCAGTATAAAAGAGGTGCTGGAAAACATCCCTGCATCGCTTCTCGGCCCTCTCGTGGCTAAGATCAAGTAGAAATAACTGTTCTTACCAGTGTAATATCTGGTACGCAGGCAATGCCTGCTCGATATTACATCAATTTTTGAGCCAGGAGGGAAGGTCTGGGGCTTGCTCCACCTCCCTCGAGGGTTGCCCTAGTCTTGCACCGATGCTAGTGGCAGCCCATCCCCTTCTGGGGAACATTCCAAATCTAAAATTAATGTTGTGGGAGTCATTCGGGTCTGAGTTTTGTCTAGTAATGTAAGTCCAGACCCAGACATTTGCCTTGGCTATGTGAAGTCCTGGCACTTTTTCTAGCTTCTGAAATAGGGGTAGTGAGTTGTGGCTGTTGTGGCTGGTTCTCATTGAGAATCATTTTGCACTTGCTCCTATATTATATACCCCTTTGCTAGGTGCTGGAGTCCAGGATGTGTGTATTCTCGTCTGCTGCAGTTGCACTGGCTCACTGGAGGATGACTATGAGAATACCCTGCAAAGTCATACGAACAGCTCTCACACCCTAGACAGTACATGATATTATACAACACCACTCTGTCTGGACCTCAGATCATAAACACCCATACAACCGCCCCTCTCCAGGATACCCCTCGCTCATTTCACCTCACTTACTCCATCGTCCTCTACAACAATGAGCGATGAGGGCTGCAGGAAACAGTTCCAGCTTTTCAAGAGCAAGACCTCAGACTCACGAGGACCACCAACCTGACTCGAGTATTAAATGATCAATTGAAGAGCTACTGCAGACTTGTCCTCCACTTTTCGTATTTAAAAAAAAAAAGGTTTTGTACGCCCCTCCCCCGCCCTCCCAGGCATATTGTAACCACATTAGCTATAGTAATATAGAACATCAATATTTTTACATGCTATTATAATTATGAGCTTGCACAAAAATGACCACTAGGCTGGTATAAGGCCTACATAGACCCCATGAAAAGACAAAAGATTTATCCTGTATCACTATCAGTGTTGGTTGCTGTGTGGTAATGTAGGTGGAGTCGTGGGCAGGAAGACTGGGACCTGCCATACCAAGTGGGGGAGGAGAGGGAGGGGGAGGAATAGAGAAAAGGTGCCAGTGAGGAATGGAGGCGGGGAGACCTGTGCCTGTGGGAGGAGAGGGCCCAAGGAGGAGGCAGAGGCTTA